ATAACTAAACATCGAGCTGAACATGGAGACCTAATATGCATACAGCTAATGATCGTGAATTATTCAATGCATACAGTTTAAAATCGCTTACAAAGTTTGTTGTAATAATAAACGTAGAAAGATAGATTTAATATTCTCCGTTTTTGAACACTATTAATCTAATTTAAAAAAGAAGAAAAGAAAGACTAGTTGTAATAAATAATTTAATAGTGAACCATAAACCACGTTTTAAACCTTATTAAAAAGAAAATTAACATTAAATACCGCAGGGTATATTATTGATAGCAAGTCTGTTTAAGTTATACACATGAAGAGGTCTGATTTCCTTGCCGAATGAAAAATGTTACCTGTTTACCTGGCCTGCTTTCTAATACGTATTACGCAATACCCATGGTATACTCGAACAAAACAACATTTTCATTAGATCAAAAAGGTGTAAAAGAACAATTTTGTTCCCAAGATCCAGATCGAAATGTTTACCGTTTTTGAGTTATAAAGCAAAAACTTTTAAGGGCCCAAGATCCCTAATCATAGGGGCCAGCCCCTTTTAAATAGTATAATATGAAAGCCCTTGCAATTATGCACAACTTTTGTTCTACATGTCTTAACAAAATATTTCTAGTTTTCAAGATATAAAGGGAAATATGTCAAATTTTTTGCTGTTTTCCGCGTTCTAACTTTTGACCCCTCTCTAGCGCCATTTTTAATGCAAAAATCAAAAAACAAAAACCGATGTGCACAACTTCAATGCTTCCTCTTTTCAATTTCAAAGGGTTTTGTGCTCCAATTATAACCATTTCTGAGCCTTTGTCTGGAAATGGGAGGCATGCGAAATTCAATCAAAGGGGAATAACTCGTGAACAGAAGGTAATTTCTGAATTGTATTACGGTATTCTGACAGTGTTTTGTAAAGTCTAAAAGCTCTGAAAATTTGAACAAAATCTGTTTAAAAATGAGGAAGATATGAAGCGTCAAAGTTGGCGTCTAGGAAAAAAAAAAAAAAAGAATAATCTTAATCATCACAATCAGTAGAAGGTCTTCCGTTGGAAACGGAAGACCTTAATAATCTTAACCATCAGAATCAGTAGAAGGTCTTCCGCCTGGAGCGGAAGACCTTAAAAAAAGAATAATAATCTTAACCATCAGAATCAGTAGAAGGTCTTCCGTTGGAACGGAAGACCTTAATAATCTTAACCATCAGAATCAGTAGAAGGTCTTCCGTTGGAAACGGAAGACCTTAAAAAAAATCAGAGATCATATCTTGCCTGGAAACTTCATCTAGCATATAAATGCATGAATGTTCATAAAAATACTTGTTGCCTTCTCTTTCTTGATCGTTTTGCTGCTCATAAATCCTTTAATTCATTTAAACTTACTTCAAGACCACATATGGATCAAAGATTTTATCTGAAAAACACATTAGTTCTTAAATTAATAGTCATCCTTTATATTTTTATACATATGTATTTTTCTAGGTTTTCTATTTATTTCTTTTGCAGAATTCCCAGAATTCCTTATCCCAAATTCATACTTCAAACAGTAGTATTTAATACCAATTTAAGTACTCTATTCTTGGGATTTCTCTGCCCATTTTTTTTTTTTTTTTTTTGTTTGACAGTTGCGGATTATGTTGTTAAGACTTATATAATGATTTCATACGAAATTCTGGATATTAAGTGTTAGGGCTTAAGGATCGCACTATGGCAAAAATAAGTTTTTAATTGATGCAATTGTAACTTTATTACTAAGATAACTGTCTTTCATTAATTAACAATTTTCAATTGCCAATGAGTACAGTCATGTTAATTAGTGAAAGACATAGTGTAAGACAGAAAGAGAAGTTGAAGGCATTTGGCTTATGTCCAATTATTTTTATGTTGAGCTCAGGATATGAATTCAAAGTTAAGATTAAGATAGCCATCGTTAGATCTAACTCTTCAGTTTTGATAAGTTTATGGAAAAAAATTTCCAACTGTTAGAATATAAGTCAAAGTGGGGCGTTGGTTCAGTTATTTAATTCAATTGCAAATCCTTTACATTATCAAACATTACCATGTTTGCATATAGTCGAAATATTTAATTATAAAGAAGAACGAAACAAGTGCACTGCCAAATTATATACAAAACAAATATATATGCAATTCCATTAAATTAGTTTTTCACAAGATGTCAAATTTTTTCCATCTACGCATAAAATAAAGCTCAGAAAATTGCACAACTGTTTTGTGTATTTGACTTTTACAGGATTGAGAAATTTATGTTTTAGGACAGTATTGTTTTATTTTATATACATGTAATTACATGCATAGTTTACATATTTCTTTGGGAATCAGTGCTTAATAGAGTATGCCTGCTTCTATCAATTATCGAATGGGTCCCAACTTTCAACTCTATATTGGTCTTAATTTCATTTCTCATATAGAAAGAGTATATATATAGTTGATGTCACTTAACTGTATTTTGTTTTTCTCTTTAGATCTGTGGTGTCAAATGTTGCAATTTTCAGATTCACCAGAACTTTATGTAAGAAGTAAAAATACAGTTGAACATATGTGAGTATGATTCTAGATACTTATATGTCTATGACTAGTAAGCCATTACACGTGTTTTCTTTCTTTAGCATCCACCTATCCTTCCTACAGGTCTACTACCTATTAACAAAAAACACAGAACAGACTTTATAGTCATAAAACATAAAAACGACATCATTCAACAGAATTCGTTCCAGTTTTTATTTTACTCAAAGAAAGATATATATTCATTTTGAATATATTCCAGTAGGATGAATTCATCATGATTGGGCCATTAAGCGGATTTAGAGCATCAAAAAAAAAAAATCATTTTTTTCCGCGAAAATATTTTTTTATTCGGTAGATCAAAAAGTTTTGTTTATTTGATCGAATCGAAATTCACACAGAAGAGGTCTAATGGAGTACGAATTTGAAATGACAATTTAAAGAAAAATACTTTTTTTTTTTTAGATTATAAATAGTCCTGGACATACTTCATTTTTCACTCATATTCATATATCACCTATTTTACAACACAGAAAATTATTATGGTTTTGGGACTCTCTATTTAGAGACAGCCCTCTCTCAACAATGACCCATTTTCACCATGGCTTAGACTCAGTTTCACCATGCATCAAACTGTAAAGCATAAACGCTGGAGCCGACTTCAAAAAAAAAAGTTTCACAGGGGGTGGGTGGGTATGGGATACCCTTTTAGAAAAATTAGACCCATGCAGAAGAAAAACAAAACTTGTATGTACAGTACTTGAACCACAACGCTTGTCATAGGGATAAAAGAATTAACTTTACCTACTAGTATATTCCAGTGTTCCTTTTTATGCCCCCACATCGAAGATTCGGGGGTATATAGTATTTGCCCTGTCCGTCCGTCCGTCTGTCTGTTTGTCCGCAAAAAACTTTAACATTCCCATCCCATAACTTTTGATTGGTTGGAGCTATGGCTTTCATTTTTCACATGGGTATTCCTTGTGAAAAGACCTTTCCTTGGGTACCACCATATTTGCCCTTTTGAACTTGGAGTTTGACCAAGTTTTGCAAAGTTTTACCAAACTTTAACCTTGGCCATAACTTTTAAACGGTTGGTGCTAGGGCTTTCATACTTCAAGTGTGTAATCCTTGTGTCAAGACCAACAACTTTGACCCTTGACCTAGGAGACCTACTTTTGAAAAACTTTAACCTTGACCATAACATTTGAATGGTTGGTGCTAGGGCTTTCATACTTCACAAATATAATCTTTGTGACAGGACCTTCCTTTGGATACCAACAACTTTGGCCTTTGAGTTTGACCTATTTTTGGAAAACTTTTAACCTTGGCCATGACTTTTGAACAGTTGGTGCTAGGGCTTTCATACTTCACATATGTAAACCTTGTGACAAGACCTTCCTTTGGATACCAACAATTTTGACCCTTTGATGTAGCATTTTGACCTACTTCTGAAAAACTTTTACCTTGGTCACAACTTTTGAATGATTGGTGCTTCAACTTTCATATTTCACAAGTCTATTCCTTGTGAGAAGGCCTTTCCTTTGGCACCATTAATTTGACCTTGATGTTTGACTTACTTTTAAAAAACTTTAACCTTTTCCATATCTATTTAATTTTGCTGCTAGGGTTTTACAAATTTCACAAGTATATTCCTCGAGACAAGACCTTACTTTAGGTACCAACATATTTGATTTGCATTTGAGAAAGTTTAACCTTTCCTATAAGCTGCCATATGGGGGAATCAGTGTTTCACATACACATCTTGTTTAAACTTGCTCTCTCACCTACCTTTTAATTAAGTATGTGTGATCTGAACAAACCTGAATCTTTATTACAAATGAATGCTTGCAATGATATATACACTGTACATACGACATAACGTTGACTTTTATTGGCATCCCACAAGAATAGACTTGTATCTGTAATACACTATATGTATTTTGACTTTTGTATTCTCTTTCTGTGGCTACAATTCAGGAAATGGAATTTTAAAAGACTTGAAATTACACCTGGGCAGGATGAAAATACTTGTATACAAGGAAATAATCACACCCTTCTTATCTTCGCCCATGTCACCGGATCGGTTGATTAAGTGGGTTAATTTAAAAGGGGCGAATTCGAAGAAAACAGAATGATCTCTGTAACATAACTGTGTATAAATGAATTTAAGACTGGGCAAAATTGTTTGCAGGTGTGCAAGGACAAAAAAAAAACACTGGGTGAAAATATCCTTGTAGACAGTACAAAGAACACCACTGAGTGAAAACATTCCTGTATATAGTACAAATCAGTAACCTTCTTTGCTTTCTTGCTATTAAATTGTGTTGTTCCTTGCAAAAGCAGAACTGTAGAACTACCATCAATTCATAATTTTATTATAAAATTTCACACCTGTATGTAAAACATAGTAGTTACAAATGAATAAAAAATAACACATAAATATACATATTAACATGTACAAGCCAATAAATATGCCTGTACATGTTTACTTTTTTTTTAAATGCAAACCAAAGACTAGGTCTTTAAAAAAATTAAATCAAGTCCACAAAAAATAACAATAATTCAAATTCTGTAAAAAGAAAATAATAATAATGTCCTGTAACTTAATAAAATTCTGTATCAAAAAATAATGTACCATAATTTGGCAGTATTTCTTCTTTGACTCACAAACAGCTCTAAATCTGCAATTTCACTGCATCAATAAACAAGAGGCATCGGGCCTTGACAGTCACCTGAGTATCATGAGATTCTTAAGTTATGACTTCTTAAGCCCATCTGGAAATTTGGTCTCATGTGAAAAAAGAAACAGTTTGGTGAAGACTGCAATCATTATCCTACTCATTCAGCTTGTCTCCTCGATGTACAGGAGTAAAGAAAATAAATAATAAATTTCTTATATTACTTACTTAGTCCTAAACTGGGCTTTGATCCCTAATCCTAGGGAAACTGAATTTTATAGATTTGTAGACGACTAGTTGCTCACTTAAACTTGCAAACAATCTGCCTGCTAGATTCCATGAGTAAAGAAGATTTTCAAAGGAGTAATGTAATCTAATACAAGAAGAACTTGGTCCAATCTCCCCAGGAAGGCAGAGACTTGAAATTCAAATTATTAGTTCCCTTTTATCCATAGATGCTATATACCAAAGGGTCAAAATTGGTTCGTTCATTCCTCTTCCTCTAAAGAGATTCAGGGAATGTTCAAAAGTTTATGGACAATGCACATTGATCAACAAAAAAAGATAGCAATAGGTCACCTGATTGACTCAGGTGAGCTAAAAATTCAAAAATAGATATGTATACTCTTCATTCTGTGACACTAAGAACCAAATTTAACAATTTTCTCTAATACTTATTTACCACTGATTTCCTTACTTCTACGACTTTAATGATGTCAATGTAGTCACTAAGCTGTCAAATGACAATCTTCACTGAATTCATTCCTAAAGAGTTGCAATATGCTTGTATTATCAGAATCAACAGGGAAAATGTTATATTTTTTAAAGGTAATTTCAGCCAATCACATTGCAGAAAAGTATTTGTTGTACAAGATTTTTAGACTAAATATATAACAATATATAACTTGATGCTAGTATCCTTTTTAACTACATGAAACACCCCTGTAATAAATCCTAGAAATTAAGTGACACTGAGAACACTAAGAAACAATAAAAATACAAAATCTTAATCCTCCCTGATATGTATTTTTCTAGATAAATAAGTTACCTGTATCACTTAATAGTTTTCAAAAGTTTACATTACATCATAACATGACTACAATTGCTGCATTGTTAAATAAAAATAACTAAATAACTGGCATATAATAATTGCAAAAACAGAACACATTGTTGTCCACATTATACATATTAGGCTTATACAATGTACATAAAATAGCCTGACACAAAATTTAAGCTTCCACTTTCTATTTAAAGTAAAATAACAAAATAAAATAAGTTATCTAAAACCTGATCTTGTCTAAATGATGATATCCTATGAGCATAATTGACTATTAGGCCAAGTCTGATCTTCAAAAGTTACTCAGTTATAAATTGTGGTATGGACAAGAATTATACACTGCAATTCCAGTGACCATGACTTTGGCAAAGTGACCGTATTGCAAGATTGTCAGTGTTACACAGCCTCTGGTCACAAACAACTCTTTTTCTAAGCTTAATCTTAAGCTACAGAGCTACAGCCAAGGCAGACTTCTAAAACTTTTGATTTTGACCTTTTAAAAAATTCCCGAGTCAGGGTCAAGACACAAGAGATCTTTATTTCAAGTACATGTATATGTTTTTCTATTACTGTTTTATCCATTTCAGTGTTGAACAATAGTTTAATATGCTTGTGCCCAGTGACCTTGAACTCATCCAAATGACCTTGGTCAAGAGACACCTCTGGTCACAAGCTACCTTTTCATTATTAATGAGCTTCTAAAGTTTCACTGATCTGAAAGTTAAGTCATCCCTTAAATCAGACCAAACAAACCAAAAATGCTGCAGTAGATGCTAGCAAGATCCCTGATTGCTTAATGGCCATAGGTGTCTCATAAAGGTCTAAATGTTCAGTCTTCCACTGGTTATTGTTGGCACCCAGACATAAGTGAAATATTCTCAGATGGATATACAGCAAACAAAGAAAACAAATCAAGTGACTTAAACAAGAGGCCCATGGGCCACAACGCTAACCTGAGTCAATATGGCCTTGTTGTTCTTTGTAAGCAGATTTTCCTCCTATATATTCATATGTAAAGTTTTGATTGTCTGTCATGATTTCACCAAACTTGAACCTACACTACCTGAGGATGATTCCATATCAATATGACTAATTGTGGCTTTGTTGTTCTTGAGAAGATTTTTAAAGATTTTTCCTATATATTCCTATGTAAAACTTTGATCCCCCATTGTGGCCCCACCCTACCCTAGGGGATCATGATTTGAGCAAACTTGAATCTACACTACCTGAGGATGATTCCATATCAATATGACTAATGGTGGCTTTGTTGTTCTTGAGAAGAAGATTTTTAAAGATTTTTCATATATATTCCTATGTAAAACTTTGATCCCCCATTGTGGCCCAACCCTACCCCAGGGGGTCATGATTTGAACAAACTTGAATCTACACTATGTAATGAAGGTTTCAAATAAGTTTCAATTTTTCTAGCCCAATGGTTCTTGAGAAGAAGATTTTTAAAAGATGACACCAAATGTTCACCAATTCTTAATTATCTCCCCTTGGAAGAGGGTGTGGCCCTTCATTTGAACAAACTTGAACCCCCTTCACCTAAGGATGCTTTGTGTCAAGTTTGGTTGAAATTGGCCCAGTGGTTCTGGAGAAGAAGTTGAAAATGTGAAAAGTTTATAGACAGACGGACGGACGGACAGACAGACAGCCGGACAGATGGACTACAGACAAAATGTGATCAGAAAAGCTCACTTGAGCTTTCAGCTCAGGTGAGCTAAAAACTATAGGTGTCTTTTTCTGGCGATACTCCACTATGTATTGCAGTAAGTATAAAAGCTGTACTTTGAAAGTTACTCAAGCTATCCAATCACATAAAAGTGTTGACAGACTCACAGATGGACAGCTCAATAGATAGGCAGGCAGGCAGACAGACAACTAGACAGACAGATAGACACAGTGATTACTACCGAGCCTGCTATCTTGATTCATATCTTTAATGAGTACCCATCTTTTATACAGTCTCAGAAGTACCAAGACTACTACTTATTTACCATGTTTACCACAAAAGTGGTATTGTATACAGGGGAAATTTTTTTATTTTTGCCCCTTTTGCCCTAGACACAAGTGGGCGAATTTATGACGGGGCGAATTCAAAGAAGACAGTATAATTACTTAAACAGAACTGTGACTGGGCAAATTTAAAATGAGGCAAAATTGTTTGCAAGTGTGAAAGGGCAAAAATAACAGAGGGAAAAAATATTCCTGTATACAGTAACCATTTTTATCTACCGAGTACACTCAGCTGGGCAATGAGATGAGTGGGTGGCTGGAGGTACAACTTCCTCCTACATGGTGAGTGTGTGAGTTACCTTCCCCTTCCACTTGTACTGTGTACTTATTATCCTGAGACTTCTTACACAAATACTTTCTTATTAGGTCTGCCAATAAAGACACTATTACCACAGTAATCAAGGAAACAATCATGGCAAACGTTCTAAATGGAAACTGTTGTCCTGAGTTCACATTGTAGAATGGGTACTCTATAAATGGCTGCCAGTCTAACAAGACTTCCCCTGCTCCCATTCTAAGAATAGTTCCTAAAAGGAATCCAGTGATGGATCCATAAACATTGGTCCACTTAATGAAAACAGCACAGAACAGCTGAGGTAGAACAATCACAAACACAATGTCTGCTGCTAGAACAAATAATCCGTAAACAATGGGTACAAACAGAGACACCAGCGTAGCAAGGGATCCCACGAAGAAGATGGAGATGGTCTGTACCCAGAGTGTTTCTGTGTCATGGGCCTAAAACACAACAGAGGTATTGTAAACAGCATCAAAAGTCATGCAATATAAATATTTGTACAACTAACGGGACATAACTCCACTCACAACATTAACACATATCTTTTATATAAAATAAGAATTTAGAATAGATTGTATATTTGACTGTTGATAATGATAATCATCCCTCCATCATATCTGACCTTTTTCCTGATTATTCTTTTGTAAATGTTGTTAGTGAACATAGAACTGGAGCCCAGAATGGAGCTGTCCATGGAGGACATAACAGCAGCCGAGATGGCTCCCAAGCCTGGAAATGAAAACTCGTTAAATTCAGCTATGTTACTTAAAAATAAATCTCGAAACAATGATTCCCGTTGTAAAGGAAACTATACCTAGGACAGCCACCCATCTTGGTGTGAATTCATGCAGAACATATGGCAGTGTCATGCTGGATTGGTTCATTGTCATAGGAGAGGCTCCTAGACTGGTGTTGGTCCAATCTACAAAAAACATGAATTTGAAACACATGGTGGTTCATGTGATGTTCAATACCCATTCATACATTCAACATTTTATCAGTAACTACAGTGTAAAAATCTACCATACAATGACAATATACATTTAAGCTCATTTTGCCTCTGTCTATATTCTTGCTCACATCAATCATGTGGCCTACCTGCACTGGTTGCCACTGCCCCTATGAGAACAGAAGGAATTGCTAGGACAACTGCACTGAAGGCGCCAGCTACAGAGAGAATCTGAGCTTGTCTACTACTGCGGACAGACAGGACTCGCTGGAAGTAAGCCTGCCATGGAATGGTTCCAAAAATCTAAGAAAATCAGAGAGAAATCTGCCAATACATGTATATAATCTTGCTTTCTCAGTGAAGTTTGTATGCTTTACTTTGATCTCAAACTCAATGACATCACAAATATAACTGAGTTGAATCTAGAGCCCAATGTTATTTATGTCCAGTGTCTACAGTCAGTCACACTTGAAATATATATATGCATACAGGTGGAAATTGTACTATTTATGTCTATATCCATGCCTACAGATTAATTAATATAAAATTGTAGAAATTATTTCTTAACCAATATCAAATAAATAAAGGTTATTAATTTTAAATACATAGTTGAATATCATACAAATGATAAGAAAGTTCAAATGAGCTCTTTGCTTATATTTACTGAGCAAGTAAAAAATTCTCAATATTTTCTCTTCCAGTATTCACAAAATGTCAAAATCAACATCTACATCTAATCAACAATCAACATGTACATTTAAATCTCATTCCATGATTTTCCTGTGAAAATATCTTTCTGTAAGTGACATGTAACACAAAAATGACTTACCATGGCAATGAACAAGTCAATCCAAGGACTGGTCATATCGACATCAAACTGTCCAATCCAGGTGTCTGTAGTGTCAGTGATGCTTCCTACATTCTCATTGGTCAGAACAAAAGGTAAACTTAAACCCTACAAAACAATGTAAATTTTAATGGCTTCCTAAATATGCTGAAAGATCCATGTAAATAGGGTGGTGAAAATAAATGCTACATCACTGTTAAGTCAACATAAAATCACATCATGTTGACGGTGCAACCGTAAGGGCGAGTGCAGATACCTTTCAGTTTTAATTTAGATCAGGCTCATCAAACCGCAATTGACATTTGCTACGTCTGGACTCTGACGTCATATGACGTCGATTGTATGTTGCATTACCAAAACGAAGTCTGACCAGTGCTAATTTTAATCAAGAATGTTTGATCTATTATTATCTGCTATATATCCATTAAGTCAAGGTGATTTTATTTTTTTGGCGAATTTTTTATGCTACCACGAGAACGTAGTTTGCAGCGTGATGCAATTCGCTAAGCATTATGGGACCACAGGTAACTGCGGAAAAAAATTTATTTTGATCAATGTGTAAAGTCCGAATTTTCTCTTCGCCCAGGCGTTGCTTTAAGAGCTCGCAGTAACGAGCAGCGCTTTGCGCCGCTCGCTGCGCTCGCTATTATATAATACTCAGAATACAACTGTGTATTACAACACAGATTTAGATTTAATGTAAAATTCAATATATAGAGGATATTCAATGTTTTGTAGATGAATATGGAATTTATTTCACAAGTGGGACAGGATTTTTTTTATATTTTTATGAGTGCAAAGCATGAGTGAAACTATAAAAAGATCCTGATTCACGAGTAAAATAAATTGCATATTCATCTACAAAACATTGAATTTTCTGTTTATTACATTTCTTAGATTTTCCCTTTGCCTCTGTCTTTTCGTAACACAGTGTCATAGGCTGTGATGTCATAGTTGAGAGGTTGAGATGTCATAGCTAAGCAATTGCAAGATTGAAAAACGTTGTAAACATGGATTTTTAACAACATATTTGAAAAAACTTTGGTAGTATAACTATTAGTCCCTGTTAGGATGGTTCATAACTCTATCTTATAACAGGCCAGGGATTTTTTTAAAAAAAACACTTTTCGTGAAGGGAAAGAAATTTGTAAGTTTTGCCACACTTCTGATATTCTCACAGTGTGAGAATACCATTTTGATATCCTTTCACACTATGTCAGAATATCACTTTTATTTGATAAATAAAATACAGTATTTCCCTGTTCAAAATGTAATAAAAATTTTAAACCAGATAACTCCATATTTCCTGCACACATACCAAGCCAGTGATGATGAAGATAAGCTGAACGATATCTGTGTAGGCTACAGAGATCATCTGACCAAACATAGTGTAACAAACAGTGGCAGCTGAGGAGCTCAGAATGGCTAGACTGAGGGGAATGTTCACAATCACACTCAGGCTTGTACCTGTCAACACAATAAAGGCACTTATTAAATAAGGGTCAAAAAACAAATTAGAAAACATTCTCTCTCTCATTGAACTTGTTCATTTGTAACAAAGATAACATAAGAGTTAACACATCTTATCACTGCATATATACAGTAAAACTTGTCTAATCCAGACACCAATGGTTCCAAAGAAACTGGCCGATTAGAAAACATTCTGGATTAGACAATATTTTAAACAACTGAATTTACTACAAGGGACTTTAAGTTTACACTGTATTAGGCAAGATTTCAGAACACACAATATTCGGGTTAGACAAGTTTCACTGTATTTGCTAGCACATGTTTCACCATTTTTATGATGACACCTACCCAGAGCTACAAGGATGGAAGCAGTCCAAAACACATCACCACACAGCGTGGCAAAATACACCAGAACCACCACTACATCTCCAGATTTCTCCTGAATAGGGTCCAGCATGGTCAGATATTGATGTTCTCGCATTGGACGAGCAAATATTATTCCACCTACATGTATCAGAGATATTTAATTAAAATTACAAAGACATTACAATGTGCATGGCAACAAATTAATAAACAAGGGCACCATAAAGCAGAGCAACCCCTTACAAAAGAGCATGCTGATCCTGATATAAATTATCACCCAAGTGTGAAACTTTCGTTACAAACACTCACTCACCCACAAACACACAAGTGCGGTACTCTATCTCCTCCAACTTTGATGTGAGGAAACAAAAATGTTTTTCATTTATCTATCTTGTTATATATAAAAAATACACCAATGAGCCTGATTATAAACTGTACATTGGCAAATAATCAAGATGGTTTTAATTTCGAGATTCATCATTTTTCCGCGAATTTAAACCCATAGTGAAAGCAATCATTAGTTTTTAAAAACGTTTAAATGCTTTAAATTAATTTCTTGCAGCGTGAAATTAAAACCATCGCAATTGGTACTTTTTGAGAAATCGTGAAATTTCAACACCATGGAATTAAAACGACTTACAGATGTTCAGATGAGTTAGATATTTCTCCAGTCTTCACATGGCTCTAAGCCTGGTAAAGAATCTGTAGCTTACTAGAATCATACAACATAAGGATGCCCTATGTAATATTTGACTATTTGTAGCCTTGCTGTTTTGAAGAAAAAACACTTTGATAGACTTCCTTTATAATATTCTACCAGTATATAAAGCTTGACTCCTTATTGTCACACAATTCCACCACCCACAATGTGGGGGTCAAGATTTAATCAGACTTAAGCTACACAACATGGAGATACTTGTAAATGACCCTAATTATAATCCCATCTTTTTGAGAAGAATATTTTTTTTCCTTCATATTCCTTCTGTGGCCCCAACCTTGCACTTAGGGCATAATTTGAACAAATTAAATCTCTGCTACATTGAGAAGCCTTAATCTTAATAAGCATTGTTTTCTTCAGGTCTTATTAGTATTTTCTTAAAGAATAATGTTATAAAATCCCACACCATTTCTACTTTTCTATTTTTATTTATTAATAACTTGAATATGCTTTACCTACGAATACTCTATGGCATGTTTATTTTGAAATTGACTCAGTGTTTCTTGAGAAGAAGAGGAAAATGTTTGAAGTTAAGACACTGATGACAAACAGATCAAACAGAAGGAATGAAGACAGACAAACTTGGATCACTAAATCTTTCTGAAGCCTTTGGTTCAGATTAATTAATATCAGTAAGTTATACTTAATTACCTGTGATTAGTCCGAGGAAGATCCCAAAAGGCGCCAGGGTCCACACCATGCCTGATGATGCAATAGACTCCGCTGTTCCATTAATGTACCCACCTCCTACTGTTGTGGCTGTTAAAGCACAATAAAGTACAATAAAGATTGTGTTTCACAATGAATTGTCTGTTATGTTGCCAATCTAGAATCTAGTCAATGCAACAATACAACTTCCACAGTATCAGGCAGCAACTTTTTCTGGAATAAATCTATTTACATCATTAAAAATTCCAATGATGTGCAATAAATTGAATCAATATTCCATGAAGAATTCTGTAAATTAACTAGCTAACTTAAGACTGGCTGGCCTTTAGGTTGTTTCCAAATTACATGTATTTCAGTTTAAAAACATGGACCTTCTTTGTAACCCAATCAATATCCTGTGATTTTTAATTTGGACATATGTTTAATATCTGTATAATTATACACTGCAAAAAGATGACTGCATAGTAATTTGTCAAAATCTGGCCACACAGTGATGAGGGATTCAAATTTTACATAGAGAGGAAAAATCTTTAAAAATCTTAAAAAAATGTTTGTATTATTATTTTATACCTGTCATGGTAAAAATTCCTACAATTACATTAATATCTCTCCCAGCTACAATAGCTTCCTCCATTCTAGACGTCCCTGTGGCCTTCTTTTTTAGTCTAGCCGCCAAAATTCCAACAGTTATAATGATCAGGTAGAATAATAAGAGTACCACCAAACCCACCACATTCACTGCCATGTTTCTAGTTCTGCAAATAAAATAGAAGAAAACAAGGTGTGTTTGTAAAACACTGATGCCCCCATATGGCAGCTCACGACGAAGGTTAAAGTTTACCAAATACAATCTGCCATTAAGTCATATGCTGACTGACGTTTTTCATACTAATCGTTGGGCCATTATTTACACACTGAATTGTCAACAGATTTTTCCGTTGTTTCCCAGTCATAACATGGAGCACACGGTGGCTGTGATCGGTCGGCAGGGGATGCTCACTCCTCAATGGCACCTGATCTAACCTCTGATGTTTTTGGAGGTCCATGTTTGCTCTGCTCTAGATTTGTATTATTTTAATGGACTTTAAGCTTGAAAACTGTTCATTATCTCCATAGTTCATGCAAGTCAAACTCCCAAGGTCAAGGTAAACAAATCAACATTGTTGGTACCAGGGATGGGGTCAATTACTTTAAAAAGTAATTAATTAAATTACAATTACTTTGACTTTTTCTTCAATTAAATTACAATTAAATTACAGGCTTTCTAAGACATGTAATTAATTAAATTACAATTACTTTGCAAAAGTAATTAATTAAATTACAAATTACATTTTTAATTTTTTGAAAATTTTTATAATCCTTGTCAGTGAATATACAGAACATCATTTATTTGTATATAACCTCAGCCTCTGCACAAACAGTACAAGAAATTATATGCTATAGGCATTGTGTATCTTTCTGGTTTAATTAAATTTTATAACATTATTTACAAAACGATAAGAATCTCCTTAAAGAACTATCCGAGATCAGTTTGATGCAGTTTCCACCACACAAAACCTACATGTACACAAATTGCATGGCTTATGATATTTGATTAAAAGTGAGTATTTTAATAGAGTGAAATGAGTCGAAACTGTAACCCCTCAAATTAAATATTTCCTTTGAAGGTAACCTTAACATCCTAAATTGCTATTTATGTTGAACAATTTTACTTCATAAATCAGAATTGGACGGATGGAAAATTCATTCATAAAAATCTGTTTAGATGTTAAAATAATTATCAAATTGAAAGGTTTTTTTTTTCTAAAGCTAGCAGAGCATTTTAAATTGAAATAATTATCTTCATTGGCTTTGTCTTCTAAATCATGGAATGAATATCTCTTTAGAGGAGTTGATTTGTTTTGATTGCAATTTAAAGCTGTGATCTGGAGGGCAATTATCTCTTCCCAACAAGAGAGAACTTAATTAATGACACACACCTTCTTTTTCTTTATTATTGATCAAACAACAAAGATTGAAATATAATAAATGTGTGTTTCATAGCTGAATAGACCTAAGATAAGTGGTTCAAAATTCATATTTATAAACATCTTGGTACCCAATGGAAGGTCTTGTAACAAGGAATACACACGTGAAATATGAAAGCCCTAGAACCAACTGTTCAAGAGTTATTGCAAAAGTTAAAGTTTTACAAAAGTAGGTTAAACTCCAAGGTCAAAATATTATAAATGTTGGTGCCCAAGGGAAGGTCTTGTCACAAAGAATAAACATGTAAAATATGAAAGCCCTAGTATCAACCATTCAAGCATTGTGGCCAAGGTTAAAGTTTTTCAAAAGTAAGTCAAATGCAAAGATCAAGATCAAATGGTCAAAATTGTTGGTACCCTAGATAAGGCCTTATCACAATGAATATATGTGTGAAATATGAAAGCCCTAGCACCAACCATTCAAAAGTTATGGCCAAGGTTTAAGTTTTTGTAAAGTGGGTCAAACTCTAAGGTCAAGGTCAAGAGGTCAAAAATATTTGTATCCAAGGAAAGGTTCTTGTCACAAGGAAAGCACACGTGAAGCATGAAAGCCCTAGTGCCAACCATTCAAAAGTTATGGCTAAGGTTAAAGCGTGGTAAAATTTTGCAAAAGTGGGTCAAACTCCAAGGTCAAGAGGTCATATATGTTGGAACCTAAAGAAAGATCTTGTCACAAGGAATACACATGTGAAATTTGAAAGCCACAGCTCCAACCAATCAAAAGTTTTGGCCAAGGTTAAAGTTTTTACAGACAAACATAAAGACAGATACACTGACAGACAACTAGACAGACAAATAGACAGGGCAGAAAATATATGCTTCCAAATCTTTGATTACAGGGGCATAAAAATGTGAATGACAATATCTGACTGTTCCACAGAGTAACTTTTATGCATGTAGCAGGAAATTGTTTTTGTTCACAGTCTGATCTTTTAGTATGTGTCCTAGCTTCATTTGTTTGGACAGTAACTGTTGTTGACATGTACATAGAGTATTTATAAATAAAGTGTTAATTTTAGGCATATTGTCAAAATATTCAATGCTTTCCTACTCAAGTTCAATTGGTTGAGCTGCACAATGTTTTATCACACAACTAAGTTTGCATATGTAACAAAACAAGCTATAATTCTGAGAATTTGTGTCCCTTGCTTAAGGAAAAAGAAGAGAGTGAAATAATTGGAAAAATTTTGCAAGTGGAAAAAGAAACCTTGACCTTTCAGCTTTTGGCCTTACAGTCAATATGATTCTTTTTAAAGTTAAAGAAATTCATGACAAAAAGTTTCATTGCACAAGCTTACAGAAAAACTAAAATTATTATCTGAAAATATATTTCTGACCTTGACCTTGGACCTTTGGGTTTTTATAAGGCCATGGGGAGTTGTGATATAAAATTTCACTGCAAAATCTCAAAGTATTTTTAATACAGAGTGTAATATTTTGGAAAAAAGTGTTACACAAGTGTATGAATTTATGACCTTGATCTCTGACCTTTTGACCTCAAAATCCATAGGATTCTTCTTTAGGCCATAAGGAGTTGTGATATATAATATAATTTCATTGCAAAAGCTCAAAAACTTTTTAAGATATTGTCCAGAAATGAAAGTGTTTCACACAAACAGAATGTATGAATTTAAGATCTTTTGACCTCAAAATCTAGAGGAGACTACTTTACAACATAGGGAGTTAAAATATTAAATTTTATTGTAGAAAACTCAAAGAAAACTAAAATTATCATCTAAAAACTGTGATTTGTAATGTTACTAATGTATGATTTTTAACCTTGACCTTTGACCTTTTGACTTTAGAAACAAAAGCGATCTTCTTTCAACCATAAGGTGTTGTGATTTAAAATTTCATTACAAAAGCTCTGTTAAAGACTTTAAAAGATATTGCTTGTGGACTAAAGTGTAACACACAAACAGAATGCAGGGATTTTTTTACCCCTTGATTCCAGGGGTCGGGGCCGTCAAGATTGGGAAAAATAGCGATATTTGGTTGAAATTGGGAAAAATATCTTCATACAAATAAATAAGAAAAAACAAAAATCAAATATTTAATCATTCTTCTTATTTTTTATAGTATGAAGCTGGCTTAAACCAGCTTTAGTGATATGAAATAATAGCGGCTGTTGAAGTTCAGAAGCTAAAAAATGGCAAAGCCGCAGGGTATGTAAATGAACATATTTATACGTTGTCATCTTTTTTACCTTTATGTAAGAAGTTCTTTAAAATAACATTTGATAGTGGGTTTGTTCCAAATGAGTGGTTAATCGGTATTGTTTGACCAATTTATAAGAATAGGAGCGATTCAACCCAGCCAGAAAATTACCGTCCTAGGCAAACTGGAGAGACTGACATGATGAACGTTTATTTTTTAGACAACGATCCTGACTTTAATTTTTAAACATCGATCCCGCTTTAAAAAGTACGCATGCAAACATCCATAGTATTCCGAGTAACTTCTCGGAAGTCCTCGGATGGCTCGTAGATCGCACACAGAGAACATAAACACCTTTTTGTCATTGTTTTATTTAATAATTTACAACTTAATACTTTTTTTTTCATATTGGGAATTTTTAGGTATGATTTTGGGAAAAACATGCACTTTTCAGCATTGGGAATGGGGCCGAATTTCGGCCCCGGAGAGACCCTAAAAAAATCCCTGGAATGAATGAATTTATGACTTGACCTTGAACCTTTTGACCTAAATATCAATAGGTGTCTTCTTTACGCCATAGAGAGTGTTGATATAAAATTTCATTGCAAAAGCTTCTTGAGATGTCATCCAGAAACAAAAGTGTTATACACAGACAGAATGTATGAATTTATTACCTTAACCTTTGACCTTTTGACCTAAAGAATGAATAGGGGTCTTTTAAAGGTCATAGGGAGTGGTGATATTAAATTTCATTGCAAAAGCTTAAAGGCTTCTCAAGATATCACATGGAAACAAGTGTCACACTATGTGTGAATTTATGACCTTGACCTTTGACCTTTTGACTTCAAAATCAATTGGGGTGTTCTTTAGACCATGAGGAATATTTCATTGCAAAAACTCGAAGTATTCTTGAGATATCGCCTGAAAATGAAAGTTACATACAGAAATGCAGCTAGATAGACAGACAAATGGACACACAGACCCAAATATACCCCCCACTTTCAGTGAAAGCTGGGGACAAAAATCTATAAAACCAAACACTTACCAGTGAAATTATTTCATCAGATAAAAAGGCACAGAGATTGATAAATGCTCCCATCTCATGTATATCTCATGTACATTATACTCATGTAAAGATTATTTAGCACTGCCTTCACTGTACAGGTAAATAATTCAAACTCCTGGGAGCAAGCCCTTCAGCTAAGGCCATTGTCCTCATATTTAGAGCTTAGTTTCAAGGTTAAAAACATCCAATAAAAAAGCATTAAATATACAAGAGGTAGTAAATTTAAGATACAGAAAGAAAACATTTAAAAATTTTAAGAGGCCCATGGACCACAACACTCACCTGACTCACTATGCCCTGCTGTTTTTCTCCCTAAAAATTCCTATGTAAAACTTTGATCACCAATTGTGGTCCCACCCTATCCCCCCCCCCTTAGGGGTCATGATTTGAAACTTGAATCTACACTACTTGAGGATGCTTCCATATAAATAAGACTAGACATGGCTCCACTGTTCTTGAAAATATTTTTACATTGTTTTAAAGATTTTTTGCCCCTATATATTCCTATGTAAAACTTTGATCCCTAATTGTGGCCCTCCCTAGCTCCTGGGGGTCAAGGTTTGAACAAACTTGAATTTACACTATGTTATGAGGCTTTCACATCAATCTGATTAAAATCGGATCCTTTGATCCGCTCACATAGACACAAGGATCTGTAGAAACCCCATTCAGGGTCATTTCCTGGTGACCTTTCAATTATCCAATCAAATGTTTGCTTCAAAGAATTTAGAAGTATCTCGGAATTCAGATACAGAAGTAAAAGCCCCGATGATACACGAACGGAAAATGGATGACCTGGTTTCCGTAGCCTGTCAAAAAAACGACCACAGTCTTTTCTGTACAGAAATATATTTAGTATTTGCTTTTACCTTGTTATTTAGCTCTTTGTTTTGTACAAAACGATAAGATCTTCTCTACAGCTACTTTCACTTCTACATTCATTTTCCCGAATGTCGCTTAAGTACGATCTCTCTGATTAGTCAAAATTTTAATGAATATTTTTATTATCTATGTGAGCGGATCAAAGGATCTGATTTTAATCAGATTGCTTTCACATCAGTTTCATCTTTTTTTTTTCTTTATTATCTTAATGTTACCTGAAGATCAATTATCTTTGAAAAATAATTCAAATTTTATTATGTACATGAACTGAGGATCTAATATTAACTATAGTAAAATTGGTCTTTTTCCCTTCTGGTTAATTGACCCTGTACAACAATTTTACTTATGGAGGGATTCTTGTCTGGTTTTTGACTAGATGAAATATTCAAAGAATATTTTCTTATATGTCTTATAACAGATGTAAGGAATTACACATATTTTTTCTTTCCTCAACATAATTGTACAACTTTAAATAGAAATTGAGTTTGAAATTTAGCAGGGACTATATTATTGGAGGAATGGCCGTGTATGAAAATATCTCCTCTTCTGCTTCGATCTCAAAATTACCATAGAACAATGAATTTAGATCAAACTTTTAAACAACTCAGAGACTTAAAGAAAAATTCAAATTTAGGTAAAATTAAATAAATACTAATAATGGACTTACATTTTAAAATATATCAAATAAATATGATTTTCCAAACAAACTACAATTTGGTTAGCTTTTAAAAGCTTCCAATCTAAGTATAGATTTGAGTAAACTATCAATTAAAAGTGGTTTTTTTTTTTCTCTCTCTCTCTTAGTAAATTATGGTGAAAACTTGTTTTTGTATCATTTTGTGTCTTTATATGACTACTTTACCATATGTGAAAATAAGAAAAATTTAAATATACGACTCATACAAAGATAACTAATATATCCTAAAAATTTAAGAAAATAGAGGAAATTCGAATTTAGCCAATATCTTTTTTTGTCAATTTGGTAGTATCATCTGATAGACCCAATATGAAAATATCTTTATATGCAAAAAGAAAACATTTAATCTTCTGAAATAGAAGTAGGCAGCACATGATTGTCAACAGTAATTTTTATTCTTAATGTCGAGGAAAAAGATAATGACCTTGACCCTGACCTTGCTTCAAAAATAGAACGGTCAAATTTAATCTAATTGATACCATCACTTAGTTCTAATGTCTTCTAACTTGAATCTATGAAAATTTCATTAATTTTTTTAAATACAAGAAATATGAGAAGAACCCTTCTATCAAACTCTGACCTCTTCCAAAATGGCCTGATGGAAGCTATTATATGATACATTTTTTTGTAAAGGTCTAAGCAACTTCCATGATAAATGAGTTATTTTAAAAACATTTTAACATAAGAGTGAAAATAGCTTCTCTTATCAACGACCTTGACCTTGAATAAATGACCCTGACGAATGATGCTTATAATATCAACTGAACAACTTTTGAGTTCCTTGAAGTTTTTTTTTTATTTATCTATTTTATTGTTTTATCGAATTTGTCATAAATTCACGATCTACAGACTACATTATCAAAGAATTTTTAAAATTGACAAAACCTGTACACACTTTTTATGCAAAGCAGTCTGTATTTGTCAGGTACTTCTGCCAAGTATTGCCCACAATCATCATACTGATTATATTGGCAAGTGTGGTGCACATGATATGCCGAAATTGAAACTTTAGAAGGTTTAAATGGCCTACAATGTAATAGTTCTCCTATAGCATGTTTAGGGTAAGAAGGCGGTCACCTGAGACCTAAAGGTGTCAGGTGTTTTCGGTGAGACAATGGTATGCCAGCCTTAACAACGTACAAATAGCAGAATACCTGTAAATGGCATTAGACGGGAAGAAAAACACCGACTCTTTTTCCACCGTCCACGTGTTGTTCAGCTGTTTACAATACAGTAGTCAATGCATTTTTAAATCACTAAAAACCGAAAAGACAAGCTTCATCGCAATGATCAATGCCCTCGAAGTATAAGTATCTCCTTATTAAAAACGTTTAAAAGTTGGAACAAATATGGGGTCGCCATATGACAAACATTCTTACATAAATAAATATAATTTCTATTCTGATTTTTTTTAATTCTTAAAGACGATTTGACTTTGAACCACGCCCGATCAAAATACTGAATTTGCATTTCAAATAAAAATTAAGGTTATAGTGAATAAGAAATAATTGCAAATTAGGAAAAAAAATATGTTTACGTTTTTATTTCCAATATCACTTTTTAAGAATAAATTCACCGTACAGAATGAACATCACGCATTTTGGCGTCCAAACGGGTAATGAGACATTCCATTGAATATGGCGTCAAAGAAGCCGTGCAAATATGGAGGGAAATGTTACAGGAGAAATCCTCAGCATTTACGGGAATATAGTCATCCGAGTGATGAGCAACAGTCTGAACAAGAAAACATCAAAAGGAAAAAAGTGACTGACGAGAATGACACAGAGTCAGAGCCGAAGAAAACAAAAGGCAATGATACAAAAACTGTTGTTCAACAATCTGACCCGCTCTCGTCAGAGAAAAGTACACACGAAGAAGAGCAAAAAGTAGTAAATGAAACAACTGACAGTTCTAGCGGAATTGACAGTGAAGAAGGGGAAGAGGAAGATATTCCCTCTCCTGCTAATGTCAGGGATAACATCAAACAAAAATACCTCATGGATATGCCTGAAGATTTCTACCAGTTTTGGGAATTCTGCAAAAAGCAAAATGGATCTCACCCGGAGAATGCTATGAAATCTCTGCTAGGTTGGACACTGGTTGGACCATATGATATTTTGGCAGGGAAACACAAAGGAGTTAACAAAAACAAGAAAGGGAGACGACCAAAGTTTCTATTACATTACCGTTATTACTATGATCCACCAGAATTTATGACAGTTGTCAAAGGAGATAAAGATACGCAGTTCCATATAGGATATTTCAGAGATGAACCATCAGAAATGCCAGTTTTTGTTGCAGTGAACCAGGCAAAAGACTCCTGTAAAATTACCCCAAAAGGAGAGAACATCTTTGGTGCTGTTAAAAACATCATAGATGAAGAACTGAAATCTGCTGATCAAGACCAAAAGAAAAAACTAAAAGATTTTCAGAACCAATTAATTGACTTTGCCAAGTCCAGAAAACTTTGTTTGGACCTTCAGAGTAATGAAATGAAAAAGCGAAACAAAAAGGTTGTTTGTAAAACATTTCATGGAGCTGGAATAGTAGTTCCTGTAGACAAAAATGAGGTTGGGTATCGACCAGTTCCAGAAACACCTGCTGACTTGAAAAAAATGTTTAAGAAAGTTGTTGAAAGCAAAAGCAAGGAAGAAAGAGACAAGAATATGGACCCAATCCAGGAACTCATCACTTTAGTACAGTTTGCAAATGATGAATGTGATTATGGAGAAGGCCTTGAGCTTGGCATGGATCTATTCTCATTCGGAGGTGAAGTTCTGCATCCCCTTATCCAGCATTTACTTCCCCTTGCATATCAGCTTCTTGGACGGTTTGAATTCAAAGACATAATTGAACTGCATTTGAAAAACAGGTCACATAATGTAAATAATGAATTAGAGATGTGAGATAGGTCTATATTGTTGTAAATGTTCTGTATTCTATAGTTAATAAATTTTGAGCAAGTTCAAAGTTGTAACTTTTATTGGTTAAAAGGGTTCATAAAGTACTGAACAGGTGGAATAGAGAGTCAGTTTAGTGAACATTTGAAATGTATGCATGCCAAGGTAAAGTTCGAGAAATACGGAGACATGGATGATAAAAATTTTAAATGAACTTCTCTAGAACTTCTTATGAGTAAAAACTGGCTTTAATGAACTATGGTGCTTCTGCCTGCTCCTCATTCAGCAGATGCCTTACTCTGGCTTTGGGGACCCTAATCAATTTGATTCCAGAGTATTTAATTATTTCTTTGCAAAATTTGTAAGTTACTAGGGATAGGTATCGCCAAAAATTTTGTATTGCAATATATCGCAATTTTTCTCAAAAATATCATATTTTTACACATGAATTTTACTTTTGATTTTTAATTAATTTTCATTATTTTTCTAACAAATATAGTGTGAAAACATAACTTCACTTTTTTCATTTTTATCTATATATAATTTAATTCTGGTTATAACATGGTATTTGATTGGATAAAAAATTTACTTTATATCGTATAAATTGGGCTGCCTACGTCACAATGACTTGCGTCAAGAACGTTTCGATCTGCCTGACGTTACTTTTAAATTATGTACAATTTGAAGTCATTTTTAAGGCCAATCATCTTTTTTTTTCTTACACTAAATGAATGAAAATTAAATTATAAGGAATGAAATTAATAGCTACCCAATTTATAAACGGCTTCGTGGTTTATAAAGCGTAAACTTCCCAACCCACTTTTAATATACCATATAAATTGGGTAGCTATTAAATTCATTCCTTAAATATATTAATAAAGCATGTTTGGATGCTATGATGCCTTTGTTTTACTGTTTTACAACATTTTTTATAATTCCTGTAACTGTACTTAGAAAGTTTGAACAAACAAGAGGCCCATGGGCCACAACGCTCACCTGAGTAACTGGTCTTGCTGTGTTTCACCTGATTTTCCAACTTGTAGTACCTATTGTGGCCCCACCCTATCCCCAGGGGTCATGATTTAAATAATATAGAATCTACACTACCCCAGGATGCTTCCACATAAGTTTCTGCTTTTCTGGGCCAGTGGTTCTTGAAAAGAAGATTTTTAAAGATTTTTATGCCCCCGGATCGAAAGATCCCGGGGGTATATTGTTTTTGTCCTGTCTGTCTGTTTGTCTGTTTATCTGTTTGTTTGTCTGTTTGTCCGTTTGTCTGTCTGTCTGTTGTCAACTTTAACCTTGCCCATAACTTTTGATTGGTTGGAGCTATGACTTTCATATTTCACATGTGTATTCCTTGTGACAAGACCTTTCTTTGGGTACCATCATATTTGACCTTTTGACCTTGACCTTGGAGTTTGACCCACTTTTGCAAAATTTTATGAGACTTTAACCTTGGCCATAACTTCTGAACAGTTGGAGCTTGGGGTTTCAATCTTCATATGTGTATTCTTTGTGACAAGGCCTCCTTTTGGATACCAACAACTTTGACCTTTTGACCTTGACCTTGGACTTGACCTACTTTTGAAAAACTTTAACCTTGGCCACAACCTTTGAACAGTTGGTGCTTAGGGTTTCAAACTTCACATGTGTATTTCTTGTGACAAGACCTTCCTCTGGATATCAACCACTTTGACCCTTTTGACCTTGACCTAGGAGTTTGACTTACTTTTGAAAAACTTTAACCTTGGCTATAACTTTTGAATGGTTGGAGCTAGGGCTTTCATACTTCACATATGTAATCCTTGTGACAAGACCTTCCTTTGAATACCAACGACTTTGACCTTTTGACCTTGACCTAGGAGTTTGACCTACTTTTGAAAAACTTTAACCTTGGCCATAACTTTTGAATGGTTGATGCTAGGGCTTTCATACTTCACATATGTAATCCTTGTGACAAGACCTTCCTTTGGATACCAACCACTTTGACCCTTTGACCTTGACCTAGGAGTTTGACCTACTTTTGAAAAACTTTAACCTTGGCCATAACTTTTGAATGGTTGGTGCTAGGGCTTTCATACTTCACATATGTAATCCTTGTGACAAGATCTGCCTTTGGATACCAACCACTTTGACCTTGACCTTGACATTTGACTTTTATTTTAAAAACTTTAACCTTCACCATAACTTTTGAACAGTTGTATCTAGGTCTTTCAAATTTCACAGGTGTTTTCCTCGAGACAAGATCTTTCTTTGGGTATCAACATTTTTTATCTTTTGGCCTGGATTTTGACTTGCATTTGAGAAACTTTAACCTTCGACATAAGCTGCCATACGGGGGCATCAGTGTTTCACAAACACATCTTGTTTCTACATATTTCAATGTAAAATTTGGATTCCCTATTGTGGCCCCGCCCTACCCCTGGGGGTCACGATTTGAACAATTTAGAATCTACACTACCCCAGTATGCTTCCACATAAGTTTCTGCTTTTCTGGCCCAGTGGTTCTTGAGAAGAAATTTTTTAAAGATTGTTCCAATATATTTCAATGTAAAACATGGATTCCCTATTGTGGCCCCACACTACTCCCGGGGTCATGATTTGAACAATTTAGAATCTACACTACCCCAGGATGCTCCCACTTAAGTTTCTGCTTTTCTGGCCCAGTGGTTCTTGAAAAGAAGATTTTTAAAGATTTTTTCTACATATTTCAATGTAAAAACTTGGATTCCCTATTATAGGCCAGCCCTACCCCCAGGGGTCATGATTTGAATAATTTAGAATCTACACTACCCCAGGATGCTTCCACATAAGTTTCAGCTTTTCTGGCCCAGTGGTTCTTGAGAAGAAGACTTTTTAAAGATTGTTCCTATATATTTCAATGTAAAACTTGGATTCCCCATTGTGGCCCCGCCCTACCCCTGGGGGTCATGATTTGAATAATTTAGAATCTACACTACCCCAGGATGCCTCCAAATAAGTTTCAGCTTTCTGGCCCAGTGGTTCTTGAGAAGATTTTTTAATGACCCCACCCTATTTTTGTCTTTTCTTGATTATCTCCCCTTGGAAGGAGGCTTGGCCCTTCATTTTAAAAATTTAAACTCCCCTTCACCAAAGGATGCTTTGTACCAAGTTTGGTTAAAATTGGCCCAGTGGTTCTTCAGAAGAATCTGAAAATGTGAAAAGTTTATAGACGGACGGACGGACAACAGGTGATCAGAAAAGCTCACTTGAGCTTTCAGCTCATGCAGGTGAGCTTAAAAATTAATTAAGTACATTAAGAATTAAAAAGTACATACTAAATACCGGTATTTTAGTCTCTGTATCATGATACATATCGCGCAAATAAAAAATCACGATATACTGGTATATCGATAAATCGCACATTCCTACAAGTTACATTCCCAATTGTGTTTGAGTACATTTTTGAACATATACTTATAAGTAGGGATGTCAATTTTGTCAATAATTCATATTCGAATATTCAATGAAAGTATTCGAATATGTTCGAATATTCGATAAAATAAAAAAAATCTGTTTTATTTTAAATATGCATCATCCTACTTTAATGAAAGGTTTAGCGTAGGTATAGTTATATTGTAAATAAAATTGTATGAAGACTTATTTAGGTGTACAATAAGAAATTCCATTTGATATTTGTCAATGTTTAAAATAAATAATTGATTTAAATGTAGAGAGGTATAATTTTAACGAATGAAACTGTATATATAGTAGCTCCAACTGAGGAACCAGTCGTCTTACCAAAGGCAAGGTAGTCGTAACGACATACTGTTCAGATTTCAATACTCGTAATAAATTACAATTATTTGCCTAATAAGAGATATGATTATAAGAAGGTTTTCATTTTGTTGTCCTCTATTCTAGATCCGATCGTATTTAACTTATGAAAACTATGAAAGTACGTTTTGTATTATACATAAAGCATCATTGTACATTGTAAGTTATAAGTATATATGTACAAATGATGTTTGCTACATGTATTCAATCTGATATTTGGAAGACTGACTGGGCACATGAATGTATATTTCCAGGTACTTTAATAATGTACATCATTTATTTAGGGGAGAAACTCTACTCATCAGCAATGATGTTTTTCAGTTCAGATTGAAAACAATAGAATAAACTTTAGTAGTAAATAAACATGCATGCCCTTTTCTCCCACTTTATATTATTGTCAAGTTAAAATGCCATTTCTGTCACCCCCAACCACCCCAAGGGTATGCATTTTAATTGTAAATTAAGTTTCTTTTTGAAAATCATAAGCTTTAAAGCAACATTTTGTAAAGAGTAAACAGGGATTGTGAACCCAATCATTTTTTTCTGAATTGCCAACATTGTGATAGAGGGCTCTTTGTTATAGTCATACATACCATACTAGTATGTGAATTGCCAACATTGTGATAGAGGGCTCTTTGTTATCGTCATACAAACCATATAGTATGTCACATTTTTTGAGTAGGAAAAACTTCATAACTTGAGGGAATGGGGTAATTCCATTACGACTCGCTCATGGCCATATACAATTGTACACTAATATAATACTATAATGTTTTCTGGTATATTTCTGAAGATTTCTCTCTCTCTCTTCCTTTTTTCTCAAGTTAAAAGGGAATTTATTAAAGTTTGAACTTTTCCCCTCACTTTTTTAAATACGTGTACCTGGTGGCTGTGGCAATATGTCACTGAAAATGAAAATCATAATTACATGTACGTCAACTGACACTTAGTCACTTGGACAGATATATCTTCTTTGAGTATATCATCAGTAGGGCTGTGTATTGAGAAAAATATTTCAGTACGATACGATATTTTATACAGCGATATGCGATATATTGGATTCTTTAACAAGTCTATCAAAAAAGTCTTGTAAATCATTTATTGCATAAATTTGATAAAAACTGAGTGTTTTATTACCAAATTGGAAGTTCATGTCTCACTGTCTTTACAAAGTACACTTCAAATTCAAACTTATAATGACTGTGAAACTAACATGTTAAAATAATGTTGTCTTTGTATTTTTAATAGTTATTTAAGATGTGCTATCTCCTTAATGTTTATTTCATTATTGATTAGTTTTAATTCAAAACAGTTAAATATAACCTTTGGTAACTGAAATTTCCAACTTTTTCACAGAATTGTAAGAAAAACTGCCTGCCCGATACGTATTGGAAGTTATTTTTTCGATACATTCCAGAATATCGATACGTATCGATTAATCGATATATTGACACAGCCCTAATCATCAGTACTTGATTCGCATTCCATGTAAATTGTTTAATTACTGTATCATAAACAGATGAGTGTGCATGTAATAAAATCATGTCAACCTTAGTACAAAGACGTTAGTGTCTTCGCCATTCCTAAATGTTTGATGAACGGTACATTTCCTACGCTGATTGATCAGATATACTCTAATTTTACAGAAATGATTAAGACAGTCTGCTTACACTTACATGTAACTCATTAATTAATCTTCAACTAGACGATTTAATTTGACTCTCATCAAAATACCCTTGCATGTCCAACTGAATTCCCTTGGGACAAGAGGATTTTCTCATTATCGAGTATTATTTGATACCCAAAGCTGTACAATAAATAAAAAAAATGTGTCTTTTCTTGATGCAACATTTTTGAATAAGATTATTGCCATACTCTTGCATACATATCTACGGATTACTTTTTTTAAGTTTTCTTTTTTCTTAAATATTAATAACCTTAATAAAAAGTCACAGTGACCTTAATGTAGGATGTAACACACCTTCTACCTAACAGGCATTGATTGAATAAAGTTTTATGATTCCACGTCTAATAGTTTTCCACTTGTGAGCCAGACATGGTTTTGGTATATTTGGCCATATCTTAATTAAAGGTCACCTGTTTTCAATGTGTAACACACATTCTACCCAAGATGTATCAGCTTACATAGTGTGATTATTCTACCCTAGTAGTAATTAAGTTACATGCAAACAAAAAAGCTAACGGATGGACACGAATACCATACCATAATTCATCCCATAACAATACATGTATCACATTTTAGACCCTGGAGATGGCTCACATTATGTCATCATAGTTATCCTTCCAACTCTGGCTTTTGTTTCTGCTACAGACAAATCATACTGCTCTGCTCAGTATACATATAAATAAAACAAGACTCGTGTAATAGAAAGCATTTCTATTTAGTAAATCATAATAATGATAATAATTATGCATCATACAAAAACTACGAATTTCATCTGCTCAAAATTGAGGATATAACAAGCCTAAAGATGCCAGTAGAAAATACAAAAAGAGAACAAAAATTTAAATCACTAGTAAAATATATCAAAACAGACTGAAGTCTCACACAAAGGAAGGGCTATTATCATATTCCAATCAACGTTAACTGTTCTTGTGCACAGTCAAATGCCAGACATTGTTATTTGGTGTATTGCTTGCAGAACACTTAGAGCTGTTTCATGTTGTAACTCCTTCATTTTCCATGTTGGTATTTTCATATTTTCTTTAAAATAAATTATTTTACCAACCCAGAAAGTATGGAGGTACAGCATGGTACATTTGACAAAAGTGTATATTAAATTTGTTTAAAAGTTATAGGCACTTCTAGCAGTTCTCATTCCAATCAAGATACGTGGTGGGCATGCAGTGTTGCCTCCCAAAGTTCTCCAGAATGCTTCAGTGATCTACAAGAAAAAGTACACAGGTACAATACAAGGGCAAATAACTGAGCTAACCTGGTGAAACATAGCAAATTAGACATTTGTTTTAAAAAAATAACTTAAAACATTGTCTGCATTTATGAAATAAAAGAATTTAGGGGGAAACATACATTTATAACTTTAATGATATGAAATTTCTTTTGAACAAAATTAACAAAATTTTCTTTTCAGCTGCATGACAATGAAGTTACACCAATATTGAAATTTATGTAAAATTAATGTACTATAAAAGGAGCCTGGACACAGTTGAATTGTGTAAATTTAAAATTTCTATGTTTATAAAAAAATAATTTCAGTTTATTAAATTGAACTTGAATGAATATTTTTTTAATTCAATAACGACATTCTTCTATATAATACGTCAAACATCTGAGTTTGTAGAGCACAAGCTCTGTTTTATTTAATATTTACGCTTTACAGGGTGTGTTCAATTTTTTTACTCTGCAATTTTTACTCTGTACTCGTAATACTGGCGAGTTAGATTTCCTTTTCAAACTTCTACTCTGAATTTTCTGGATTATAGTTTTAATATTTTACATTAAAACACAACAGAATTTCTACTTTTCATAAGTATTAAAGATAAAAGTTTACTTGTGAAAGAGCCAGGATGTCATAAAGTCATGTGTAAAGGCCACACTACTGTAACAGATTACAACTTTAAAGCCAACTTTAAAGTTGGAAAAGCCAAATTCAAAATTGGAATTTCCAACTTTAAAGTTGGAATAACCAACTTTAAAAAAAAATATTACGTGGCACTAATATGCTTCCGTAGATACCAGATATTTAACAGGGAGTGTAAACATTTATTGTTATATAAACTTTACTGATTATGAGTTTGTTTAAAATGGCAGTTGTGCCAAAACCAACTGACCGGATACTGTTGAACAAATATGACCTTGATTATGGTTGATTGGGGTTAAATTTGGCAGTAAAGATATCTAAATTAGAAATAGATAAGTTTTTTTTAATATATATATATTTTTTTAATTTTAATTTAAATAATATCATCTAAATGAATATATCTATTTTTATAACTGTTTGTCGATTTATTAAGCGGTGATCTTTGTCATATGTGACATTCGTAGAAGAATGGGGGAATATGTAATAAACTTAAAATGTGATAACAGTGAAAATCAGTCTTAAGAGTGAAGAAAAAAGGTCCAGAAAAAAGGGGGTTGAAATTAGTTCCTATGTAATACACATACTCAACTTTTGAACAATTTCCTGATGAAAAAAAAGTGCATTCAATACAAGTTAATTTAGAGAAATGAATAACATCTGGAGGTCTGCACAGTACAACACCAGCACCAAGCTGAAGCTTTACCAGAGCTGTGTTGTATTAACTTTCCTATATGGATCGAAATGCTGGAGAATAACAGAGACGGATCTTAGCAAATTACGATCCTTCCATACCACATGCCTCCGCCGAATACTCAGGATTTTCTGGCCCGAGAAGATTACAAATGAAGACCTGCTGAGCAGATGCAAACAAGAGGACATGGGTACCATCATTACCAAACACCGATGGAGATGGATACGACATGTTCTCCGAAAAGACCCCCAGTCAACAACAAGAACAGCACTGCATTGGACCCCAGAAGGCAAAAGAAAGAGGGGGAGGCCTAGAACATCATGGCGAAGGACAGTTGAAAGCGAGATGAAAGCTATGCACCAGACCGGAGGCTGGCCCAGGATAGACAAGAGTGGAGGAAGTTTGTTGCTGCCCTACACACCACAGGGTGTAAAGGACAATGATGAATACAAGTAACTTCATGGTAAGTGTCAATCAAACACGTCCCGGATTGGTAGTTTTAATAATCTTCAGATAAAAGAAGATTCTAAACAAGCTTTTATTATATTTCAGCTTGAAATGCTCTAGCAACAAATAAGTCATAATATTTTACTGAAAATTTTACAAAATATAATATTAACTTTAAATCTGTGTCCAAGCCCCTTTCAAGCAAGATGAAACATAATGAATATTTTATATATGTATTCAGTACTTACTTCACAATGTCAACAAAGGACTGAGAGAGGGTTTTCATTTGGTATGGAATTCCATGCTTTTTACAGAGGGACTGAACAATTGGTTGGATTTTGTATAGATTGTGTCTTGGCATGGTAGGGAAAAGGCTAAAATAAATTAACATGCATATATATGTTATATATCTCACATGCTTATAAATATTTGCAACAAATTTAGTGTAATTCAATTCCATAAATTCATTCATTCACATGCACTTTAATACGGTAGATTTCAATACTTCAGGTGTTATAAGTAGAGTAGAACTTTATCTCGATCATCAGAATCTTTAACACAAGGGATTTGTAGAAGTGCCCTGGCAGCCCCATTTTTCTTTATATGTTTTACACTCGTTATCTCATATCCTCCAATATCTTTAAGTTTAATCTTAGTCCCATTGAGTTTGGGATAACAAGGTTTGGCAGTATGTTTCTATTTGTTTTGTTTAGCTCATACTACCAGGCAGGAATTTCAGTTCATGAAAATATCAAATGGGCCTACAGTATTGTATGAATTGATTTTTTTTTTTTGACAGGCATTCCGTTTACACCTGTTTACACCAGCCCTGTGTATTTTTTTTAATAAAATAAATGATTTTTTTTACACTATTTCACAGCATGCAAAGTGTAGTTCTGATGGTTCAGGTGAAATGTGTGGTTTAAAAATGCACAACGGATATCAGATACAAATATGCATGTATTTCCGAATGTAAGGAAAAGAGTTTCTGAAATGAAATAATTTGTGTTGGATTTATTTTCTTATTTTTTCTAGACACAAAAGTAACAAAATTTTAATCAAAGATGAAATTCAGTAATTTACAGTATTCATCTTAACTAAATTTGCATTTAAGTAAATTGCACTGTATTTTCTGTATTGCTAAGCTTTGTTTTCTTACTGGTGTTCTATCTGGAAATTGAGGTGCCCTGTGAACCAATCATTGAAAAATGACTGCTCAATATCACAAGTGGCCTTCAGCTGGAGTCGAATCCACGGCTCAGCGGTGTCCTCATCAATGTCCATGGGGATGTGGTTCGACTGACTCACCCAGGTAAACCAATGGCTCTCTAGCACTCTGCATAGAAAACATTTAAAATGGTGGGGTTTTCAAAAGTGGTCACTATTTCTTAATTGATTCAGAAATAATTTTTTTTTCATAGGTTTTATTATAAAGGTCTTAAATAAGTGCATGTATAACAAATATTTCTTCTTTTAATATTCTGTAAGTAAATATGATATATTTACTGTAAATATCAACATATTGATCTCAACAACTTTTTTCAGCAATGAGAACAAAATCATGACACCTTTTTTTTTCCTTCCAGGTCTTACCTCATTATTTCATAGTAAACAAATACCCATCCAACTCCGAGCAGTGGTGTATAAAGGTAGAAAAACTTCACATAAAAAGCCATGACTACTATGAAATCCTGAAGAATACAAAATATAATACAAATAAATGTCCATATCTCAAATATTATGCCAAATATACCTGAAAAACATCTAGTGAGTTTATGGTCCAGATTATAGTGAATTTGAATTTTGATATCTCAAACTCTTCTAATATACAGTATAAAGAAATAATTACATGTTCTAGCGTTAAGACTCTGTATTGATTTACCTTCCATAATCTTCTGGTGAAAATATGTCTAAACAACATAAACTGGAAATACACGGGGAACAGAAGAGGGGGTCCAACTGTAAATATTAAAAAAAAAATCAAACAGTTCATTAATTTATTTTAAAAAAATTAAATTATTATAGTGCATTAATTTCTTTATCATAAAAAAGGGGTGTGAGTGGTTGGTGGGGGTGGAGGTACAAAATCTTAAGAGTGAAGAAGAATTCCATTTGTCTTTATAAATCATATTAATGTATATCATATTTTAACTGGTTTAGTGAGATCTTTTACAAAATACCAGATACAGCTTGAACTAGAAAACTGATGTCAACAGTCATTTAAGATGTTATCTTTCATAAACTGAATGAACGAATGTTTTTACAAAGCATACAAGATATTACTTTGAATTAAAAAGAAGCACACTGCTAAAACTTCAAAAACCACAGTTTGTTTTTTTTTTCTATATCAAACAAATTACATGTACATAAAATAAAGATGAAGTTTAATAATTTTATTACTGGTATTCACATTTACTAAGCCTAATTATAATTTTGATTGTATCCAAAAACAGAAACTCATGAAAATAACTGAATAGTACCTTTTACTCTTACCAAATCTTCAAAAAAAATTCCATCTGCAGAATATTACCATTCAAATTGTATTTCCTGGAGGTTTTAAAATTTTTTTAAACTCAAATTACAAAACATTTACCTTTACTTCTAGTTCTAATGTGGTTACATCTGGAATCAAGATTTGAACAAACTTGATTCTTCACTCAATAATGAAGCTTTAATTCATACAAGTTCTGCATATTTGGCTCAGTGGTTCTACATAAGAAATTTTAAATGACCCACCCCATTTTAACTATTTTTTAATTATCAGGCAATAATGACACACAAACTTTGAGGAGAAAAACTCATTAAAGCTTTCTACTCTGGTGAGCTAAAACAGGGAATGAATTCCTCGTTTTACATAATATAGAAATTGACTTACTTATAAAGAAGTACTTGTGCTGCAGATTGTAGGGCATACTGGATTTGTTGGATTCAGCAACCTAAAAATTATCAATCAGGACTTTTATAGCAAAAACAGCAGAATTTTAGTCATTAGACTTCTGAGAAAAGATAAGTTTAATTTAGAGCCAGAAACACACTGAACTACAATGCATACCTTAACAGGCATTTTCTCTCCAACAACGAACAGTTGATCTACTCTGACATCAGGATCTTTACCCATCTGTATAAACAAAGGAAAAAATAAATACACAAATCAGGAACCTTACCCATCTGTATAAACAAAGGAAAAAATAAATACGCAAATCAGGGTCCTTACCAATCTGTATAAACAAAGGAAAAAATAAATACGCAAATTAGGACAGGAACAAGTGTTCTAAATGAAGCTTATCAATTCTTTACCAAGAGGCTATTTTTTAATTTTTGCAAATTGATAAGATCATCATTGACAAAATTGAAGGACTAAAAGAAAACTGTCTTATGCATATTTTATTGTCTTTTATCAATATATTCATTAAACACTTGTTTTAAAAGCAGCTCTTTTATTCCTCATTATATATTGTCCATAATAAAAAAAATATATGTTACATGCAAACAGAAAGAGCACTACATGCATTTATACAAACTTTAACAATTATTTGTATAGATCTTCCTTAAAAGGGCCCCTTACCACATTAGGTTTGGCGTGGTGTTGATAATGCATATGGTTCCACCAGCTTGGTGAAGCACCCTACAACAAGAGAACAGCAGTACTTATGAGATAATGACAATTCAAACAGGAAGCAGTACATGAACTTATAAATAATCTTATAATCTGTCCAGAGATTTATTTTTAAATTTAATTATCTATATATCATGCTTTTTGATATAATTATGTGAAAAATTCTTCAACAAATTGAATCTCTCAGAATTATCTCTTTTTTCCAGTAGAACCAAGATATATATATAAATTTATGAAACAGTTAAAACAAAATGCATAAATTTATGTTAAGAGTTCATTGTGCTAGCACTTATTCCATAAATACAAAGATTACTCAAAGATAATTTAAATTCATGAGAATTCTGTTGAAAGCTTGCACATTTTTTCCCCATTTCAATAGGACAGGCATATTTTACATTGAAGTATGAAGAATTTTTTTGTACCAAATCAAATTAAATTTACTTTCAAAGTTTTTAAGAAGTATTTAATAAGTACACTTAATTATTATCAAAGAAAAACTTCACATCTGAATATTAATAACTTGTACAAACAACACCAAATGAAGTAAATGAAGTTAAAACAAAGAAGGACTTGTGAAATTGTTAAAATAATTTGCTGACGTACGTGTGCATTACGTGATGTTTTCCTTTTTTTTACTGACTCAGAGGTAGTATAATATGTGCTTTGATGAAATCCATATCATGCATACAGATGATACAGAGGGTAACATTAATAAGTACTTACTTACACAATGTAAATCTAACGCTAACGTGAAAAAATCATTTAGAGCATTTATAACAAGGGTAGAATGTGTCACAGTAAGACAGGTAAAATATCTTTATCTTCCAATAACATTTGTATAGACCCAATTAACTAAAATATTTGTTTAAGTTATAGTTTTAAGATCTGCAGACTCCAGAGCACCCTCAAAGCTAATTAGCTCTACCCTATAGCAGTATAATGATAAATGTTACTGAATTGAGATCTACTGTTTTATTAAGCAGTATGGTTTATTTAAATGCGTTCTTGAAAAAAAGTTACTTCGACTTCTAAATGACTAAATCAAGACACTTGAATTGTTATTCATAATACTTAATGATTTTAGTAAATATCAGAAATATACTTCTCTTAAAATAGTTGATTAGTACATAATTTCTCACGGACAAACTCAACCAATTAAATACCTACATCATATAATACTCTATAAATTTAAATTAATATTTTCATTAATTAATATCATTTTGTTTGAGATCAATATAACTACATGTATTGCGTTTATCATGTTTATAAAGAAGGAATATCAACTATGCATGTGACATTCATATAGAGGTAGAGTGTATACAATGCATCTAAAAAAGGCTATATTTGCACAGCCCTTGCACACATTTTTCTCTAGACAGAATTTCAGATTCATCGCAAGCTTTCATATCCTATCAAGTACCTTGATACATCCTATTGTTAAAAAATGAAAAACATGGTCGAGCCAGCTGGATTTAAATACAGAGAGATGTCCAAAGTCATGCTGCAACCATCCAATCTGGCTCTGTAAGTAAAGGGTTCACAAGAAGTTTAATCAAACAGTGGTTATAACATAGTTAGAACTGTAGCCACCAAAGTCTACAAGTGGTGCGTCTACTATCCCGATGGTTATGGGCACAAACCCTGTAGAAAAAACTTATTCAATGATTAATATGTAAAATGAAGCACATACACACACATGGATTATATGTGATGGATGCAGCGTGCACTAAGCAGTTAAAGCTATATATCTGTACATTGTTAGCTGAAGTGAGTCATGGAGTCTAGCTGACAATGCCACAGTGAGAACAACAGGTAGGAAGACATTGTTCTGGTAATTACCATTCTGCATCAGAGACAATCTTTAACATGTCATGTCTTTAAAATCCATATTTGTGCCATTATGAATAATATGACCTGTTGCAGCCCAAGTTCTCTTTGCAAAGCAAACTAATTAATGACTTCCTCTTACAGACTGGAATAATCATTAGTTTCTTGTCTCTAATGCAAAAGCAGTACCAGAACAAAGCAATTTCTTTTCTCCAATACCAATTACCTTTGTAAATCCCATAGTAAAGAAATGGACAACATGATCCACAGTTGGATTTTTAAATACTGACAAATGGCCAAAATCATGCTGAAGCCAACCACACTGTGCCTTTAAAACAAACAACAGGCCTTAGGACTCAAAACACTCAGGGGGCAAATATACTTATATTAGAGGCCTATAGGCCACCACTGATAATTAAAAAATGTATGGTAGCAGAGAACTTATCTGGTTGTATGTTTTGTATCTATAGATAAGCATACTAAAAACACTAAATACTCACCTAATGCAACTAGAGGTACTGTGAGTAGGCTAACAAAATACTACCCCTCACTGCATTTTTTTAAAAAGTGCCCATTCAAATTTTGTAAATATGACCTTGAACTTGCCAAAAAAGTCCTTGATTAAAAAAATTGACATATTCTCTGGTCATTAGTAATCTTTATGTGAAATATGGACATGCACTGTTTCTCCATTAAAATCTTATAGTTACAGACCTGTCATGCATTTACACTTAATATACCAGTAATCTTGAACTTGCGGGAATGACCTTGGGTCAAGGTCATGACACACCCTCAGGTCATAAACAATTCGTGTATCCAATCATTCTCCATTGCTAAGATATAATCTGGTCAAGAATTTGATACTTTTTCTGCCAGTGACCTTGAACTTGCCAAAAAGACTTTGGGTCAAGGTCACAACATACCCTCAGGTCATAAACAATTGAGCTTCCAAAGATTCTTCATTACAAGGTGATAGCCTAGACAAGAATTTTATACTTTTTTTGACAGTGACCTTGAACTTCCAGGAATGACCTTGGGTTCAGGTCACAATGAACCCTTGGATCATAAGCAATATCTGTACCAAGTATGACCTTCCAATAATTCTCCATCAAAAAGTTTTAGCACAAAAATTTTATACTTTTCCTGCTGGTGACCTTGAACTTGCCATAATGACCTTGGGTCAAGGTCATGACACTCCCTTGTATCATAAGCAATCTCTGTACTAAGTATGATTTTCAAGAGATTCTCCATTACAAAGTTATAGCCCAGACAAGATTGCATGGACAGGCAGCTAGACTACCATTTGTATAGACTGACAAGGTGACTCCTATATATCCAACAAACTTTGTTTATGGGGGTATAAAAAGATTTAAAGTTTTAAGATAATTCATTAAGAAAATACAATTTTATGAGGAATAATAAGTAGGACACCTAGCTCTGCCAAGATTGGTAACGTAGTTAACACTTAGCGGAAACTCTTAAATTGTCTTGGACTATTAGAAGCCACCAGCTATGAATATTTCACTCATAAAGTAATAACTTGTGTTTTTCCATTGGGGAAGTCACTGTTTCTATTCTCAAATTCTGATGACTATAAAAATAACAATTTTCCAAGACAACTTGGGATTTGGAATTTATTCTGAAGAAAAAAATTCTTGCTAATAAAGAGATATTGTGAAACAAAGGCATTGGAAAGTGGTTAACTTAAAATGCAATATCTGATATTCCATCTCTTTGCATGTGAAGTCTATACCTGATCAAGTTGAATATACAATTTTGTAGTCAAGATTAGCCATTAATATTTAAACTGTATTAAATTTAAAAAGGAAAAAAAATTAATTTCAGGGCATATTTCCTCACTTTCTTCAAATGACAAGTAAACCATATTCGGTCTGCCATTAAGTCCATATTTTGGACTGAAGCCAGAGATTCTGTAATGGTGTCACAGTATTTCCACTGTGACCACATGATAAATCTTTTACCTGCTGAACGATACACATGAGCTGAGTATATTAGTAACAAAAGAAACAGTTATCATTTTCATTATGCACTTGGTACAACTCTGATTACACTGTAGATAACATTGTGTAATGTACATCATCAACAAATGTCAAATAGTTCCATAAATTATACTGTCAAACTGATATTCTTTATATCAATATTGACATTTTCATATATACAAATACATTAATCACAAAACAAACTAAGCGTGCACATCATACTCTGATGCAGGTTTTGACGGAATATAGAATACATTATGACACCCTGATATTGATCACAGCTGCCCAGCCTGCCCTAACATTACGAATCTTAAATCAACCTCTCTACAGAATCTGCCTTAGATACAGATTCTAAATAGAACTTCTTGCAAAAGCAGTGCAAAGCTCCAGCTCAATGTAAAAGCCTGACACAGAGTTGTTAGTTAGTGCCCCCCCCCCCCTCTTTGGACTCTGTCAATTATTTTGATACAAGTCTGTATAAATACAAGTATCTACATGATCTAGGTAACAGTATGTGAAATGTATGTCAATGAAAACTAGAAATCAAAATTCATGACCAATGCAATATATATTTGCTGTACAAGATATCTATGACTAGAATTTAAAAATCTCATCATGTGGTTTGAAACCCTCTCTTGCTCTCTAGAGTTCTCAACAGATATTTCTACAGATTTGTGGAAATCAGAGGAAATCATTGCTAACATGGGAATCAGAAAAGAAAGAAGCAAATCCAAAGGAAATCTAAGGCTGAAAATCAGCAAAATATATAAGGTTAAACACTTTAATACAGATTTTTTAATATAACTCAGTGAGAAAAAGTAATTAATACTGCTCATTTCATACTCAGTCAGACAAACAGACTGTTTAACACTCATTATAAAAAAAATTCAAATTCCACAAAGGTAAATATTACTTAAACAGTTTACTGTGAAAAAAAAAATCAATAGTGATTATCATACTTAGACATTTTTTTTTTTTAAATATTCACAGCTTGATAAACATTTTGAAGTCTAAATTTTGAAAACTTACCTGCACAGTTGCATACAAGCAGACAGAGACAATAAACGGTATCCATCCAGTTCCGAAGTAATATAATGTTAGATATGCCATCACCTCCATGGCCAGAATGTGGGCCAGATGTATAAAGAAGAACCAATAACTAGGTTTGAACAGTCCCTAAAATTATACCCCAAAATTTCTCCTTCAGTGGAAATGGAAACAAATTACTTTTATTTAACATGAAAATTAAGTGTCAGTTTGAATGTATATTACTACTTATCTAGTAAGATTAAGCCTTTTTTCGAAAAAAAAATCTAAAAGGATAATTTACTTGTTTTCTTGCAGTCATATCCTACACTTATCTAAAAAAAAAAATTATAGGAGAAAAAGTATGGAGTGAATTGTATGGATACAAAGGCTCAATTTCAAATGTGAAACATACATCATGTACATGTATATTTCAATTACTCAGCCTCACTGCCAATAAATTGCAATACATACAATATACATATCTTTGACAAAACTTTATTGGTTTACCATCTTTTCAGCAGTTTCTCGTAGCTCTCTGAAATCTTTCTCCAGCGAGTAGTTCTTGTTTACCTCCCCCTTCTGAACACTTCCGATATGAAGAGGTAGTAGATACTTTTGTACTTGGTCTAAATCATTGTGGAAAGCTCGAAAAGCATCCTGAAAATATTCAAAACAATTTATGAGATGCTGTTTGTTTACAACTGACACTTACACAAGCCACAGTCTGACAGAAACTTTGGTAGTTGCCTGCATGTGAATTCATGAAAGTGTATACAAGACACAAGAGGAAACCTTAATTGACAAATAATGAAAGAAAAAGTGAGCAAGCTCACATACCCCACGCTCCCCCAAAACTCGACAATGCAACATGTAATGAATGGCACAGTGCATTTTAAATACACAGTATAATTAAACAAGAGGCCCAAGGGCCTTAACAGTCACCTGAGTACAATACAACAATTTAGAGGATCCATAAACTGATAAATGAAGCTTTGTCGCCCAAAAGCAAGAAAAATAGTATGATAAGCATCAACAAAATAATTGGTATAGAATCCATCTGTCCCCCATTTATCACTATTACCATACAAACTATTAACAAAATGTCTATTTTTACCCCCATATTATTACTTCTCACATTGGTCTCTCTTGGTCTTTGAAGAACATTAAAAAAGATACTAAGTTATTTTTGCCTCACTTTTATTGATCTATTATTTCCAAGTCTACCTGATCATTAAAACTATGAAAGTACTTTTTGTATTAAACAATAAATATTCTTGCATAATTCTCTTATTCTATTAACCTTTCAAATACATTATTTACAGTGATTAATTATCAGAGGTGAATGGCAAAGGGGAATAACTTTGCTCAGCAGAATACAAGTTCAAAGAGCCCTGGCCAGGACCAGAATACTTGACTAAATAATCCAGGTGTTCAAAATTCTGGTAAAAATACCCTTGCATATTAAAACTTTTACTCTGTTTTCCTTGAATATGCCCAGAAGAATAGAAGATTTTCAAAGAAATGCATGTTCACTATGTTATTAAATAAATAAAGCCCCCCCCCCCTTACACCAGAACATCTTACCCAGGGGCCATGAACTAATAATTCTGGAAGAAGCACTTTGCTCATCATAACAATACACTTGTTTCTTTGCTTTATTACCAGTAGTAGAAAAAAAATTTTGAAAGAAATTATGCATTTTCACTATAAAATCAATAGACCCCCCCCCCCCCTTCACCAGAACCCTGACCAAGGGGCCATGAATTTCACAATTTTGGAAGAGGCATTCTTCCTTATCATAACCATGCACTTCCTTTGTTTGAACAATACCAAGGAGCAGAGAAGAAGATTTTGAAAGAATTAATGCATTTATGCATTTTCCTTATATATCAATAGAGTCCCGACCTAACACCAGAACCCTTCACCCAGGGGTCACGAAATTCACAATTTCTGAGGAGGCAGCCATGCTCATCATAACTATGTTCTTAGTTTATTTAATATCCAGGAGAGAGAAGATTTTCAAAGAAATAATGCATTTTCACTATATATATCAATTGAGCCCCACCCTGACACCAGAACCCCTGACCCAGGGGCCATGAAATTCACAATTTTGGAAGAGGCAACCATGCTCATCATAACTATGCACTAAGTTAGTTTATTTAATACCCAGGAGTAGAGAAGAAGATTTTCAAAGAATTAATGCAAATAATCAAGAGCCCCCCCCCCCAACACCTGAACCCCTGACCCAGGGGCCATGAAATTCACAATTTCTGAAAAGGCAGCCATGCTCATCATATCTATGTTCTTAGTTAGTTTATTTAACATCCAGGAGCAGAGAAGAAGATTTTCAAAGAATTAATGCATTTTCACTATATAGTCAATAGAGCCCCCCCCCCCTTTACACCAGAACCCCTGACCCTGGGGCCATGAAATTCACAATTTTAGAAGAGGCACTCTTGCTCATCATAACTATGTACTTAGTTACTTTATTTAATACCAAGGAGCAGAGAAGAAGATTTTCGAAGAATTAATGCATTTTCACTATATAGTCAATAGAGCCCCCCCCCCCCCTTAACACCAGAACCCCTGACCCTGGGGCCATGAAATTCACAATTTTGGAAGAGGCACTCTTGCTCATCATAACTATGTACTTTGTTAGTTTATTTAATACCCTGGAGTATAGAAGAAGATTTTCAAAGAATTAATGCATTTTCACTATAAAATCAGTAGAGTCCCGCCTAACATCAGAACCCCTGACCCTGGGGCCATGAAATTCAAAATTTTGGAAGAGGCACTCTTGCTCTTCATAACTATGTACTTAATTAGTTTATTTGATGCCCAGGAGCAGAGAAGAAGATTTTCAAAGAAATAATGCACTTTCACTATATGATCTATATAGCCCCGCCCTAGCACAAGAACCCCTGATCCTGGGGCCATGAATTTCACAATTTTGGTAGAGGGCTCAATGCTTATTACAATGATGCCAACAGTTTGACTGCTTGAGGTCCAGGAGTAAAGAAGAAGATTTTTAAAGATTGCATTAATTTTGGTGGTTTTAGCCCCACCCCTCAGGCCCCAGGGGGGCAGGGACCATGAAATTCACAATTTTTGTTCCTCTTCACCCATAGATGATATATACCAAATTTGGTTGAAATTGGTTGAGGGGTTTCAGAGAAGAAGCTAAAAATGTTCAAATGTTAACGCACAACGACTGACAAAAACGGATAGCAATAGGTCACCTGAGTGACTCAGGTGACCTAAAAAGGGGCATTACTTTCAAAAAATCATCACATCAAAACTTCTTGCATATATTATAAGGACATTCAAATCTTTGTATGTTACAAATTTAATTGTGCTGAAGTTTCTAGATAAATAATGGAATCAAATTTTCTTGGTAATATACAAATCTATACATTATGTCTGAAATACCTACAAAGTTTCAGGAAATTCAGTGCAGGAGTTATGCTGATAAACTGTTATTTAAATTCCTCAGTGACTTCAATTTGTTAATGAGTGTAAGTCCATGTCCAACACATGACAATTTACACATCTAAATAATTGATGGAAACAAAATTATGATGTAGTCATACATGTATGAATTTGTTTATATACTGTACTTATGAAATTATTTAAGGCAAAGCACCAATTTGAGTGTGTGTGTGTGTGTGTGTGTGGGGGGGGGGGGGGGGGGGTGAGAACTATCCAAGATTTTGTGTGTGTGTGTGTTAAATCATTAATATTTTGGTCTCAAAATCAATAGGGGTCTTTTAAGGTCATAAAACATTTCACATAAATTTCATTACAAAAGTTGATTCCAGTGGATTTCCTTATTACCAAGCTGGAAAGTATCTTCAATAATAGGCAAAAGTCTTAGGGCAAAAATAATGGAATCAGAATTTCCTGGTAATATGCACATACACATCACTGTGTACTAAATATCTGCAAAGTTTGACCAAATTCTGTGCAGCGGTTTAAGAGGAGTTGTGCTGAAAATCTGTTCATCTCTATATTCAAGATATGGCCAAAAATCTAAGTTGAAAAGTGCTGAAATTCCAAGAAAAATAACGGAATCGGAATTTCCTGGTAATATGCACATCTACACATTGTGTACTAAATATCTGTAAAGTTTGACCAAATACTGTGCAGCGGTTTAAGAGGAGTTGTGCTGATAAATTTCATCTCTATGTTCAAGATATGGCCAAAAATCTAAGTTGAAAAGTGCTGAAATTCCCAGAAAAATAATGGAATCGGAATTTCCTGGTAATATGCACATCTACACATTGTGTCCTTAATATCTGCAAAGTTTGACCAAATTCTGTGCAGGGGTTTAAGAGGAGTTGTGCTGACAAACTGTTCATCTCTATTTCAAGATTGGCCAAAAATCTAATTTGAAAAGTGCCGAAATTCCCAGAAAAATAATGGAATCAGAATTTCGTGGTAGTATGCACATCTACACATTGTGTCCTAAATATCTGTAAGGTTTGACCAAATTCTGTGCAGCAGTTTAAGAGGAGTTGCACTGACAAACTGTTCTCCTCTATATTCAAGATATGGCCAAAAATCTAAGTTGAAAAGTGCTGAAATTCTCAGAAAAAAGAAAGGAATTGGAATTTCCTGGTAATATGCACATCTACACATTGTGTCCTAAATATCTGCAAAGTTTGATGAAATTCTGTGCAGCGGTTTATGAGGAGTTGCGCTGACAAAAAAACAGGACTGACGGACGGGTCAAAACATTATACCCCCCGCAACTTGTTGCGTGGGGTATAAATATACTGTATAGCGGGTTTCTTTAGCAGGTGTAAAATTTGGCATTTTGCTTTCTCAAAGGTATGCCAATAATTTTGGCGGAGCTTTTTTTGGCAGACACATAGTTTAATGACTTTGCAAAAGAGAGGAAATTCACATTTTAGATGAAAACAGGCTGGTAAAAGTTAATTTTTCTTATGTTCAGTAGTTATAAGCAAGGGTGCAAATTCAGCGATTAAAATTTTAGCGGGCTACTACAAAGCCACTAAAATAAACCAAAGTTAGCACCCCGCTAAAACATCCCGCTATGCCGTAAATACATGTGTATGTGACCTTGACCTCTTACCTCTACTTTTAGAAAGTATCATAAATCAAATTACATTGTTGATAGAGAGATAAAAAGAGGCTCAAGGACCACAATGCTCGTCTGAGTCACCTAACCTTTCCTACACAAATAAAGATGCAGACAGAAAGATACGCCTTGCTGTAAAGATCCACTCATCAATCATAATTTCAGCAATTTCAGTTAAATATTCAGTGGACTGAAGTCAAACTTAGAAACTGTAGCCTTGTTGTTCTTATATTTTGTGTAAAACATAGACCCCATATTGTGGCCTCACCCTGATCCTAAGGATCTTAATTTCAACTAACCTGAATCTCTACTACATGGCTTGTATGAATATTCATATAAATCAACTTATCATTTCTGTTCTTGAGATTTTTTTTAGTGATTCTAGTGTCAAACGCTGACCCCCTATTGTGGCCCCATCCTAGGCATAAGGGCCATGATTCAGTTACATGTGAATCTAAACTCAATATAGAAGCATTGCTTTGAGTTCATTCATTTCTGGCCCAGAGATTCTTGTCAATGAGGGAAAAAACTTTAAAAACCAACATATTTTCAATATTTCTGTTATACTATACGTGTACATAAATTGGCGTATTCAAAATTTAACGCAATCACTGGGTATTGAGTTGTTGGCATATTCATGAATTAGCGCTTAGCACACAAATGAGCTATACTGTATTTATATATGATTTATTAACGGTATTCATGAATTAGCACATCGTTGTCCACGCCAAAGCTGCTAAAATATGAAGTACATGCACATACACTATTTTAAGTACACATACAGTATTTGCCCTTGAAAAGAGCATGGCCTTTCATCTAAGGGGAAGAAGGACCTTGAGATGAAAAAAATACTTGTCATTCAATTTTTTTCATATTTTGTATATTTCTAGCTAAGTATGTCCCACATATCTTAAAGCAGTTATATCATTAGGTTTCTTAACTTATTTTAGAGATATTGATTGACAAATTCTATACCCTACAGTATCTAAGTGGAGTTTTAATTCTCCATATTTCCGGGCTCATTACTCTGTCCATAATGGAATTTTTTAAGCATATATAAAAACATGCAAATGGACATGTATCTTTTAAAATATTTCAGAGTATGAATAGGGTTTTAAATTCGAAAAATCAATTTTCTTCCATCACACTGCATCTGGATAGGGAAAATTACGTACTTTTTAAGACCACTTAAACAACAAAAAACGTAATTCACAAAAAATTCTATCATTCAATATTTTTAAATTTACGTTGAAATGCAAGTCCTTCATATTATTGATTAACTGTAAAAATTTTCGAATGGTGAAACTGACCTCAATATTGCACAGGACATCGTTAAAGAAGACATAAGCACGACAAAAACGGATCATGTGTACATTTCTCAAGTAGGGAAAAACCAACTATGACGTCACACGTAAGCTAAATAAGCGAAATAGATATACCTATATAAGATTCCCGTCATCAGCTATGAAAAAATAATTTTTTGTGTTCCCTGTTTTTCAAAATATTTCATCATATTCTGATTATGACCTGTTATAAATAATAATACCACGCCTGCATTCACCGAGTATGATCTAGCCTGCTGTACTAACAGATCGTGTGTGACGTCACCCTCTTGCTGGACGCGCAGTTTAGGAAAACAGAGGAGTGGATTAATCTTCTTCATAATTTTTTAATGTTTACAAGAATGTAAAAACTTTTTATTTTTTTTTAATATTAGATGGTGATTAAAGAAAAAAATTGTCAAAGAAATGTACAAGAACTGATGCACACAAGATCACATTTTATAAAGTTATAAAGATATGTACACAAATGTACATAAAGGTTCTAGCTGCACTGAAGTATTTGGAATTCAAACTAAATGTTTATACTTTTGCAACAACACAAACTTAGAAAAAAGAATATACCCAGTACACACATACATGTGGTGCAACCCAGCAGCCACACAACATGCACAACTTGTTTGCACATTTGGGTAGAAATTTATTTTTATATCAAATGAAAGAATCACTTGTAATATATATCAAATGAAAGAATCACTTGTAATATATATCAAATGAAAGAATCACTTGTAAGGCCTTGGAAATACCAAGTTAACCTCATTACATCTGTACAGTTCTTCTATCAATATGGAATTATGAGAGATCGATTGACCTTGGAGTACCAAACATGCACGAATCATGTACTTGTGTAACAAGGGGTCACTAGTTCAGGCATGTCTTTTAAAAACCCTGTTATAATACATGAAAAATTTAAAATCAGATCAGTGGAATAAGTTAAATAATTGGTTTCAAAACTCTCTGTAGATTTAAAGGTCAACATTCTCAATGGTATAGTGTTACAAGGTACTCTCTATAAGACAAACAAAATGGTCATACTGTGAACTTAAAATATTTCATAAAATTATTACAGTGATATTAACCAGATAATCCTCTGCTAACATTTGATCCATTGTGAAATATACAGTAATGTCATTGTTAAACAGTTAGCACGGTTAGCTGTGAATATAAGTGCTTTCTTAAATCCTAACTATCAATGACTTTGTAATATCTCTTTGACGGATATATTTCATATACATAGGTGCACACTATAGTTATATATCTTCATATTTCATTTCAGTCCCATTTCGAAGACAGCACGTTCAGAAGGACACATAACAACATACTTTGGTGACCAAGAACTCGTTTCTCTGTAATGTGGTATGCATGTAAGATTGAGCGATAACATAAAGTAACACCCCCACTATAAGATGTACAGGTGTACGTGAAATAATGCACTAAACTTGGATACCTGTCCTCATTTCCAACCTCAATGTCTTCTATTCTGCTCATTTACCATCAATATTACTCAATAATTACACTATCACCCATCTTCTCTCATAACTCTCAATAAGCCATACACATGTATATCTAATAAACTAAGTCATCATCGTAATGTATCAAAAATACCTGCCCTTTTTCTGGCAGCCTTTACATAAGGTCAATGCTAATTTCTAGGATTACCCAGTCATTTACTTACGGTGGCGTCTTGTCCTGCATAATGTCCAATGACCTTGGAGCCTCCAGGGTGGCGCTTGGACCACTCTGTGATGTTATAGACTTCATTATTGATGATGATCCATCGATCATCCCGCTTGTCATGTTTGGCCACTTCCTGACAGGAATAGCTGCCTAGCTGCTTCCTACCTCCTTTCCCCATTTTGGTGCCTTTCTCCTAACTTACAAAGCTACCAGCAAATACCTGGAATAATTAGAGTTAAAAATTACATACTAAGACTTGCAATCTAGATGAAGTTACGAACTCGTAGTATGGGATGTGACCTGGAGAAAAGATTAGATTTAGTTAATTAAATCTATGAATTGATTTCACCTGATTCAAGTTGGACAAGTCTTTTTCAGCTGCATTCAAAATTTAGGTCATAACTAGAGTTTTCATTCTTTTAATATAATTTGAAAGACTACAAATATCCTGATCAATCAATACACAAGTCCAAAATAAGAATTACAATGTCCTAATGCATTACCTTTCACACTGGAACTTGTCCAGTGAAGGGAATTTACTAAACAAAAAGACAAATATTATCTACATAATCCCCTTTTTTCATGAAAAAAAAAGTTTGGGTTAAATTTTTTTTTTTAATCTTCCATTTGGTAAGTTTTGACATCTTTGGCTCTGTGGTTCTTGAGTCAGAGAAGAAGTTTTAAATCATCCCCATGGCTACTCTATTTCTACTACTTTTTTATTATCTCATTCTCTCCTTTGAAAGGGGCCTAGACCTTCAATTGAACAAAATCCCATCACCCTTGGATGCTACCTTGGAAATTTGGTTGAAATTGAGCCAGTTTTCTGGAGGAAATGTCAATAATGTAAAAAGTTAATGCACCATGCACAGTGACAGAGGAATTTTAATCAGAAAGCAATGTATACTAAGATCACCTCAATGACACAAGTTACCTAAAAAGTCCGTTTTATTTCACCTTCACACCTTGCATAATCGAGTACACCAAACAATTCATGCTCCTTTGACTTCTGGATTGTCTAATTTCAAAATCTCGGCATGATCGCTCACACATAAAATATTTCTGATTATGATGATCACACATGTTTATATATATGTCGGATGAGAATTTCACTATAAACAACACTTACATCTATAACTATAAATTTTCCATGATTTGACAACTTCAGAGAATTTCGAGTGAGAAATATTTTGTTAGCATGTCCTTACTTTTTTCTTCTTAATAAAAGCAATAAAATATGCATACATCATGTACATATGCTACTATAGTAACTTTAAAGGGCATCAGATTTCTTGCAAAAGGTCACTCTAGAATTTAGAATATATACCACAGTTGCTTAAAATGCTGAATTAAAAGATACACTGCTTACATGTGTATGACAAATTTTAATGTATAACAATTTAAAATTGTGACTCTATAGTGTTTTCTTCTGATTGTTCAAAGGGACTATACATGCATTTTGAAAATTAAATCAGCTAGGATATAAACTGGCCATCTCTTCTTTTCTGAGCAAGGGAATTAATGCTTATTGTAAAACAAGAAGCTCTGAAACATTTTATACGATAAAAATATGTTCAAATCAAATCAAAAAGAAAGTTCACACTGCATGGCCTTGAAACTTGTGTTCCTTTCACTAAACAAACACCACATGTTAGCCTGGCTTGTGATGCATAATATTCTACAATATAAAGTCCACATAAGGCAGTGTTCCAGATCATCTAACCGGTAATCATAGTAGACATTAACTGATTAACAGAAGGTTTAAATTACAGATTACTAATCAGATTTACAATTGTTTTATTTCCCCTTAATGCAAATGATGTGACAATCTCTTATCTATAACCCCACGCCCCAAAAGGAAATTTAGAAAAATAGAACATGACAACTTGGTAAACATGGGTTATTATGCACATTTACATATAGTAAACTTGTCTAACAATTTTATATGTATTAATTATTAATATTTCACAAACCACCTAAGTATATTAATATAAATATTTATCTCAATTTGTAATTACATAAAGTAAAGTTGTCAAAATCTCTGTATTCGGTGATTATAGTTCAAATACAGTTTAGTATTCTTCACTATTAACATAATTAATGCCCTAAAGAATGACAAACACATTTTCCTTTCAAAACTTATGGTATATGATGTATCAGATAAAAATGCCATTTTTTTTCTTTTCTTGCCTATATAAATTAACAGCTGTAAACATGTATTTCAGAATTTAATGCATACTTGAGATACTGTATAAACAAGTCAATACACCCATGGATTGAAAATTTAAGGATATGACTTTTCATTTTGTTACCATTATAGTTACATGTATCTACATATAATCATGACATTAGAACAAGAAAAGCATTGAACCAGGGTATAATTTGTGTACATGTATTACATTCTATCTTGTCAGTTACACGTACATCTACAATTACCACTGGAAAAGATTTAATATATTCATGGTACTTGATCGAGAATTTTTTTCAACTCTTGTCAAAAAAAAAAAAAATGAAAATGATTTTCCCTTGAGAGATAGATTCTATATATTGTTAAGCCAATGAAAAAAAAAATTTCAAAACCTGCACTGATTGTATCCATGCAGGAATCCCATATCCAGACTCTATAAGAAGACTTAGCAAAATGTTTAATGCATCTCTCATATTCAATTTTTTCAATTTTATTTTTTGACAACACCACCAAAGTCATAGAAAATTCTTCTTTTTTTCATAATTATTGCATCAAGACAACAGAAGGAAAAAATTAATTTTTTTTCCTGGTTTCCTGCAGTAGACCAGTGCATTATTTTCTTAGGACTGTTCTGTAATAATCCCATTTCAACAATTTTAAACAAGAATTACTGGCCATTCTTTTTACTGTTACATGTCCAGAAAAAATCATGTGTATAATAAATCAATGAGACATAGTACTTTTATGCAAATTTATGATATATTCTACAACAGTTATTGCAAAAATCAAAGAAATGCTGAAATGCTGCGGCCACTATTCTCCAATAAATCACAAACATCATCAACAAATTATCAGTAACTTTAACAAGTTTAATTGGTTTCCTCTAATTTTGACTGCTCTTACTAGGAAAAGAATCTAGGCTTCCTTGGATTGTGATACAAATTAGTCGTGGAAAAGTTCACTTTTAATTCGGATTACCTCATACTTTTTTTAATGTATGAAGTGCAAGTGAACAAGAAGTAACATTCAGTTGTGATGTAATAAGGCACCTATGTTGATATCGAAATCTAGTTTCTCTATATCAGAGTTTAAAAATTTGTGGTTGCAGAATAAAATAATACCCTTGTCGTCGGAATTGTTGGAGAATACACCCTTCAATCTCGAAATTTTGTTGGCAAATAAAAAACCTCATCCTTTTATTGGACTCAGTTTTTATTTGCCAACAAAATCTCTCGACTATCTGGATATATTCCCCATCAATTCCTCCGATGCAGAAATTATTCCTTAAAGTATCATGATGTATAACAATACAGTCAATTTTAGTTGCCAATAAGTATCTTATGTTACATGTAGCCTGTTGATTATAATTCATTTCATTCAGGCATTTATCACCATTTATATGATAATGAGGAAAATCGAAAGGGACATTTCAATGCAGTGGATCTTATGATTATCTTTGTAATGCAATACTTTTTAAAAAAATATTTGACCATTTCTGCCGATAAAAGTGTCAATATTAGTTTGTTGTTAAGGGCGTTCTTCATCTACATTATTCTTTATAATTCACGTCTGATCCATTAAAAATGTAGCATTCATACTTACAAGTTCGTATTGAGTCCAGGTGATCATAAAATACAGAAACAAAAATCACACTTTACTTTATACAGATATTACAAAATCACTCCACTGTGGCCTGATCAGGACACATGCACCCGGAATCCAATCAAATTTATGCAACACCGTGACAACCGCACGGTTTCTCTTGAAGTTGATTTTAAAAACACTAGTACCTCGATTCTGAGTTTAATAGTGTAAATGTGTTGTCTTTACCAATCAAGTCCAACAGAAAAGATCGCATGCTCCTCTTTCACTTACCCATTTATCTGTCAACCCACTCTCACACACCGGTACTCTCGGCACACTCATGCGCACCTGCGTTAGAACAACACCGAACCCGATCGAAACTCTTTTTTATGACTTAGCAATCTTCCCAAATGACCCCCCCCCCCCCCTTATTAGATATCTAATAAAGTGCTTCTCTCAGAGCACTGTCCTTCCTCCTAAAGCAAAATGTCTCAGCTGATTTAAGTACTTAATTTGATTTTTAAATAATTAAAAAATATTAATAAAATAACTCTCTGCGTGAATTCATCTGACTTATGATTTAGTTGGTATCATCATTGTAATGGGACCATAGTTTGAAACAAAAACAATTCTGGTCGAAGGGATTGTGATTGATTGATTGATTGTTGCTTAACGACCATTCGAGATTTTTTTCTATACTCACACTTTAGGTGAAACGCCACAAAAATTTTTATGCATGGTGCTTACGCCCGAAGCTGCAAGAAAGAGTTCTTTATCAAGCCAACGCCTACCGTGACACGGGACCTTGGTGTTTTTGGTCTCATCTGAAAGACCTTTCACTTATAATACCAGACCAGATAATCCATTTAAGCTATTGGCTGCACTCTTCAAGGCCCTGCGTTGGAAAAGATCCTTGTAATAGTTTTAAAACAATAGGGCATTCAGGATAATCACATGCTCCATCCGTTAACCTTGGAAATTTTAGTATACAAGCTTAGCTATTACTTCGTGTTATACAGTAGATATATTTTTTTAATACAGTTAATAATATATTGTCTTTAAACTACATACATGTATTACTTAGCCTTAAATTATATTTGTTATATCTTTAAAAATTGTTTCCTATATAAATCTATGCTAAAAAAGTCTTACATTTCCAATGTTTTACTGAGCGGTCATAAAAAATCGATGTTTGACCGCAGAGTGCGATATTGAACTTGTCGATGAGATATACGCCCGCTTACGTCACACTATGGAAGGGATCAGCTAAATTTTTTTTTTACATTTGTTAGTCTTCTACAGTGGGAGAATTGACCGAGTTTTACCGCAATGCGGGTAAAGGAAATTTACATAGCGTTTTGTCGACCCATCGAACCAAACTGTTTGCCTTCGGCCTAACGGCCTCAGGCAGACAGTTTGGTTCTTGGGTCCGACAAAACGCATGTTGCCCTCAAACCCAGTCAATAAATGTATAATGTTCGCCCACTGCACATGAATTCATTACAGTATATATATGGTGCACACGTGTGTAAAACGTAATTTTAAGATTTTTATGCAAAATCTTGTGACTCATATTCTTGTGATTTATATTCGAAAAAAAATATTGTTCATATTCGTATTCAATTCCCATGAAACATCCAAGTGCTGTTTGCCACTGCGAACTGTTTAATTACTACCATTAACAACTGCTTACTACCAATGATTATAAACGAATTATCACTTGTGTTAACTTTAAAACTCAAGCTTGAATGCAATAATTGAATTTAATTACAACGAAAAAAAGTCCAAAATTTACCGACATGCAAGACGACCCACAAACTATTATGACGGGGGTGGTTAGCTACACATTAATCTATTAATATGATAGTAGAAAAAATGGGGTAGAGGGAGAAAGAAAATTCAATTTTGTTTATCTATAGGGAATGCCATTCACAACAGGGTGGGGTCACATAGATTAAAACTACATAAATATATCAAAAATGTTACGGAAAACAATGAATACATTTGCCAAGGGTAAAATGTATGCAAAATGTGTTTTATATTTCAATTTATTCATATTCAAAATCAGTGCTATTTATTTGTGATTCAAATTCGTTATATTGCATATACATACATGTTAATCACAAGATTATCGCACACATGTACGCATCGCACGATTAGCGCATACTAGTACATATAAATCGCAAGATTATCGCATATAAATCACAAGATTATCGAATTTGAATCATGTTTTTGTATATAGACAAGTTTTAGAATTTGAATAACAACATTTCGTATTTAAATCACAAGACCTTGCGATTTATATGGATAATCTATATGCGAAAGAAGACAATTAAATTATACTGCACATAATTTTTATGCCCCCGTAATCGAAGATTCAGGGGTATATAGTTTTTGCCCTGTCCGTCTGTCTGTCTGTTTATCTGCTTGTCCGCATAAACTTTAACCTTGCCCATAACTTTTCAGTGGTTGGAGTTATGGCTTTCATATTTCGCATGTGTATTCCTTGTGACAAGACCTTTCTTTGGATGCCATCATATGACCTGTTGACCTTGACCTTGAAGTTTGACCCACTTTTGCAAAAATTTTATGAGACTTTAACCTTGGCCATAAATTTTGAACAGTAAGTTGGTGCTTGGGCTTTCATATTTCACATGCGTATTCCTTGTGACAAGACCTTCCTTTGGATACCAAAAACTTTGACCTTGGAGTTTGACCTACTTTTGAGAAAAAAACTTTAACCTTGGCCCTAACTTTTGAACAATTCGTGATAGGGCTTTCATACTTCACACGTGTATTCCTTGTGACAAGACCTTCCATTGGATACCAACAATTTTGGAACTGACCTTGACGTTTGACCTACTTTAAAAAAAATCTGACCTTGGCATTAACATTTGAACGTTTGCCTCTAGGGCTTTCACATTTCACGATCATGTGTAACGCTTGTGACAAGACCTTCCCTTGGGCACCATTTGACCTTGACCTTGCCGTTTTACATACTTTTAAAAACTTTTACCTTCGCCATAACTTTTCAACAGTTGGTGCTAGGGCTTTCATATTTCACAGGTATATTCCTCGGGACAAGACCTTTCTTTGGGTACCAACATTTTGATATCTTGACCTGGAGTTTCGACTTGCATTTGAGAATCTTTAACTTTTGTCATAAGCTGTCGTAAAGGGGTATCAGTGTTTCACAAACACATCTTGTTATTTTAAAAAAATCGCTTATAAATCACAAGCTGCAAATAACGTTTTAGAATATGAAAAACACTTATTTTTTCAAATATAAATCAGAAGATTTCACAGGTTATCGCAAATAAATCACAATATTTTTTCAAGATTTTTTTATGATTTCGAACATTTTAAAGGTGGATTGCATTTTTTTTTTTAGAAGTAAGAGTTATCACACTTTTTCTTGTCAAATAACTTTTGATGTTTGGAAATTGTGTAGTGTTACTTAAAACTTTTCTTGTTAAGGTAGTCCGATCCTCAGGTTCTGAGAATCAGCTTTTAAGTAATGGAAAACGCTCACAAAAATGTCTCTGATTTCACATAGTAACATGAATTTAACCATGGAATTTCTTCAAAGTTCATAATTATTGTTAATCATATATATATATATATATATATATATATATATATATATATATATATATATATATATATATATATATATATATATATATATATATATATATATATATATAGGGAAAATTATCAAATCTCAAAAATATTTTCAAGAAATGCGAATAAAAACACCAGCTATGAAAATTGATCATGCAACAAATATAATTTAGGATAGAGAATATAGGTATCCAGGCATTTGGAGAAAATTGCATCTTTTTTATGCTTATATAGTATTTTAGGTCTTCTTTTTACTTCAATTATTATATAATACATAACGTAAAAAGTTTGTGCTATCATTGCTAGACATCACATATCACATCTTATTTCATATCATGCTAATAATTAAGCATTGATATCTAATGCTAGACTAAAAGAAATTCAATTTCTTTAAAAATGAATTCATTTTTTTTTCTTTTATGAGGTACAAATGTCAACTTTTTATAAGACTGTTTCTAAGACTTCAAAAAAACCTTGAATCATATTGAGATGCATAAAATGAAAATTGTTGCACAAAAAGATCTCAATTTCAACCTGATTTTTTAGACTTTTTAAATAAAATAATAAATTAAAGAGTTATCCTTCCTGACTGAGGATCGGATATCCTTAAAAAAAATATTAAAATATTAATGAAATAGTATTATATTAAGCTTACGAAAAAAAAATGTCTTCTTTTTTTTTTTAAATCAAGTTTCTGGAGAAAAGGGGGATACCTCAATTTTTAAACTTGATTGTGTGTTGTTTTGTTCCATTCGAGAATTTTCAATCATGTAGAGCAGAACGGACCGAAAAACCCTTGGCTAGCGAAGATGCACCGTGAAGGGCTTCAAATTTAGACCTTTACTCAGCACGCAGGGCCATTGAGCTGTGAAGGTTCTTTATTGAGATAAAGCCTACCGTGAAACGGGACCTCGATTTTTAAGACCCTGCCTCCTGATCATGAAGCGAGCGCCCTACCATTAGACCTTTAGAACTTTAAATACAAGGTATAGACAAGAGGCCCAAGGACCTTAACGGTCACCTGAGTATAATACAATTTAGAGGATCCATATAGTATAAAATAAACTTATAGATGAAGCTTTGTTGCCCAAAAGCAAGAAAAATAGGAATATCAAGATCAATGAAATAATTAGTCTAGTATTCAGTAACAACTCATAAATTAAATTCTAATCTATCCCCCATTTATCACTATCACCAGACTATTAACAAACTATTAGTGCTTCTGTACTATTTTTTAACTCCATATTTTAACCTCTAACATTGCTTCCTTTTCCTCTCAACACTTAATAAGTTATTTTTGTTTCATTTCTATTTATAAATTAATCTATTATTTACAAGTCTACCTGATCATTAAAACTATGGAAGTACTTTTTGTATTATAATAACATTTCTTGCATAATTCTTTTATTCTGTTCACCTTGTCAAAAGTGAATGGCAAAGGGGAATAACTTATCTCAGTAGACTACTAATAGAGCCTTTTGACAAAGTAGTAGAGATGTTCAAAATTCTGGTAAAAATACCATTGCTTATTAAAACTTTTACTTTGTTTGCCTCCGATATGCGCAGGAGCAGAGGAGATTTTCAAAGACATGATGCATTTTCACCGCAGATTCAAAACAGCCCTACACTAACACCAGAACTCATGACCCAGGGTAATGAAATTCACTAATTTGGAAAAGGTACCCCTAACATCATAACTATATGCACTTAGTTGAAGATTTTCGAAGAATAAATACATTTTCACTATATTATCAATAGAGCAACCCCCCCCCCCCAAGAAACTTCAGAACCCCTAACCCTGGGACCACAAATATACAGTCAAACTTCATTATCTCGAACTCGATGGGACCAAGAAAAAACCTTTGAGATATCTGAGGATTTGAGATATCGAGGGCAAAATAGTTAAAGAATGAGTAGTTGGGACTTCCAGATCACTTCGAAATATACATAGTATTCGAGATATCAGTGTTCGAGATACCGAAGTTCAACAGTATCTATGCACTTTGTTTATCTGCTCAACACTAAGGAGCAGACAGGATTATTTAATAGAATAAATCATTTAATGCATTTTCACTATATTATCAATAGAGTCCCACCCTTACACCAGAAGGACATCTGACCCAGGGCCATGAAACTTATAATTCTGACAGTGAATCTTTTCACAAAAAATCTTACGATATATTTTTATCTTAAGTTAAAACTTATGATAAAAATCGTTTTCACAAAAATTCTTAAGAAAGTCGTAAGTGCAAAATCTGTCGTAACTTTACGAGAGCCCCAACCCTCTCTTAAGTATTTTAAAACCGATTTTATTGTAAAAATAAAACCGCAAAAATCAAAATACACGTTAAATTGAACTTTTAAAAGCAACTTCCAATTATATTTTATATTATTTCACAATCATTGTTGAAAAATTAAATGAAATACACTCGAAATATTTACTATGTAAGTTTCACTTAAGATTTTCATATGACCTACTTTTAGGTCAGACTTGTGATTGTGACGTCAGATTTTAACTTCCTTGCTTCACAAACGATTGCATTCGATGTTTGTTGTCAATAATGTTTGTTATGCTGACAAATGTTGAAAACTAAGTTGTATTTTTATTTTCACCCACTTTTTTAAGGATTATAAAGCATATTGAAGTCGTTGCTAGGGATGAAGTCTGTCGTAAGTAAAATCTTAAGTTCAATCTGCTACGAATGCGTTCGTGGAACACACTTAAGATTTGTCGTAAGAGATTCTTAAGTTAAAATCTTACGTAAAAACTTAAGATTTTTTGTGAAAAGGGCAACTGGAAGATTAGCACTCTTGCTCATCACTACTATACACTTATTTTCTTTGCTTTATAACTAGGAGCAGAAAAGGATATTTTCAAAGAAATTATGATTTTTCACTATATAATCAATAGAGTCCTCCTTTCACCAGAACCCCTACCCTGGGGCCAAAAACTTCATAATTTTGGAAGAAAACTCTTGTTCATCATAACTATGCACTTAGTTTCTTTAAAAAATACTTGGGAACAGAGAAGGAGATTTTCAAAGAATTAATGCAGTTTCACTATATAATCAATACAGCCCCATCCTAACACCAGAAAGCCTAACCCAGGGGCCATGAAATTTACAATTTTGGAAGAGGCACCCTTGCCCATCATCACTATCTACTTAATTAGTTTATTTAATACCCAGGAGCTGAGAAGAAGATTTTTGAAAGAAATAATGCATTTTCACTCTATAACCAATAGAGTCCCACCCTAACACCAGAACCCCTGACTCAGGGAACATGATATTCAAAATGTTCATACTACAATGCATGTAGTACATCTACCAAATACCCAGGAGCATAGAACAAGATTTTAAAAGAAATAATGCATTTTCACTATATAATCAATAGAGCCCCCCCCCCCCCCCATGCCAGAAGCCCTGACCCAGGGGCTACGATATTCACAATTTTAGATTTGTTTAATATACGAGGGTTGTTCGAAAAGTTCGTGGACTTCTGTCATATCTTTTTTATCTAACATCATATTATATCCAAATTAGGTAGAAATATTTGAACAATAAATTCAAATGATTTGTATTAAAAAGTTTTAAAATATCTTGATTTATTTCAAACTTATTAGGAGTTAAAAACTACGAAAATTGGTTGGCGGAGCAAGTCAAAATTTAGTAATTTACAAACAATACGCTAATTAAAGTCTGTAGTCATATCATCTGTAAAATGGCTCAAAACCAAATAAATCTAGACGATCAAATTAAGAATTGTTACATCGTTTTCATATTCAAAATTATGACTTAATAGTTTGCTTCATGGAAAAGAAATCAATATCTGACGAAAGGTAGTCCTCATTGAAAAAGACAAAAAGGTGACGTCGTAGAATGTCACGGAGCAGCAATATACGATACAATTTTCTGTTGTACTCTGGAAAACGTCAGAATAAAATATGAATATGTTGTAGAAAGCATGAAATATCTCAAAAACGGGTCATGCATATGTGTGTGTAAATGGCCCAGTTGGTATTTGAATGATAGAAACTCTGTATCAGACGAAGATGATCTGTGAGAAAACGGATTATCTCTAAAGAATCAATGAAAAAATGTTCACTTAGTGAGGTCTTGGAAAGAGAAAGGGATTTCACGGTTGCTGGTCTTGTGAAAGCATAGTTAAGCGATAAAAAAGGAAAACATTGATAATCAAAAGTATGCTACTGGAACAATTGTTTATAAAATGAATTTCAATTGATAGAGACACGTTTTAAATGAGCAGATATTGGCCCAGACTGTGTGAAATCTATAGGGAGAATATTTTGAGAACCTCATGACGCTATATTTTTGACGTTATAATGTTGTTTAGTTTGCTCCGGGGTTATCAAACATGTTGATTTTAAAATAAAGTAAATTGATTTCTATTCACTCGAATGGAATGAAACTTCACACATCAACAAAATAAATATTTTTACATGTGATAATGTGCCTACAATAAATTTCTTGAAAGTAGTATAACGAGGATTGACATTGTCCACGAACTCTTCGAACAACCCTCGTACATAGGAGAGAAGAAGCTATTTTAAAGAATATATATGCAATTTCACTATGTGACCAATAGAGCCCCACCCTAACTCCTGAACCCCTGACCCTGGGGCCATGAATTTCACAATTTAGGTAAAGGATGCATTGTATGTTATAATCATGACAAACAATTTGACTGCTTGATGTCTAGGAGTAGAGAAGAAGATTTTTGAAAATTGCATTAATTTTTATGGTTTTTGTCCCACTCCTCAGACCCCAAAGGGGGGGGGGATGAAATTCATAATTTTTGTCCCCTTTGGTCCAAAGATGCTATATATCAAAATTTATTGACATTGGTTCAGCAGTTCTAGAGAAGAAGCTGATATGTTCAAAAGTTTACGAACGACACATGCTGACGGACAAAAACAGACTGCAATGGGTCACCTGAGTAACTCAAATAGAGTTATTCCCTTATTTAATGAATAAAATGATAAATGCACAGTACTTGAACTAATGTGATGGTGCCTGAGATTTTTATTAACACAGTTTGTATAGACATTGCTCTATGATGCTGCCTCTTTAGTTCCTAATGTGTACAATTTTAATTAACCTAACATGATTTGTTTGCTCTATATGGTGCTACCTCTTTAGTTCCTTACGTGTACAACTTTTATCAACCTAACACGATTTGTATATACATGTAATGCAGTGTTTTCCTTTGCTCTAGATAGTGCTACCTCTTTATTTCTCAGTGATGATTCTGTGAATTGGCCAAAATATCTGAAATAGTTTGGTGGTGGAAAAGCTGACGAAATATGGGCTTTAGAAAGCCCAGAAAAGGTTTAAATGAGTGACAAAAATTGAAGTGTGACAGTTTGTTCAAACAACTTTTACATCCAGAACTGGCTGAATATTGTAAGGAAGTCTGACTCATCCCTACGTTAAGGTTACCTTACTTGGAGATAAAAGCAAACGTCTGGATGATACAGACTAGATCAAAATACGGACTAAACAACTTGAAATTTATACCCGGATAAAAACTGAAATGGATATCTGCAAAAATAGGAAGTACTGAAATATCGGAAAACACTCATAAATATCGGATTCTTGGATTCAGATTATTTAGCAGAATTCCGCTAAATATCAGAACAGAATCATCACTGAGTTCTTTATGTGTGCAACTTCTTGAAGAATAAAACTTAATTTCTTTTGAATTCAATACTTTGTGAATGAATTTGAGAAAACATCAATGCCTCTAGTAAATAACTTAAAAGTCATATAAGACTGCTCTTTTTTTATCCTACATTTTAGACATTCCCCTCTCCATCATGCTCAAAACAGGCATGTGAGCAATTGTTGTTATAAACCTTAATTGTTCAAATAAACTTTAAGGTTACATAAATTGAAACTGTATACTACAAGTGTCATAATCCATCAGATTTGTCCACCAATCCTAAAACATACATAATACTGGCACCTTCTTATAAAGACATAAAATCTAACAACAAATATATTTAATGAATTTATTTATGTTTGAAAATTTTTTAATTTATCTTGCAATTCCATTGTATTGATATTGTTATTCCTAGAAAATAAATATTGTGTACAGTTAAATGGATCCAAGGACCCCCACAGGAAGATGTTGTATAATGAAATGATGAGGTCCTGGTTGTTAGACAGACACACATTCCTGTTTCTTTGAAATGAAGTAATTTCTCGACATCGGAAGGTGTAGTGGTTTCCGATTATAACCATTGTCCGAGCTGAATTCTAAACTCCTAAAATACAAGTTTTAAATACATAACATTAAGAAGAATATGAATTTGTTCACACATTATAATTTTAGATATTGTATTTACTTGTCATTGGCAGTTACCTTTTGGCTTGGATGCGTTCTTTATTGATGTCATAATTCAGTAAATGTGGGGAGACAGCTATGGGGGTATTTGTAGCATCATCACCACAAGAAAACTGGAAGTAGAAACATTTTTATATATCTAAATACAATAAACCTTAGACTTATAAAGAAAACATTACTAGAATCCTAAAATCACCTTGAAAATGTGTATCTTTTGGAATTCATAACGCCAAAGCTGTTACAAATGCCAAAGTCAGTATTCATGGATTTATCCCTGCATTTTTTTTTTCAGAAATGCTATCTCCCTTAACAGCCAGGTTTATTGACTCACCTGAGCATTCCACAGGGACTGCTGGTCTGTCATGTTGGACAGCACGCTCGAGCCCTCGACAAATGTAGGAAGATGTAGGAATGCAGAGACTCGCTTATGACCCTTTAAACACAGTTTTTTGAGCGTCTTTCTTTTGACAGTTGCTGCTATCTTGCTGTACACCTCTGTTCTGTCATATGCAACTTGATTCAGTAGAGGATGAACAAGTAGCAACCCAGACTCTGCAAACACTTCTCCAAACCTTTATATAGAAAGAAAATTTATTAAAAATATCTTATAAAGTACTACAGTATAAATTTCCAAATAGCAAAGGCACCATATTGTTGAAGTTTAAGTGTACAGTTTAAATTACTGAAATAAGAAACCTAAAACATACATTTTCCAAATGGATTTGAATAGATGCCTTCTCTCCTGATGAAGAAAGTCCATGTTTGTGTGCCAGGTATTCATACTTTTTGTCAGTTTCTCATCGATTCTCTTGACATACTGCTCCATGTCCTTCCTCGTGTGTGTGCTTAGATCCTCACCTTTCAATATCTCCTTAACACGAGCTAAAAGAAAAAGAGGTCTGTGGGCTATTATGCTCACCTGTGTCAATGCTATCTTTCAAATAAATAGTAATGATTGTTTGTAGTCACTATCAAGTAAGTCAAAGGCCATATCTATGAAAGCAAACACATGCTTGTATTTTAATATTTGACAAATTATATATGTAGCTTAATTCTTAAGGAAATCTACATGTATATCGCAATATGCTCATTTTTACATGTCACTCATATCTATGAAGGTCTTTGCCGAAGGCTTAATATGACATTCCATATTGAATACGGCTAAAAATATATTATTTTTCGTCTCAATTTGCCCTAATATGCTACACGTTGGAGATAATGTAGTGTGACATTATTACACATAAATTACTTTATATCAACGTTAGTTACTGTTGTTGATACTTTTCCTAAAACACAATGTAAATCTCTTTTAAATCTTTAAATCTAATTTTCTATGTTTACAAGTTTAAGATGAAAGGGAAAAAAACCTAACTGAAAAAAATTTCTCATTAGTACATTGACATATTGTAGAGGGCCCTGGTGACGGAGTTAGGGTTCAGTGGATGTAATGTACACGGATGTGATAAGCATTCTATTTATAGTAGTTCTGCATAAGCCCAATAACTGATTTTTTTAAAAATAGTTCTGAAAACAATGTTTAAGTTTATTACTAAGTGTAGCAAACAAGGAACAAATAAAAAAAATAATACAGAGAGTAACCTGGCATGTTTTCCGCTTATGGTGACGGAGTTTGGGTAGTAAGGGATATATGCCTATGGTGCTCTCTAGGGGCCATAATTTGAACAATATGGAATCTGGACCACCTTTCATGCTTGTATTTCAATTTGAATAATTGCTCTTCTGTAGGAAGGCATCCTTATTCTTCCAAAAAATATCTAGGACATCTTAAAATAATTTTCTTGATTAATTGTATGTATAGGAAACTTTGAAGTCATATTGTGGCCCCATTTTAGGCTCATACATGTACACTAGTAGGTCATACCTTACACAAAATTTGAATCTACCTTCAATGGGATATTTTCATATCAAGTGGACAATGCATAGCTTCACTGTTCTCGTAGATTTTTTAAAATGCATTTTCTTGCAAATCTACATCAATCTGCATTTCAATTTGACTCATTACAACCTGCTAAACATTATATATAAAGACATTCCTAATACATGTATATATGTACAATCATTGAGTTTTGATGAGGTCTATTCATGACTATATTAAGGTTCATGATTTGAGCAGGAAGAGAGACTAAAATATATACTACCTCAGAATAAATATATAAAATATAAATCAAATTAATGCACTGAAGACACTGATAACAAAAGGCCCATGGGCCACATTGCTAATCTGATTTACTTTAGCCCTGCTGTTCTTCAGAATATTTTAAAAAGATTTTTGTATTCCCTTGAAAAATTATGGTTCCCATATTATGGCCTCAATCTAACTCTAAGGGATCTCTGTATCCACACAAAGGGAATTCTTCAAGGTCAATAGGATTACCATGGCCTTGTCATTTATGGAGAAGAAAATTCTTTGCCTGTACACATGCATTATGTAATGTTATGTATGTTGTGTTTAATATTTTAGACACTTCTAACTGGGGATCCATCATTTTAAAAAAAAATCAAATCTACACAACTTGGGAATGTTTGCATATTAATTGTTTTATTGTGTTTCTTTACATTTTCTAAAAGAGAAAAAATTCTTATATTTCAATGTAAAAATTTAATTCCTTATTGTGGCTCTACCCAACCCCCTGGGTCCATGATTTGAACAATTTAGAATTTACATTATGTCTAGATGCTCTCACATTACTTTCAACTTTTTCTAGTTTAGTGCTTCCTCAGAAGAAGATTTTAAAAGATTTTTTCATATATATAGGTATATTCATAACTTTGATCCTTTATTGTGGCTTCACCCTACCCTCCATGATTTGAAGAATTTAGAATCTACACTTCTCAGGAAGATAAGTTTCACCTTTTCTAGTCCAGTCATTATTGAGAAGAAGATTTTTAAAGATTTTTCTAACACAATCCTATGTAAAACATTCATCCTTTATTGTGGCCCCACCTTAGCACTGGTGGTCATGATTTGGACAAATTAGAATTTACACTTCCTCAAAAAATCTTTCACATAAGTTTCATCTTTTCAGGCCCAGTGGTTCTAGAGAAAAACATCTTTTAAGATTTTTCTTAAATATTTCAATGTAAAACTTTCATCCCCAATTGTGCCCCATCTTATCCACAAGGGTCATAATTTGAGCAATTCAGAATTTACATTTCCTCAGGAAGCTTCCACATAAGTTTTGCCTTTCCTGGCCCGGTGGAGATATTTTAATGACCCACCCTATTTTTGATCATCTCCCCTATGGAGCAGGCTTGGCCCTTTATTTGAACATTTCGGAATCCCCTTTACCCAAGAATGCTTTGCTTCTCTCAGTGGAGAAGTTGAGATGAGACAATGGTTGATCAGAAAAGCTCACATGAGCTTTCAGCTCAGGTGAGATAAAAATTGAAACTCTTACTGTGACCCTATTGAAACCCCAGGGGTATAATTTGAAGAACTTCACCCTGTAATACATAAGGAACAAAACCTCTGAAAAACTCTTTGGGGGGGGGGGGGGGGGAAGACCTCTAAATGAAAGAGCTTGTGTAAAAATTTGCAATTTTTCTTCCTTTTCTCCTTGCTGTAGGGCAAAGCTCTTCATTTGAACCATTTACCTAATCAGCTTCTCCCAAAATGCTTTAAGGCAAGTTATTTGAAGCTCTACCATTCAGGGTAAAACGGAAATGTCAAAATTACATGTATAAGTACATATAGGCATGCACAAACATATGATGGACAAACTGATCAAAAAAGCTAACTAGAATCTCTGACTGGTCAGGTAATAAGTTAATGATACATTTGTGAAAATCACTTCACTTTAAGCATAAATTCATTATTGGCAAGATCACTGCAACCATGTTTTACTGTATTAACATACACAATACCTCTAGTTTCTTTTACAGATTTAAAGGCAATGTATTGCTCCATCATGTAACGCAGCCTCCTTCTGGGGATGTCTAGTGACCTCTCCAGTAACGACAGGACTACCTGGGGATAAATAAATATTAAATATTAGCTGTCCATTTCTACGACTTTACATTTAAAGAATGTGTAACTCGTGTCTCTCAAAAATAAAAAAAGATAAGGAATTTGATTTGAGAAAAAACAGTATTTAACTTGCACTGATTATGGAACCTATATATATAACAGATCACAGGACTTGAATCAAGAGACCCTTACATAATACAAGTTTTTGGATATCTTGTTCTTTTCATAAGCCTCCTCCAACATCCTGATGTTTTTCTTTTGGTCCTTCACACTTATTTCCAATTCTTTATCATGGACGTTTATCCTCTGCAAACCACAAAAATGTCACAATGTACATAAAATACAAATCAATTTCTAAAGATCATTTTAGCTTATATTCTCTCCCACATTTCTACTTACATTCCTGAGTTCCATTTTTATCTGTGACACAACAAGATCCTCCCTCTCTTTTGCTTTCTCATCGACAGCTTCCTGGAGATCTGCTTGTCTATATAAGTACATAAGTATATATTATCTCTCACAGATCATTAAATATTTCATGAAATGTCTTTCTTAATCTCTGCTGATTACACTTAATATCCTAAAAACAGTAAATAACTAAAAATATTCATGATTACGCTGATGAAAATTAAAATACAATTTCTGCATTTATCCCTCAAACATGACCTATATAAGGTACTCTTAACACTTTACCATGGTTAGAATATTTAAACAAATATTAAAATTTCATATAAGACATTAATAAGTGATGTATACATATTAGTACACAAGAATTTAAAAAGGTTAAATGACTTCAGATTTCAATATGTATTTGGTGACTCGAGCTGTAATTTGCATCAATAATCAAACCACATTATCTGGAATTTGATGGGACTGAGAGAAAAAAAATGAGATATCCGTAGCTTAGACATATTGAGTTTAAATTGTGTAAAGAAAACTTGGTTATTGTCATGTATGTTATCTGTAATCCAGAATTATATATATATGTCAGTTTTGGTTCCATGATATAGTAAACTTCATTGTGGTTGTTGATGCAAAATGTGAAGATATGACAGCTGGGACTTCCAACTTACTTTGACATATCCATGGCATTGGAGATATCGACATTCGAGATAACGAAGTTCAACTGTATTTTGAGAACATGTTACTGTATGTTAAATAAACAACTATTTGGCAGTCCTGATATCTCTAGAATCACAACAAATCATAACCATATACTGTATACAGGGAAATTTTCGCCCCCGTTTTATTTTTGCCCCTATCACCCTTCTCACATGTGGGCGAATTTAAAACGGGGTGAATTCAAAGAACACAGTATAATTTCTTAAACAACACTGTGACTAGGCGAATTTAAATTGGGGCAAAATTGCTTGCAAGTGTGAATGGGCAAAAATAACCCTGTATACACTAGCAGACCAATCAGTACTTACAGAAATGCATTCTTGTATCAATAGGGTTAAAAACTGGTGTCATGAGACACAAAAGCATAAACATCCAGCAAGTGTCCCCACTCTTTGGAATGGGAGAGACACTGTTTAATTACTTAGAGTGTTTTAATAATCATATTCATGAAATCTTTTTATGAAAAGCTTGTTAATGTTTGATACCTTAATGTGTATGAATGTCAGGAATCAATCAAATTTCCACTTAACTAAATCATATCCTTCAAAGTGAGAAAATTTACTGACTATATTTAAGAAAGATTTAGAGTTAAAAAGAAAAAGTTCATGCATAACACACAAGAGATGCCCATCACAATCTATAACAAGCTTATAAGCAATGTGTTAGCAGTGCAGTCTTTTACTTACTATACAAAGGCTGAAAAATTTACAAAACAATTAAATTCACTGACAGATATCGAAAGGAAGAGAACTCTTTACCATTGGCTCGTAAATTCACCGGTCATTGGCTTGCTAAGAGAGGTTGAGATCTTACATATGTATGTGTACGGGTAAGTCTAGTAGGGGAATTTCCTAAATTCCTCCCGCTTTACAGTATTAGTTTTAGTGATGACAAGTTTTATATGCGTTCCTACAACTTGTAGAGTGGCATCTACATGCAAGTGGAAACTTGTAGCTTGTATAATAAAAATTAGTCAATTTATGTGTGAAAATGGGATTGTTGAACATTATCTAGGATATTTAGTTTCATGAGCTAGCATTTATTTTAACCATGTTTTATTCATTAAGTCAAATTGTTGGCACAAAACTACTAAATGGTTGAAACAGAGACACAAATTGCAATGTGCACATTCATGTTATATGTCATTTTAATCTAAACAGACAAATTACAAAAATGCATATGTGTACGTCTAAGTACATGTACACATACAAGTACGCGTACAAGTTTAAGATCTCAACCTATCTAATATCACTACGATTAACACAATTATAATTCATTATGATTATTTGTTTGTCTTTTAAGATGAATATTTGCATAGTTTAGCTAAAAATATAACTTTAATTTGAATTGACCCTTGGAATATTATTCTTTTTACTTCATGTCAATTATAAAATAATGATGTGAGCTCATTGCAGAGGTGTCTGAGAAGGAATAACAACTCTGCACAGGAGTTAGCCTCATCAGCACAAGAACAGCTTCATATTTAGCAGGTACTTGTACACGACAGTTGACATTATAAAATGCATTATAAAATGCTGTTGTTAAAAGATATTTTGATGCATTAAAATGCTTTGAAGAAACCCCATTGATTTATCAAAAAAAAAAAAAATTCTGCTACGGATGTTTTAAAAAGGAGGGAGATGAGTTCTGCAGATTTAAATTAAAAATAATACACCATCAAATGTACAGAATAAACATACATACATGAAAAATTATATTTTCAACAGAGAAATATAATTTAATTTAACCTTCAATTTCTTAGAATTGAAGATACAGTTGAGGTTAATACTTACAACATAGTCATATCTTTATTTAGGTTGTTGTACATTTTCCACACTCGTCTATATCTGTCTAACAGGGCAAGATATTTTCTATCCTAAAAAAAGGGAATTTAACAGTACTGAATTAAAAAAAAAAGGATGAAGAAAATATTATTGTCAATCTGATTTCATCTAGTTCACAGACATCATTAACCAAGTTCAAAATACCGTATGAGCAGAATTTTTAGAGAGGATTCAAATTTGGCATTATTAGCGAGGGTTTTGAGATTGCTAAAATTTGAATACAGGTATCGCTAATTCAAATATGATAATAAAATAATGCTAATAATATCTATTGGTTGTTATAGATATCTTTCTTAAAATTATAAAATTGCTAAAATTACTTCTCCCTAAAAATATATACCAATTTTGGGGGGATAAATCGCTAAATTTGCATCTTGCTAAAAATTCCACTTATTCGGTAATGTAGTATCCATATGTATTAATAGTAATCTGGAATTGTTGTATATGTACATGTACATGTTTGGCTTGTAGAATATGTAATATAACCGGAAGTGTGGAATAAAATACAAGAAGTCCGTGCATTGGAACATGTGAGTTATGTTGTTCTCTGACAGTACTAAGTAAAGTACACATGTAGTAACTTATTTAAGTAAGACATCACAGGTACAACAAACAAACAGCTACAAATTTAATTTACCAGTAATTATTTGTTTTTAAATTTTGTTGAAGTTTTATTAAATTTATTTTTATTATTTGTGCATCTCTGGAGATTCAATAATTTCAATACAAGTCTAGAATACTGTATGTGTACATAAATTGATGTATTCAAAATTTAGCGCAATCACTTGGTATTGAGTGGTTGGCGTAATCCTGAATTAGTGCTATATACATCCACAATGTATAATGTATTTATAAATGATTTATTAAGTAATTGTATTCATGAAGTAGCGCATTGTTGTCGCATCAAAACCGCAAAATATGAAGCCCGCTTTTTTAAGTACATACAGTATACAGAGTTTTGCCCTTTTGTAAATTCTAACATACTCTTAGTCTCCATCACTTTAATTCTGCATGTGAAGTTTTTTAAATAACTTACATGGACTTCTTGTCTCTCTGTAAGTTCTTCAAACTTAATCAGCTTTTCTTTGGCCATTTTGAGTCGAAGTGCAAGCTTCTTCGTCTCTGTTTTTGAAAAATCAATTTGCCTCATAGTTTTCTGAAAATATAAAGGTTTTTAATTCCATTTATCAACAAAAATATCTAAAACATTAAGAAGTACAACAAAACATGCTTACAATGTTTCTACAGAATATGATATCAAATCAATTAATTGATCTTCAACACACACTTAGATTCACAGTGTACAAAAAAAGTTCTGTATACAGTAAGTAATTCATATCAAACACTTTCTCAGAGACTTTGTTGTTTCTGTATACAGTTAGTAATTCATATCAAACACTCCCCCAGTGACTTTGTTGTTTCTGTATACAGTAAGTAATTCATATCAAACACTCCCCCAGTGACTTTGTTGTTTCTGTATACAGTTAGTAATTCATATCAAACACTCCCCAAGTGACTTTGTTGTTTCTGTATACAGTAAGTAATTAATATCAAACACTCCCCCAGTGACTCTGTTGTTTCTGTATACAGTAAGTAATTAATATCAAACACTTTCTCAGAGACTTTGTTGTTTCTGTATACAGTTAGTAATTCATATCAAACACTCCCCCAGTGACTTTGTTGTTTCTGTATACAGTAAGCAATTCATATCAAACACTCCCCCAGTGACTCTGTTGTTTCTGTATACAGTTAGTAATTCATATCAAACACTCCCCAAGTGACTTTGTTGTTTCTGTATACAGTAAGTAATTCATATCAAACACTCCCCCAGTGACTTTGTTGTTTCTGTATACAGTAAGCAATTCATATCAAACACTCCCCCAGTGACTTTGTTGTTTCTGTATACAGTTAGTAATTCATATCAAACACTCCCCCAGTGACTTTGTTGTTTCTGTATACAGTTAGTGATTCATATCAAACACTCCCCCAGTGACTTTGTTGTGTCTGTATACAGTAAGTAATTCATATCAAACACTCCCCCAGTGACTTTGTTGTGCCTGTATACAGTAAGCAATTCATATCAAACACTCCCCCAGTGACTTTGTTGTTTCTGTATACAGTAAGTAATTCATATCAAACACTCCCCCAGTGACTTTGTTGTTTCTGTATACAGTTAGTGATTCATATCAAACACTCCCCCAGTGACTTTGTTGTGTCTGTATACAGTAAGTAATTCATATCAAACACTCCCCCAGTGACTTTGTTGTGCCTGTATACAGTTAGTAATTCATATCAAACACTCCCCCAGTGACTTTGTTGTTTCTGTATACAGTAAGTAATTCATATCAAACACTTCCCCAGTGACTCTGATGTTTCTGTATACAGTAAGTAATTCATATCAAAAACTCCCCCAGTGACTTTGTTGTGTCTGTGTACAGTTAGTAATTCATATCAAACACTCCCCCAGTGACTTTGTTGTTTCTGTATACAGTTAGTAATTCATATCAAACACTCCCCCAGTGACTTTGTTGTGTCTGTATACAGTAAGTAATTCATATCAAACACTCCCCCAGTGACTTTGTTGTTTCTGTATACAGTAAGCAATTCATATCAAACACTCCCCCAGTGACTCTGTTGTGTCTGTATACAATAAGTAATTCATATCAAACACTCCCCCAGTGACTCTGATGTTTCTGTATACAGTAAGTAATTCATATCAAACACTCCCCCAGTGACTCTGATGTTTCTGTATACAGTAAGTAATTCATATCAAACACTCCCCCAGTGACTCTGATGTTTCTGTATACAGTAAGTAATTCATATCAAACACTCCCCCAGTGACTCTGTTGTTTCTGTATACAGTAGGTAATTCATATCAAACACTCCCACAGTGACTCTGTTGTTTCTGTATACAGTAAGTAATTCATATCAAACACTTCCTCAGAGACATTGTTGTTACCTTGGCCTCCTCCATCCGTGCCTTGTTTTCTGTCCGCCTCGCGGCGACTACTTCCTTTGTGGTAGACAGGGTGATAGATCCCTTAATCATCATCCTCATAGTCAGGAAGGCATTAGCAATTATTACTTCCAATTTGTGCATAACTGGAAAATGCATTAACTATGTAAATACAATATATCATATTTACATAAAAAATATCAGTAGAGTTTTGTGTAGAATGAACAACTTGAAACATTTAAAGTCATTTTAATAAAAATTGTTTAAAATCAATTCCTTTCAGACTTACATTCCACAACACTGCCCACAAGCAAGGCCAATAGTTCCTTTGGATCTGGAGCCAACTGCATAATAAAGACAACATATTAGCTTCTTAGAATTACATACTGGAATTGTTGCAACATTTCTAATCTGATACACAACACAAACAAGTTCTAATTCATTCATTCATTCATACTTTATTTCCACTTTACAGTAATTAATGAACAGTGTACAAAATACGTAACTACATGTAAAAATGCACAAACAATGCAAAAGTGAAATGCTTGTATACATGTATAGAAAAGGAAATATTTACAAAGGTTAAAACCACCGACTCATGGTCATTACTTATACATATATTTCATACATATGTCCCTATATGTTATCATAAAAAGTTCTACAGATGAAATTGGGGAAACTGAGGGAAAAAATAAAAAAATAAACTGCCCCGCCACAGCATGATACGCCCGTCAAATATTGTTCAGTTACATGTATCATAAACAGTTTAGGGTGCAAGAAAATAATGTCAACCTTAATTCAAAGATTTCCATGATTTTTCCATTCCTTATAATATATTTGATGTTTATACATTTCCTGTAGTGCAGGCACTAACTATAATAAATTTCTCAACTGGTTCTGTTAGACCTTGACAAATGCCCATCTGCAGCCCTCTCCCCCCCCCCCCCCCCCCCCATCTTTCATATTTATTTGATATTTTCAAAAAAAAAAAAAAAATATCATATTAAACAATTTCAAAATAGTCTTAACAATTTAATCTATACCAAATTAATTTTGAAAATAAAAGGCTGGCCATCAAATGACATATGCTATAAACTGACAAGCAGATTTTCTGTCTTATTCTCAAAGGATACAGATAAGAGCTGCTTCATCAGAGATGCTCTAACAGAAATGATTGAGACAGCTAGCCTTCCTATACATTGAACTCATTAATTATAATCTTAAACTGGATGCATGTCCATTCATTACTCCCAAAGGATGAATGGATCTGCACTGTCTGCTTTAATAGTGTGTATTGTAATAAATATGCATATTTATGTCATTCCGTTGAAAACAGAATTTTTTTTAACTTGTTACAAAGATTTATAAAAAGAAACAAAAACTTGTAATCTTGATGCAATATTTTTAATAAGGTTACTGCATGACTCTTAGATTTGTAGGAACTATCTACCATGACAAGAGGCCCAAGGGCCTTAACGGTCACCTGAGTACAATACAACAATTTAGAGGATCCATAGAGTATTAAAATGAAATGAAAGGTGAAGCTTTGTTGCCCAAAAGCAAGAAAAATAGGGAGATCAGGATCAACAAAATAATTAGTCTACTATTCATTAACAGTTCATAAATTAGGTTCTAATCTGTTCCCCATTTATCACTATCACCATACAGTATATTAACAAACTATCAGTGCTTTTGTACTATTTTAATTCCTTGTTGACAGTTGTTATCTCTTACAATGGCCTCTCTTGGTCTTTGATGAAATTTAATAAGACAAGTTATTTTTGTCTCATTTTTATTTATCTATTACTTACAAGTCCACATGATCATTAAAACTATGAAAATACTTTTTGCATTATACAATAAAAATTCTTGCATAATTCTCTTATTCTATTAATTTTTCAAGTACATTATTTACAGTGACTAATTATCAAAAGTAAATGGCAAAGGGGAATAACTCCTCTCAGTAGAATGCAAATTAATTGAGCCCTGGCTAGGACCAGAACACTTGACCAAATGGTCCAGATGTTCAAAAATCTGGTAAAAATACTCTTCCTTATTACAACTTTTACACTTTTTGCCTCTGATATGCCCAAGTGCAGAGAAGATTTTTAAAGAAATAATGCATTTTCACTACAGATTCACTATATTATCAATAGAGCCCCCCCCCCCCCCCCTTCACCACCGAGAAACACCAGAGCCTCTCACCCTGGGACCAGAAGTTTCAAGTTTGCTCATCATAAGTAATCACTTTGTTTAACTGCTTAACATTAAGGAGCAGACAGGATTATTTAATAGAATTAATGCATTTTCACTACATTATCAACAGCCCCACCCTTATACCAGCACATTTGACCCAGAGGTCATGCAATTCACTACTCTGGAAGAAGCACTCTTGCTCATCATAACTATATACTAAGCTTCTTTGCTTTTTAACCAGAAGCAGAAAAGAATATTTTCAAAGAAATTTTGATTTTTCACTATATAATCAATAGAGCCCCCCCCCCCCCTTTTGACCAGAACCCTTGACCCTGGGGCCATGAAATTCACAATTTTAGAAGAGGCATCCTTGCGTATCATAACAATGTACTTAGTTTGTTTAAATAGTACCCAGGGGCAGAGAAGAAGATTTTCAAAGAAATAATTCACCTTCACTGTAGGAGCTATATAGCCCCACCCTAGCACCAGAACCCCTGTCCCTGAAGCCATGAATTTCACAATTTTGGAAGAGGTGTCCTTGCTTATCATAACAATGTACTTAGTTTGTTTAAATAATACCCAGAAGCAGAGAAGAAGATTTTTAAAGCATTAATGCATTTTCACTATATAATAAATAGAGCCCTGCCCTAACATCAGAACCCCTGACCCAGGGGCCATGAAATTCACAATTTTGGTAGAGTCGCTCTTGCTTAACATAACTATGTATTTAATTTGTTTAAATAATACCCAGGAGTAGAGAAAAAGATTTTCAAAGAAATAATGCACTTTCACTATATGATCTATATAGCCCCCCACCCCCCCAGCACCAGAACCCCTTACCCTGGGGCCATGAATTTCACAATTTTGGTAGAGTCACTCTTGCTTATCATAACTATGTATTTAATTTGTTTCAATAATACCAAGGAGTAGAGGAGAAGATTTTTAAAGAAATAATGCACTTTCACTATATGATCTACATACTCCCCCCCCAGCACCAGAACCCCTGACCCTGGGGCCATGAATTTCACAATTTTGGTAGAGTCACCCCTGCTGATCATAACTCTGTATCTAATTTGTTTAAATAATACCCAGGAGTAGAGAAAAAGATTTTCAAAGAAATAATGCACTTTCACTATATGATCTATATAGCCCCACCCTAGCACCAGAACCCCTGACCCAGGGGCCATGAAATTCACAATTTTGGTAGAGTCACTCTTGCTTATCATAACTATGTATTCAATTTGTTTCAATAATACCAAGGAGTAGAGAAGAAGATTTTTAAAGAAATAATGCACTTTCACTATATGATCTATATACCCCCCCCCCCCCCCCCAAGCACCAGAACCCCTGACCCTGGGGCCATGAATTTCACAATTTTGGTAGAGTCACCCTTGCTGATCATAACTCTGTATCTAATTTGTTTAAATAATACCCAGGAGTAGAGAAGAAGATTTTCAAAGAAATAATGCACTTTCACTATACGATCTATATAGCCCCACCCTAGCATCAGAACCCCTGACCCAGGGGCCATGAATTTCACAATTTTGGTAGAGTCACCCTTGCTTATCATAACTATGTACTGTATAGGGGGAAAATAACTCGGGGTGTTAATATTCGCTATATTCACGGTGTTAATCAATCCGTGAATTCAAGAAACAGTGAATAAGTTTTAAATATTGAACCTCAATGTTTTATTTGGAAATTCGAGAATAGACTAAGATAGGTATATATACGTACAATACATGGTCATTTCAGTAATTACGAGTAGTACTTATCATTCAATTATCTTAATTATCACGCTTTACTTTAATTTAAATAAGCAGCTAATAACCTGTATTTATTGTTAAAAAGCCGTTTTAATATATACATGCTGCATCAATCAAAACACATGGGTCATTGGTTTTGATTACCCGTGCGTAACGTTACCACCTGTATTTGTTACCTACATTAGCATTATGCGTATTAGTTTTTATGGAAATTTTGGTTTAAAAAAAATATCATTCGAATAACTATCGACCTTGCTGAAGATATGGAAGGATATTATTATGTATATACATTAATACTTTTATTAGCATCCATTGTTTTTTTTTCGGTGCGATGTGCTATACCTGTACAGTACCAACCACACCCAACCTGACACAAAGCAGTCCCAGAGCAGTCCCGGGGACTGCTTTCTGGGACTGCTCTGGGACTGCTAAAGCAGTCCCAGAGCAGTCCCACAGCGGTCCCAGAGCAGTCCCACAGCGGTCCCAGAGCAGTCCCAGCGGTCCCAGAAAGCAGTCCCAGCAGTCCCAGAAAGCAGTCCCAGTGGGCGGGGTTAATTAATTTAATGGGCGGAGCTTACTCAGAAATGAGATTACCAATAAACAATGTAACTATAAAAGGCAGTTGAAATTGATGATCCATTTCTTTCTGAGCAGTATCAATTCTCATGCAACAGTCATTTTTGAACTGTTAAGAAAATCACACTACGCATATAGAAACAAATAATAGATAACGAACAAAAAAGACGTTCACACCTACTAATAACATGAATATTTAAACACAGTTTTGTGGTATATTAATTTTTCACCAAAATAAATCAATTTCTAAATTACTGTGATTGATATTGGTTTCCATATTTATTTATTTATTTTTTTATATAGAAAATTAAACTTGAGTTTTTTTTTTATTTTCTATCAAAACTAGCTTTAAATAGGCCTTATAATTATAGAGCAAGGCCGATTTCCATACTATACTCTGAATGCAGTTTTCTTAAGTACTGGAGCTTTTGAAAAATTCTTTGTGTATTATATTTCAGTCACGATTATTTTCACTGACTTGCCAATTTAATTATCGTTAGATTATCTATGTAACAGAAAACAATAATACTTTTATTACACATGCATATAAACGTTTGAGTGTACATGTGTAAATCACGCGAATGGAACCCTCAGATTATGTTCAAAATTAATTAATCCCGAAATAAATTTATACACATTTATTGAAACGAAGATTATTTGCAGTACATAGATTGAAATTAGTGTCATTGTTGACCAGCATGTTCAGTGATGTGTAACACTGATACCCAAATAACATGCATTGACTTTCTGCTAATCATGCCCGAAGGCGATTGAAACCTCAGGTGTTGACACCATTTTATACATTTGTATTGCTTTTTATTAATCGGCCAGGAAAACACAAACTAAACAAATATGAAATAAGTCACAATTCCCAATATTTTAAAATGTTTATAAATTTACTCTTTTAATAACTTGTTTATAAATCAAAAACAAATTCATAGATAAATCCCTCAATAATTGTTCACAAATATAATTGTTTAAATGACTGAAGAATGGTAGAATAATTTTATTTCATGGTCATTTAATAAATTATTAGGTTTTATTTGAGGGCGGTAAAAAATAGCATGGAATGCTCTTTTTTAGTATGCATATGGTTTTAGCTTTTTCAATTTAAAAAAAATCCAGTACAGTACGTCCCTCTGAATGTCTTATTGTAATGACAAGTTTGTTTGTTTTTTTTTTAAATAGTGCTAATGCAAACTTTGAGTACATTCCGTAACTTGACAGCATTAATTAATTAAATAGGCCTCTATATTTTTTTTCAAACATCTGTATTAAAGTTTTAATTAGCATTAATTAACTTAATAGGCCTAGATATATAAAAATTATTCAAACACCTGTATTAAAGTTTAATTTAAAGGATAAAAGTCATCTCCTGACATCCCTTTTAACTACTTTCATTTTTTAAAATTAATTCTAGACTACAATTGTGTAAATTTACAGCCCCTGAAGACATTTAGTAATTACATGTATATCTATCTCTACTTATTAAAATGTTGTAAAAAATCCTTGGGTTTTTTTTTAATTCTTTATCTATAACACCTCTCTGCTGAAAGTAAACAAAACAACAACAGGGAGCCTGCATATTCAGAATACACAAGGGGCGGAGCTATCATGTCACTCAGAACCTTTTTCATGCATGAGTGAACAAAGCAGTCCCAGAAAGCAGTCCCAGGGACTGCTGGGACTGCTGGGTCTGCTTTCTAGAGCAGTCCCAGAGCAGTCCCACAGCAGTCCCAGAGCAGTCCCACAGCGGTCCCAGAGCAGTCCCACAGCAGTCCCAGAGCGGTCCCAAAGCAGTCCCGGGGACTGCTTTCTGGGACTGCTTAGGTGTCAGGTTGGGTCTGGTTGGTACTGTACATATGCACTCATCGTAAAAGCATATAGGAAATTCATTTGACGTTTATAGTAAAAAAAAACTTAATAACGGCAGTTGTTTTTATTAATCATCAATTAACTACTAAATCTAATCATTTTATATAAACCTACCCTGTTGTTCGTGAACGCTGATTAATGTCGTTCTAGGTATACTATGGATTACACGGATAAAGACAAGGGAGGTAACTTTTATTATATACTGATTCCGCGAATTCAACAAACCGCGATCGTGTTCGAGGAGAGAAAAACGTGAAAATTACAACCCGTGAAATTAATCCCCTATACAGTATTCAATTTGTTTCAATAATACCCAGGAGGAGAGAAGAAGATTTTCAAAGAAATAATGCACTTTCACTATATGATCTATATAGCCCCGCCCTAGCACCAGAACCCCTGACCCTGGGGCCATGAATTTCACAATTTAGGTAGAGGGCTCAATGCTTATTACAATCATGTCATCAGTTTGACTGCTTGATGTCCAGGAGTAAAGAAGAAGATTTTTAAAGATTGCATTAATTTTGATGGTTTTAGCCCCACCCCTCAGGCCCCAGGGGGGCAGGGACCATGAAATTCACAAATTTTGTTCCCCTTCACACATAGATGCCATATGCAAAAATTGGCTGAAATTGGTTCAGCGGTTTCAGAGAAGAAGCTGAAAATGTTCAAATGTTAACACACGACGGACGACGACGGACGAAAACAGATAGCAATAGGTCACCTGAGTGACTCAGGTGACCTAATAAAACATTCAAAAAAAAAAATACTTGATTTTTTTTTTTAGATTTAATGTCAGACTGGTTTTAAGCTGCAGTTCATATTGACAAACTGACTTATGCAGATTCCAATATCCCCCCCCCCTCGGATATAATTAGTTTTAATTATATTATACAATATCAAATTAGTTTATTATACAATATCAAGTTAGTTTACTTTTCACCAAATTCTTAAAAGTTAAAAGGCTAGCCAACTAGATTCATTTAATCCAATGCTGATTCCTTTGCCTAATTCCCAGGAGATATAGATAACACCTGCTTGATCAGAGATGCTCTACCAGTTAGCCCCTCACACTAAAACTCATTAATTTCTCTCTAATTTGACATGTAATTTTCTGTTATCAAAATTCTCCTTGACCAGTGCTTGATGATTACACCCATGGGAGAGGTGGAATTTCTCTTATAACATTACATTTGTTATAGATTGCTGTAAAGTATATAATGAAAAAAAAAGTATTTTCTTGATTTAACATTTTTTTAATAAGGATACTGCAACATTCTTACATTTTTAGGGATTGTGCAATTTAATAGTATAGAGACACAGTTTTTAAAAAAAGATTCCACTAAATTAAAGGTCACAGTCACCTTGAAATATGTCGCGACACACCTTCTACCTAAGATGCATAAATTGGCCAAGTTTGATGATTCTGAGTCTAATAGTTTTCTAGTTATGAGCCGGACAGGATTTTTCCATATTTGGGCATAGCATCTTAATTAAAGGTCAGAGCGACCTACTTTTAATGTGCGACACACCTTCTACCCAAGACGTATCAGCTGACAAAGTTTGATAATCCTAGGCCTAATAGTATTAAAGTTATGAGCCAGACACGAAAAAGCTAACAGACGGACGGACGGACATGAAGGCTATAACATAATACGTCCCGTCTTAAGACGGGCGTATAAAAAGGTTTGGGAACATCCCTCACTTGCAATTTAGCAGTACTGAAAGACTGTGCTTGTACAATGCACATGCATTGCAAATGAGACGAAAGTTACACAGCTGGGACTTCCAGAAGTGGAAGGCGGAAAGAATGGTGTTCGGCTTATGGCCTAGCAGAATCAGGTACTTCTAATCAATGATTGCTTGGATGATTCTGCATTTCAGATTGTTAAATGAAAAAGTTTTCATTCATTTTCATAATAGAAGCATAACTTGTCATTTTCAAATCATACTCATAGTCAATAATCCAACATGTCTCATTTGATTGCTTTTGATTCTTTACCCTGTCTTGGGTTCTCACCTTGTCTGGTATGAGGGAGCCCAGGGCCTGCATCGCCCGGGAGACGTCCTTAAGGCTCTCTTTTTCTACTATAGTACTGACATGATCTCGGAAGTGCATGATGGCCCGAAGCACTCGGACTACATCCTTCTGGAGGGCAAACATCTGTTCTTTGTGTGTATTTTCTACCTTCTTCACCATTGCAGCATTCCTGTGCATTAAAAAAGGAAACTTTGAGAATATTTATGTACATGTACAGTCAAACTTAAATCATCATGAACCTGACAGAAGGAAAATTTGAGATATCTGACTTTTTTTGACATACTCACATTTGAGATAAGTCAGCTGAACAATGAAATTTACCCCCCCCCCCCCCCAACGATAATTAGTGATTTCACTATATATAAGCAATATTATGATTGCAGTACCTAGTGCATTGAATTTTTATAGATTTTTTACTTTCATACTTGATAAGGAATCCTGGTCTGTTTCTATAATTATGAATTAGCACTATAGAATATGCACCAGAACTGACAAACTGGCAGATACAGGTTTCCTGTCTTTGCTGAGATTTGGTTTTATTGGATACTTAATTACCTCAGCCTCTCTTTGACAAGGTGACCTTTGATCTTCTCCAGTTCTGCATTAAAGTCTCGTTTCATTCCTGCCAGGAGAGTCTTGTAATACGTGCTGTCTCGATCCCCAGTGTCTACAATCTGAATGCAAAATACATATGTATGTCTGCTTATCATGCATAATTACTTGAAAATGAAAAAAATGACAATAAAACTACCTTCTGCTCTGGAATATCATTGATGCTAAGCACAGAATCTGTGTTTTTTGTTATTGGGTTTTTTTTGGATATCAATTGTCACAAATACATATTTATAATATGGCATATAAAAATATATCATTTGTGGATCTTTTTTCTTTATTCCACAAGAAAATGTAGAAATTACATGAAAAATTGTGGTGTATCCCAAAAATACATGTTTTTAATACTTAAAAGACAGATAGCTGTACCTATTACTGAAATTTATTGTATGCTGTACATTTTGATCAAATGTAAAGTCTTTCAGTTCACTCAACTGAAAGTCACCCTTATTGCATTTATATATTGCATAAATGCAACATATACAGCAATCCCCCCCCCCCCTTCCCACACACACACACACACAAATTACGAGATGACAATTTTAAGATGACACATTCTGAGGACTCAAAATACATCAACTAAAAAGTTTGATGATTCCAAACCAATTAGTACCTGAAATATTTATATATAGCATTAAAATTTCAAAACTAGGTCAAAGTGACCCACTTTTCAGTTGAGGTACTCTGTGGACCCAAGATGTATCAATTGACAATGTTTGATGATTCTAAGCCAATAAGTATCTGAAATATTTCAATATAGCCACAAAATTTTAAAAGTAGGTCACCGTGACCTACTTTTCAGTCGAGGTACTCCGCAAACCCAAGATTGATGATTCCAAGCTAATTAGTACCTGAAATATTTAAATATAGCATTAGAATTTTAAAAGTAGGTCATAGATAGTGACCTCTTTTTCAGCTGACATATTATGAGGACCCAAGATGCATCAAACTGACAAAATTTGATGATTCCAAGCCAATTAGTACCTGAAATATTTAAATATAGCCCTAAAATTTCAAAAGTAGGTCATGGTGACCTACTTTTTAGTTGACATTCTCCGAGGACCTAAGATGCATCAACTGACAAAGTTTGATGATCAAAGGCCTTAAAGTGTCCAAAATATGCCTCTAAAACAATTTGAAAATGAATGCCTGCAAAATTCAAAAGGTAGGTCACAGAGACCTACTTTTTGAGAAATATATGTTTTAAGGCCCCAAGATGCATCAACTTACATGGATTAATGATTCTTAACCTCTCAGTATCTGAAACAATGAGCTTAAAAGATTAGCCATAAAATTCAAAAAAAGTAAGTCATGGTGACCTACTTTTCTATTGACTTACTTTGAGGACCCAAGATGCATCAACTAACAAAGTTTGATGATCATTGGCCATAAAATGTCCAAAATGCCTCTAAATCAATTTGAAAACAAAAGCCTGCAAAATTCAAAAAGTAGGTCACTGTGACCTACTTTTGAGTAATCATGACATGAGGTCCTTAGATGCATCAACTGATAAGATTTCATGATCCTAGTCCTTATAGAAGCAAAATATCAAAGTTTTAAAAAAACATAATTTTTGGTCAACTTTGAAGTGACCTGAAGACCACATCCTTTGCCCAAGGGTGATGCCTTGAATAATTTTTAATCTACAACAAATCCTTATCCTTATGTGTAAGTTTGGTGATAATCTGTCCAGAAGTCCTTGAGAAGAAGATTTTTTAGCAACCCCTACTTTTTTTTATTTTTCTTATTATCTCCCCTTGTTTAAGGTTCATATCCCTAGTTTTAGTATAAATGAGAGCCCTTTGGCCAAGGATACTCTGTGACAAAATTGACAAAAATTGGCCAAGGGGTTCTTGATATATGGCCCATATTCTAAAAAGTTTATGCACACCCCACAAATGGCCATAGCATTAGCTCTTTGAGCCTTTGGCTCAGAAGAGCTAAAAATGATTCCACAGTATATGCCTAACCTGGACCTCTGGTGCTGGATCCTGCTGGGGTTGTTCAATAGCCACTGTTAGTTCTGCCTCTTCTGCACGTGTAATGGCATCCTCTAGATCTAACCTTAACTGCCGAACTCTCTCTATAGATATATATATAAATAATAAATGGAAATTCATGCTACCTCAATGTTTCACTCTTTTGGTAGGAACATGAAACGTAGTATGTAAACAAGGCTGTTAAAACCCGAAGCTGATAGTGCTGTGGATTAAAAGAGCAGATACACTGTACATGTAGCTATAAATATCTTAGTATTATTCATTTTTAAATATCTATCAACTGTAACGTATAAATTAATATGCTAAAAATATATATCTGACATGTGGAGGTTAAAAAAAGTTTTGAGTGTGACCATTTTTAGCCAGTCAGTTGGGAGAGGGCAAACAAACAATTTTATAAAAATGGCCCAAGTCTAAACCTTGGTAGCTACAAATAGACTGTGCATCTGGCAGAAAAGTCACTGCAGCATACATGCCAACTTTTGAAAATTCCCATGGGGGATTTTGCGCGTGACGACAATTTTCAAAGCTTTAAATTCGCGACATTTTGTCGTGAAAATAAATGTTTATCCCATTTTTTTTTTTATTATTTATAATATCAATATCACTTGTTAATACAATTTAAGAATAAATAATACAAACAAATTTTTTCCTTCCAAAATTCAAATATCTTTTGCTTAAATAGGTACCTCTCTCACTAAAGAAGTGATATCTGTTTAGCTTAACAACATTATGTTTGAAAAGACACAGAATTTGGTGAAAAATGTGAAAATGTACAACTTTCAGTTCAGTAAATTTTGTTGTAAAGTTTTAGAAATATATGAGGTTTTGTTACTGTACAGTTTCTGGGAAACATTTGTAAAATTCTCTATTTACATTTTACACAATTAGAATTTCCTAATTAGACATTAGATTGAAAGAAATACTGAAAAATTACAATGCACTGTGTGTGTGAGGGTGAGAGAGAGAGAGAGAAAGATAAGAAAATTTGTTTGTTTTGAAGTGTCATTTTATTCCCTTTTAATAAGTAGACATCATGATGATTAATTTAATCACACACACAAAACAAGTTGAAGAAATAAATTTACTCTTGAGATCATCAATTATTTAAAACAAGGATACCCCTATCCCAAACAAAAATTAAAATTGTTATAAACATGATGAACTTTTGCATAACATTGGCAGTGTCATGTGGGTATTCCGTTGTCATATTACTTTGGGGGGGGGGGGGGATTCAGTGTACTTGAGGGTATAAGACTTTGTTGTTTCATCTAAATTATTTTCATCTTATTTTAACCGGTAAACTTTACAATATCTTAAAATCAGCAGCTATGCTTTGTTGTTTTCTACTTTCGTTTTTAAAAAACGAAACATGGATTAATTCCAATTTTGTTGTTAGTTTATCATATCACTGTATTCAATTTTTGTTTTTAATAAAATGATATTTAATTATACCCTAAATCTATGTGTTTCACTATATGCATACCCCTTCTGACTGAAAAGTTTAATCCTCTAACTGCTCCAGGCTATGTTACCTGTACCTGGACAGCTGTGTGCGTTCAAGCGAGAAGTGATTTCCTGTGGCTAATTAACACCTCTGCATGCGTTAAATAAACAAAGAGACTAATCTGTGTGCATTGAATAAACAAGTCTGATATTCTAATCCCGACTGACAAAATATTGCGGTAGGGAAACTCAGAAAATCGGAAATTTTAGGTTGAATATTTTCAAATCGGGATTTTTGGGCAATTTTGCTTTCCCGATCGGGAGAGCGGGATTAAAGGGTAAAATCGGGAGGATCCCACCTAAATCGGGAAAGTTGGCATGTATGCTGCAGAGCTTGTCTAAGCATAGTATACAATTTACCTTTCTCTATTCTCAGTAGTCTTTCAAGGCTTCTAATTTCATCCTTCATCTTTTGAAGCTTTGCCTGAAAAATAAACATGTTCCATGTACTGAATAAATATATGGTACGAATAAAGAGGTTAAAATATATATGCAATTTTGCTTAACTAAAGATATTAAAAAACATGTACTAGTATATATACAAGTATATAATATTGTAAACTTATTATATATGTTATTATATATATTATATATTACATGTAGGTACCTTTTGGTCTTCCACTTCCTTTTCTGCCTCATTCAGTTTTAATTGTGTGGAAGAATCTATCACTTTTATGATTTCTGTGTAAAATACAGAAATAAACTTGAACTATAGTTTCTGCATTTTATGAGAAAGATGCATAAAAGGACACCTGTTCCATTATCTTTATCTATTAGAATTATAATGTATCATATACCAAATGAACCTAAGTTGAATTTATGTTAAAATGAAAGAAATCATTGCCAAATTGCAAAATAAATTTCAAGATTACTTCAGAATTCAAGAAAAATAAGTTTATTCCCAGTTTGTTAATTGAAACTTAAACTGAGGGAAATGTGTGCTTTTTTAAACGTAGCAAGCTCTATAAAATCATTTTTTTACCTGGTGGGGGTGGGGAGGGAGGGGGAGGGGGTGTCCCTGCCCTCACCTTCTCCACCACCTTGGGTTTTTTGGCCAGTTCCTCCTGCAGGTCCTTGATCTGAGCGTCCTGCTTCTGGCACTTCTGTGACATCTTGGCATTATTCTCTTCTGCTTTGGACTGCAAAAGGATAAAAATGATGACAGTGAAATATATTCTGAATGGAAGATAGAGAAAGAGAGACAGAGGGGGTACCTGCATTTTATACAAGATTAATTAGAGGCATGAATTTAAATTTACCAGTAGATGTCTCTTTTCATCCAGTTCTGTAGCTATCTTTCTGACATTTTTCTTCAGGTCCTCTAATTCTTTGCCTTTTCCTTCAACATCAGACTTTGCATTTTGTAGTTTCTATGAAATAAAAATACCATTAAGTGGACAATGGACCACAACACAACCCACTAGTATAACCAGTATTATATAGAAATAACCAGTGTTACATAGAAATAACCAGTATTATAAAGATATAACCAGAGTTATGGAGAAATAACCAATATTATAGAGAAATAACCAGTATTAAAGAGAAAGAGAAATAACCCGTTGTCATGGAAATAGAGAAATAACCAGTGTCATAGAGATAGAGAAATAAACAGTGTTACAGAGAAATAATCAGTGTAATAAAGGAATAGCCAAATAGCTTTTATTAAGAATTACCGTTTTTGCATCCTCTGCAGCTTTTCTTTTTTCCTTCAATTCCACGTTACGTTTCTTCATGCCAGAAGAGAGCTCCTTAAACTGTGACTGGCCTTTTTTAAAAACTGCAACAAAAAAGTTTTTAAAATGTCAAATTATTTTTTAATCTTCTCATTCTATTTGCTAAGACTTGGCTTACTTATTTATTTGGCTCTGCTCGTAATTTGTGTTGGTTAAATGGACTTCTGAAAATGATAACTGTTCATTGACTTCACATTTCATCCTAAAATTTTGAGCCCCTACTTTGGCCCCAAAACAATCACCAAGGTGAATACGACAATGCTTTCATTCAAGTTATTAGCTTTTTTGGCTTTGTGCTTCTTACAAACTTCTAAAATAATCCACCTTATTTTCATTACTATTTATTAGTTATCTCAACTTGAAATAGGGTTTGGCCCATTTCTATCATTTGATAAAATTTGAATTCCCATTACTTAAAGCATGCTTTGTGTAAAGTTTAGTTGAAATTGGCCTCATGGTTCTGGAAGAAAAGTTGAAAAAGTGAAAAAATTACATATACTAGTATATCTGTAATATGACAGACAGATGGATGGCTAAATAGACCAAAATGGACACTTTACAATCAGAAAAGCTCACTTAGGACATTGATTCAGTTAAGCTAGAAATTCTTTCTTCAATATTGTTTGTGGAAGTATAAATTGTGACACTGACTATTTTTGTAGGTAGCATTCTTGGTCCACTTCATGGCATCATCAAATGTATTCATGACCATCCTCACGGCTGAGTCCCACTTACTCTGGTCAGACAGGAGCAGTCTCTCTACAGAAATGGAATTAAGATATACTACTGTCTTCATTACAATCGACAAATGGAACTTCATCTCTGTAAAATTAGAATATTTGGCTTTTTTTATTTTATGAGAAAACTTTTCTTGTTTTGTTCTAGAATCTCAGACTAAAAAACATAGGTAATCAAAGATTACGAAGCTCACCTCGACAAATGTTATCAGTAAAAGTAATGCAAATCTCACATCATATTTTCTTTATAGTTAGTGTGCATCCTGAAAACAATATTCATGCAAGTTCTGTGTAAGTAGGTCTTATAGTTCTTTGGGAATTGACCTGTTCCAAAAACTTTAACCTCTTCACTAATCAAGAAAATGTCTTTCATTTCCTACATCCAAAGCAAGTCTGGAATGCACCATCTATGCAAGTTAAATCATAACAGGCCATATAATTATAGAGCTACTCCAAACACATTGTCATGGTTACTATTTGGGAAAATGTAGGTCAGATCCAGCATCCGAAGCATGTCTGGTAGTCCCCATCCCTAGATGCATCATCCATGCAAGTTTGGTCCAGGTAGGTCTTGTACTTACTTGGGAATGGACCTGCTCCAAAAACATTAACCTGGTCACTCATCTGAAAAACGTAGGTCAGATCCAGCAACCGAAGCAAGTCTGGTAGTCTCCATCCCTAGATACATCATCCATGCAAATTTGGTTCAGGTAGGGCTTGTAGTTACTTGGGAATGGACCTGCTCCAAAAACTTTAACCTGGTCACTCATCTGGAAAATGTAGGTCAGATCCAGTATCCGAAGCAAGTCTGGTAGTCTCCATCCCTAGATGCATCATCCATGCAAGTTTAGTCCAGGAAGGGCTTATAGTTACTTGGGAATGGACCTGCTCTGAAAACTTTAACCTGATCACTCATCTGGAAAATATAGGTCAGACCCAGCATCTGAAACAAGTATGGTAGTCTCCATCCCTAGATGCATCATCCGTGCAAGTTTGGTCCAGGTAGGGCTTATAGTTACTTGGGAATGGACCTGCTCCAAAAACATTAACCTGGTCACTCATCTGGAAAATGTAGGTCAGATCCAGCATCCGAAGCAAGTCTGGTAGTGTCCATCCCTAGATACATCATCCATGCAAGTTTAGTCCAGGAAGGGCTTATAGTTACTTGGGAATGGATCTGCTCGAAAACTTTAACCTGATCACTCATCTGGAAAATATAGGTCAGATCCAGCATCTGAAGCAAGTCTGGTAGTCTCCATCCCTAGATGCATCATCCGTGCAAGTTTGGTTCAGGTTGGGCATGTAGTTACTTGGGAATGGACCTGTTCCAAAAACCTTAACCTGGTCACTCATCTGGAAAATGTAGGTCAGATCCAGCATCCAAAGCAAGTCTGGTAGTCCCCACCCCTAGATACATCATAAATGCAAGTTTAGTTCAAGAAGGGCTTATAATCACTTGGGAATGGACCTGCTCCAAGAACTTTAACCTGGTCACTCATCTAGAAAATGTAGGTTAGATCCAGCATCCGAAGCAAGTCTGGTAGTCTCCATCCCTAGATACATCATCCATGCAAGTTTGGTTCAGGTAGGGCTTGTAGTTACTTGGGAATGGACCTGCTCCAAAAAATTTAACCTGATCACTCATCTGGAAAATGTAGGTCAGATCCAGCATCCGAAGCAAGTCTGGTAGTCACCATCCCTAAATACATCATCCATGCAAGTTTGGTCCAGGTAGGGCTTATAGTTACTTGGGAATGGACCTGCTCCAAAAACTTTAACCTGGTCACTCATCTGGAAAATGTAGGTCAGATCCAGCATCTGAAGCAAGTCTGGTAGTGTCCATCCCTAGATGCATCATTCATGCAAGTTTGGTCCAGGTAGGCTTATAGTTACTTGGGAATAACAACTTTACTGTCATTACCATCAATAACAACTTTACTGTCATTACCATCAATAACAAATTTATCGTCATTACAATCAGTGACAACTTTACCATCAATAACAACTTCACTGTCATTACCATCAGTGACAACTTTACCATCAATAACAACTTTACTGTCATTATCATCAGTGACAACTTTACTATCAATAACAACTTTACTGTCATTACCATCAGTGACAACTTTACCATCAATAACAACTTTACTGTCATTACCATTAGTGACAACTTTATCATCAATAACAACTTTACTGTCATTACCATCAGTGACAAATTTACTGTCATTACCATCAATAACACATTTACTGTCATTACAATCAGTGACAACTTTACTATCAATAACAACTTTACTGTCATTACCATCAATAACAACTTTACCGTCATTACAATCAGTGACAACTTTACCATCAATAACAACTTTACTGTCATTACCATCAATGACATTTTTACCATCAATGACAACTGTTTTCTCTTTTTCTTTCTCTTGGCCCACTTTAGTGTTTTCCTTTTGTTCCATAATGATAGCATGTGTTGTAGCCAACAGGCTGTTTCCAAGTTCCATCACTTTTTCACTCAAGCTACCATATCTATGAAGAGCTGTCCTGCATTTATAATTATATAGAATATTTACATTTCACCACAGTCTCCTAATTAAAACATTGGTAAACAAAGATTAAGAAGCTCACCTTGACAAATGTTATCTACATAGGTAAGAAAGCATACAGTTATTTTCGATCACAAAAATTTTGCCACAACTTATTTTCATGGGATAATTATTTGGTATTTATAAACAAAAGAAAATATTCACAAATTTTGATTAATGTTTACATAATTTTATAAAATAAATATATACGAGAATAAAATTTTCACAAGCAGATGGTCTTGGTCTTATGTACATGTTATTACTTAAAAATAAAGTCTTTCCAGAAAAAAAAAAATGCTGAGAAGATTTCTAAATGAGCCCACCTTAATTTTGCTTTCCTTAATTACCTCCCCTTAAAGAGAGCACTGCCCTTCATAAAAACAAACTTGAAATGCTTTCAACCAAAGATACTCTGTACCAAATTTGGTTGAAATTGGTTTGGGAGAAGAAGATGAAAATGTGAAAATTTTATGCCACAAAGAATGGGGAGAAGAATAAGGACGACAAACATTAGATAAATTTCGATCAGTAAATCTCTCTTACACTTTGTCTCAAATAAGCTAAAACTGCTTACACAAAATTAAGAGAATTCCCTACTTATTTAGGTAAAGAACAAGTCTCAATAAGGCTTATCTGTGGTCCCTGGTTACTAGTCAAATTCGAACATTTATCAAAATTTTTAAAAATTGAATTTTATTATTAACTCATGTTGTATTATTTGAATCATCATCTAAAAATGTTAAACAATAGATATAGGCAGCATACGAAGCTGCGCGTTGAAGGTAGGGTCCTTTGATTTTCATGAATATCAAAAGAAATCAGTGACAGCCACACATTTCAAAGCTTTCGTAAACACCGAGCACAGGCTTGTTCAGAGTCGAGTTTGAAATATAATGTTTATATTATATGTGTAAAGGTTGAGTGAAAATATCTTTGTTGAACAACCTTGTGCTCTATGTTTTCTAATTAAAAGTATTGTGATTTTGAATCTCTTCGCTGACTTCATTTACATGTGATTAACCTCTTTATGACCTGTTTAGAATCATAAGAAGCCACATGGATTTGTATCGTTACGGGTAAATGCCTCCAGTAAACGTGCTAGTTCTCAGTTGAAACGTACTCAGTTTTATATCGATCAGCATGGACTTGTTTGGTTCATCTTGTTATAGTTTTTATTGCCAAAGTTTTGTATAAAATAGAAAATTGTATTTGTAGTTGATTGTGACTTTTGAACACATAATTCGCCTTTGAAAGAAAAATATCATACCAAGATCTTTTTATAGTATCTAATCTAAATGTCTCCGCCCATTTCCATGTAATAGAGAAACCGTAGTCTGATTGGGGGAAAATGTTCCGGCATTTTTTAGTGCGATAGGTGTTAAAAATAGTCTTATATTATTTGATATGTTTAATTATTCATTATAAATACACAATGTTTTAATTAGAAATACTTCGTTATAAACAATGAAAACAAAGAAAGTACCATATGCTAGTATTTAACCGGTAAACCAAGGGTGTAAAAAAGGGACCACACTACTATACTTAAGTAGAATACTCCTTTCTAAATATAATGTACCTGACAGTGCCTAATACCTACATGACATGACTATGTATTTCTTGGAAATGTCTGCTCATCTGAAAAAGTTCCTCCTCAGCTGGAAGCTCACTGATCTACAATGACAATTTTAATCATAATTAGTCTGAATGAAATTGTGAAACTTTAGAAATTTTAACCAATCCCGATCAAAATTAAACCAATGCCGATTAAAATCAATACAAAATTCATTATTATTGATTTACTGCTTACCTCAAACAGTTTCTACTGAGAAATCCATATGGTTGATTAGTTCAACTACTTTGTAAACCATATTTCACCACAAGAACCTAGTATTCTTGTAAAATTGTTATTTTATCCAGTTTATATAGTTTTGGTTGGGATCTGTTTCATTTTGATTAGGATTGGTTCAAATTTGAAAATTAGCATTTTTTGTTAAATTTTGCAACTTCGATTAAATTTCTTTATGAAATTTAATTGCATCATATTTCTTTTCTAAATGTAACTTGTTTCTTAGAGATTTTATCCAAAGGTTTAAAAAATATTAACAAATTACAATTTTTATATTCATAAATTATTTTTTACTAAAAAATTTCAAAAGTCTCTTTGACTCTTCTTGACGACGTTTCATTGGATATTTCTCTCGTGCATTTATTAACAGCAAATTCTAAACTCTAAAGCATCTTTTTTGCAAATAAAACAATTTTTACATTTTCTTTGAAAAAATACAAAAAAAAAAATCATAAAATAATTAAGAGCATATATCAATCTTTCCATACTGAAACTGTGTTTCAAAAGATAAGTCTTAAACATCCATCAAATAAAGTTTTGCTGTGGCATTCCACCTTAACAGAAACACATTTTTTTAGCTGTAGCGAGAAAAAAAATAAATACCAGAACTTTAGAACTGCTCAATTACATGTCTACATTTCAAACTTTTGTTGAAATCTAAAAACCTTTCCCATATATAGGTAATTCTCTTTTAGATACATGTATGTTCTAGTGAAGATGAAGTACTACTTTACCAGATCTGTACTAGAGAGCCAGTAATTATCTCTAAGACACATGTATGTTCTAGTGAAGATGAAGTACTACTTTACCAGATCTGTACTAGAGCCAGTAATTATCTCTAAGATACATGTATGTTCTGGTGTAGATGAAGTACTACCTTACCAGATCTGTATTAGAGAGCCAGTAATTATCTCTTGGATACATGTATGTTCTAGTGTAGAAGAAATACTACATTACCAGATCTGTACTAGAGAGCCAGTAATTATCTTTTAGATACATGTATGTTCTAGTGTATTATTATCAGATCTGTACTAGAGAGCCAGTAATTATCTCTTAGATACATGTATATTCTAGTGTATTATTACCAGATCTGTACTAGAGAGCCAGTGATTATCTCTTAGATACATGTATGCTCTAGTGTATTATTACCAGATCTGTACTAGAGAGCCAGTAATTATCTCTTAGATACATGTATGTTCTGCTGTAGATGAAGTACTACCTTACCAGATCTGTACTAGAGAGCCAGTAATTATCTCTTAGATACATGTATGTGCTAGTGTATTATTACCAGATCTGTACTAGAGAGCCAGTAATTATCTCTTAGATACATGTATGTGCTAGTGTATTATTACCAGATCTGTACTAGAGAGCCAGTTATTATCTCTAAGATACATGTATGTTCTGGTGTATTATTACCAGGTCTGTACTAGAGAGCGGGTAATTATCTCTTAGATACATGTATGCTCTAGTGTATTATTACCAGATCTGTACTAGAGAACCAGTAATTATCTCTTAGATACATGTATCTTCTAGTGTATTATCACCAGATCTGTACTAGAGAGCCAGTAATTATCTCTAAGATACATGTATGTTCTAGTGTAGATGAAGTACTACATTACCAGATCTGTACTAAAAAGCCAGTAATTATCTCTTAGATACATGTATGTTCTAGTGTATTATTACCAGGTCTGTACTAGAGAGCGGGTAATTATCTCTTAGATACATGTATGCTCTAGTGTATTATTACCAGATCTGTACTAGAGAACCAGTAATTATCTCTTAGATACATGTATCTTCTAGTGTATTATCACCAGATCTGTACTAGAGAGCCAGTAATTATCTCTAAGATACATGTATGTTCTAGTGTAGATGAAGTACTACATTACCAGATCTGTACTAAAAAGCCAGTAATTATCTCTTAGATACATGTATGTGCTAGTGTATTATTACCAGATCTATACTAGAGAGCCAGTAATTATCTCTTAGATACATGTATGTTCTGGTGTATTATTACCAGATCTGTAGTAGAGAGCCAGTAATTATCTCTTAGATACATGTATGTTCTAGTGTATTATTACCAGATCTGTAGTAGAGAGCCAGTAATTATCTCATAGATACATGTATGTTCTAGTGTAGATGAAGTACTACATTACCAGATCTGTACTAGAGAGCCACTAATTAACTCTTAGATACATGTATGTTCTAGTGTATTATTACCAGATCTGTACTAGAGAGCCAGTGGTTAACTTCTGTCAGGAGAGCGTACCGCTCCTCCGTAGTTCCTCTGTATGACTCTACTCTCTGCATTACTGCCTTCTCTTTGTACATCTGTAACCATGACAATTCAATAAATTACATGTACATAGAGACAATGCATACTGTAAATAAATGTAAAATCTGTAGATATAACAAACTGCATCTCAATAGCTGCATCTGCAAATTCTTCTTAATCCCCAAAACATGTAAAACAACAAAATACACAACACTGAAAATAACTTAAAATAACTTATTGCATTTTCAAGAATAACAAGTGTACAAAGTATAAAATTCTAGAATAAACCTTCAACTTTGGCCCAAAAGGACTTTAACTTGCACAAAGTTTTGATATTAGGTTATCAATAAGGACTTTAACTTGCACAAAGTTTTGATATTAGATATCAATTAAGGAGCAAACCAAAGAAATCTGTAGAATTTTTTTCATATTCTTGTGATGTGTTCTCACCTTTTCTCGTCTCTGCTTCATGATTTCCAGACTGTTGATTGGTGGAAATCTGGTGGCCTTCAAAATATCATAAATTTCAGCAAAAGGAAAATGTAAACAAGATAAATTACTTATATAATACTGTGGTAACAGTGTATGAAATATGTGAGACATACTCTTTTTTTTCTGAATCAAAATGTAGTATATTCCTTTAATATGGTGGTAAAAATGTTCGAAAAAATCACCCCAAAACTGGCAAGCCCTGAATTTTTGATTTTCCATTTAACATTGGGCTACAATGCTGACTTGAATTCATTCAGTATGCAACTCAATACTATTTTATTAATAAAAAGCAATTTTTAATTAAAAGGATATGAATGTTGGCAAAATAATTCAATGAAATAGAGGATTGTTGATCCTTATGTATCAATGCTCTTATACAAAACTTTAAACTTTCATAGCTATAACTGTGGCTCAATTTAACATCATAAAATGATCATAAAATGGTCATAGTACACTTGAGTCATGATAAAAACCAGAATCAAGGATTTTCTAGTACCCGGTAGGTTGTGCCCCCTCCCCCACCCCAAAACTGACATTGCTTCCTACAGGCCTATTTAAGTTAGATACAGTCAGACCTCATAATGGGACCTAGAAAAAGTTGGAGATATCCGAGGATTCGAGATATCAAGGGTAAAATACTAAAGGAATTTGTGGTTGGGACTTCCAAATCACTTTGACATATCCATGGTATTTGAAATATCGATGTTCGAGACACCGAAGTTCAACTGTATATCCACTTAAGTAGGTCATTCATATAGTTAATACTGCTGGTACTACAGACATATGTTCACCTATCCTGAGTTATCAACAAATTTGATGATGTCAAAATACAAAAGTGTAACTGTATTTACCTGTGTTTGTATTCTTTGCCTGTTCACATGGGGAATTAAATTTGAATTAAACACAAGTTACTGCACATTTCTCTTATAACAATACATGTACATTTGTTATGGACTGACATAGTTTTTTTTTTAATTTCACTTAAATTAAAGGTCAAAGTGACCTTTAAGTAGAGTGTGACAAACCTTCTACCTAAGATGCATTAATTGGCCAGGTTTGATGATTCTAGGTCTAATAGTTATCTAGTTGTGAACCAGACAGGATTTTCCCATATTTGGCCATAGCATCTTAATTAAAGGTCAGAGCTACCTACTTTTAATGTGGTCACATTTTCTACCCAAGATGTATCAGCTGACAAAATTTTATAATTCTAGGCGTAATAGTATTAAAGTTATGAGCTGGACATGAAAAAAGCTGACAGACAGACAGACGGACATGAACACCATAACATAATATGTCCTGTCTCAGGCATATAAAAATGTGTACAGACATTGTCACATTATGTTATGTCTCTATTGCTCTGCAGAAAGCATCAAATGCAAATAATTCCATAAAAGTGTTAACATACATTATCAAATTTTAATGAACATTAATTAACTTCCCATTAGTTGCCATGTGAATGCTATTTGATTTGCATTAATTTAATTTTAATTATTTTACTTTGTAATAATTTACTGCAAAGTAAAAATTTAATGTGCATTCAGTGAACAGGGTATTACTTTTGCAAATTAATTCCCACAAGTTACTTACTGCATCTAAGTCCTCTCCTTCTTCATACATGTCCACACAATATAAAACCTTTAAAACAAGCACAATTAAATCACATATCAACTCTCTTTTGTTCCTGAAAAACCACTCTGTTTACATAATTGTATAAGCTAATTCTAACCAAGTTCTTTCTCATAAATTTAAGACCTAGAATTGATGTTTTCAAGATTTCATTGTTCTGAAGACTCTCCCTACATGTGTTAATGATTAATAAAGTCCTACCTCTTTCACTCTATCTTTGATTGAGACCAATTCATCCTGTATATCTTTCCGTAGACGGGAATTTTTTACTGCATCAATGTCCTCTACAATTTGACTTGCATCTTGAGATGCACTGAGAAGTCCTGAATCAGGACTATGATCAATGTCCATCTCCAAACCTACATTTAGATAAAGATTCATCAACTTTATAATTTCTGCACATACATTTATCAATTTAAAAAATGAATCTAAATGCAAGGTGATATTTTGGCTAAAGAAAAGCTTCATTTTGAATTAATCTGTCAAAAGATGCTTAAATAGTTTTGCAATAGGATTGAGGAATTTCAGTAACAGATCACATGACTTTGATGTAACCCACCATGTACCCTCTGGTTGGCTAATTCTTGCAGAAGTTGTTCTATATTAATCATTGTTGGTGGCTTTTTGACAAGTTTTTCACTGGACATCCTCTCAGGTACCTGAAGTGTGACAGGTTCAGTTCAATTTGATGACATCCTACATGCAGCGTCTACTTGAATTGGAATCTCCCAAAAGTAATACTGAATTAACATCACTTACAAAAACTAGAATATAACTAGAACTGTCCAAAAGGGACAAATACCCCCCGCTGGGTTTTTCAGAGAAAGTACCAAATCACTAATGTTTTCTAGATGTGAGAGGTGTTCACAATTTCCTTAAACATTTACAGTGAAAATTTAATTATAGTCATTATATTTTTTTTATATGTCCATCTTAAGACGGAACGTATTATGTTATAGCGTTCATGTCCGTCCGTCCGTGAGCTTTTTCATGTCCGACTCATAACTTTAATACTATTAGGCCTAGAATTATCAAACTTTGTCAGCTGATACATCTAGGGTAGAAGGTGTGTCGCACATTAAAACCAGGTCGCTCTGACCTTTAATAAAGAGGCTATGGCCAAATATGGAAAAATCATAACTAGAAAACCATTAGACTTAGAATCAAAAAACTATGTCTTTTAACTTTTAAATTACACAACCCCAAAAGTTGTCAGAGTATTGCAGTATTTTTATTAAAAAAGTGTTAAATCAAGAAAATACTGGTCTTATTTCTTTCATTATGTTCTTTACAGCAATCTGTAACAAGAAAAATTCCACCTCTCCCATGGGTGTAATGATCAGGCACTGGTCAAGGAAAATTTTGATAGCAGAAAATTGCATGTCAAATTAGAGATAAATTAAGGAGTTTAGTGTGAGGAGATAACTGGTAGAGCATCTCTGATCAAGCAGGTGTTATCTACATCTCTTGGGAAATGGGCAAAAGGAATCAGTCTCTTAATTAATTGCTTGTGTTGTATTGAATTGTTCTTGTTGGCTAGTCTTACTTTCAAGATAAATTTGACGTAATTAAAAGTAATTTGATATTGTATATAATAATTAAAACTTATATGATATTGTATAATATAATTTAAACTAATTATTTATTGTACATTTTTTATTTGAATTTTTATATCTTTACAACAAATTGCAGACTGCCTTGTCTCGCTAAGATGTCATTCGAACAATTGAATCTAAACTGTTTATGATAATTTAACAATATTTGATGGGCGTATAACGCTGTGGTGGGGCACTTAATATTTAATGAATGAAACTAAGGTGCAGCCTAATAAAACATCAACACTAATAATTACAGTGTTTTTTATTACATTGAAAAAATAGTTTGCAACTATCTGTCATCTTTGTGAGACATGACACTCTGCAAATTGATTGTTGAAAAAAAATATCATAATTAATTATACAAAATCAAATTGATTTTAATACCTTTATATCAAACTCATTTTAAAAATAAAAGGCTGGTTTTAGTAACTATGTATTTTGACAGACATAAATAACAATTAAGAGACTTAAGTTAAGACTTAGACAACAGAGATCTTATTTCTTTCTGCCCAACTCCCCGGAGATATAGATAAGACCTGCTTGATCAGAGATGCCCTAACAGCTTCCCACACTGAACTCATTAATTAATCTTTAACTGGATGCATGTCCACTCATTACTCCCAAGGGACAAATGGATTTACACTATCTGCTGTGTAATGGAAAAACTGTTTTTAATGCTTTGTGGGTTTTTTTAGTTCTAATGATTAGTTTTAAGCTGTTGTTCACATTTTTGTACAGATGTTCTAGATTCTATGTCTCAAACCTTAGACATGAACCCGAAATGACTAAGTCAATAAAAATTAAAAAAAAAAAAACACCTGTAAAATGCAGAAAAATTATCAAATGATGTTGAAAATACCAGGTGCACATCTTCATATGGTAAATAATAAGTGTACAAATTTTCATACAAATCTATGCAATAGTTTCTGGGAACAGATACAGACAAAACCGCATAATAAAAATGAAAAAACACCTGTAAAATGCAAAAAAATTATCCAATCATAATGAAAATACCAGGTGCACACCTTCATATGGCAAATAATAAGTGTACAAATTTTCAGGCAAATCCTTCCAACAGTTTCCAAGAAATGGTCCGGACAAAATCTCGTCTACAGACAGACGGACAGACGGACAGACAGACGGACATGCTGATTCCAATATACCCCCCCTAAACTTCGTTTGCGGGGGGTATAATAAAGAACTATATACGGTAAGGGCGTATTCCTGCCCCCATAATAGTCAAATTTTGAAAATCTCCTGAAATGAGAAAAAGTGCATATATTGTATAAAATAATCCAAATTAAGACAATGTATTATGAAATTGGAAAAAATAGTTGGCTTTTCTTGTCTCTGTGACGTCACAAACTATTTGGATTTCCGTTTTTTTTAAAATAGAGGCCAAAATGCACAGAGTTTGTTCAATTTTGACTATAGTATTTATAGAGCGCAAGCTTGCTCAGGTACCATATTCACATATTTCATTGATATTATCATTCTACACATTATATCAAAAGATCTAGTCTGAGCAGACCTGCGCTCGATAATTTCCAATCAAAATACCGACGTAAAATACGCTATTTTCTCTCAAAATCATTGCAATTTGGAATTTACGTCATTTTATTGACGTCATATCTAACTAATGATGTCATAGTTGATAAAAATATTTAATGCTTTGAAGTCTGCAAATATCCACCTGGCTTAGAACATAATTAAAGATTTCTCCATCAAAGTCTTATTTTGGGGGCAGATACTGGCCACTACAGAATATAGTCCTTTTATTTACTAAAATGTCCTAAAACTTTAAAATTTATCTTTAAAATCATAATTATTGATTTTTTGTTACAGCAGTGTTACCTTGTTCATTTCTGGGGAGAATGCTTCTTTCCTCACGTGATCGGTGACAATGCCCCCTCTCCTTTTGGACTGTCCCATTCTCTCTGGTGAGGGAGAGGTATTCTCATCAGAATCGACCTGCCTCCTTTTCCACTGGCCCATTCTTGGTTCTGGTGACGGAGAGGTACCATCTGGACTGACCTGCTTAGCCTTGCTTCCACTTAATTGGTCTGTGATCAGTTTTGAAAACCGCACTTTTCTTTTTCCTGTCACTTTGGTAAAAGTGCCCCAAAGATTTTTCTGGAATAAACTATGACTAATGAGCTATCTCATATACGTCTACATAAATTAATATGAATTAAAGAAATTAAATTTATTTCAGAGTAACAGTTTTTTTCTAAGCATGGGAGTAGATTTTCAGATAATAAGGAGGCAAAAACAACTGGAAGTCTCTGATGAGACTGTAGCTCTACTGGTTTGTACTTATAAGCACTACCTGGACTTGATACTTAGTACCAATGGCAACAACAATAAATAAGAATTATGATCCTTGGTTTAATTTACTTGTACAATTGAATATGTTAATTTTCCCAATCATCATTTCTTTAAAGATTTTACATATATTATCAATGTAAAGCCTTGATTCCCTATTGTGGCCCCACACTACCCCTGGGGGCCATGATGTGAACAATTTAAAATCTATGCTACCTTGGGAAGATAAGTTTCATAAGTTTCAGCCTTCCTAGTCCAGCGGTTCTTGCGAAGAAAATTTTTTCTAATATATTTCAATGTAAAAACTTGATTCTCTATTGTGGCCTCACCATAACACCGGGGGCCATGCTTTGAACAATTTAGAATCTACACTACCTCAGGAAGCTTCCATATAAGTTTCAGATTTCCTAGTCCAGTGGTTCTTGGGGAAGATTTTTAAAGATTTTCCTATAATTTTCTATGCAAAGTTTTGATACCCTAATGTGGCCCCAGCCTACCCCTTGGGGCCATGATGTGAACAATTTAATATCTACACTACCTCAGGAAGCTTTTTCAAAAGTTTCAGTTTTCCTAGTCCAGCTTTCAGCTCAGGTGAGCAAAAAATGTTGTGAACAAAATTTAGATTTTAGGTTTTCATATTCCCTTACATCTCTTTATAATACAAAGGGCCTAGCTATTAGTGATCAAAATATTCATACTTGTTTCTTTCCATTATTAAACAAATTCTCTCTTAGTAAGGAGAAGTTTATCTGCCAATATAAAATTTATGATCAAATAATGTGAAAACACCAGTTTACTGATAAGACCCAAAGGTAAATACAAACATGTCAGAGTAAAAATTTCAATAACAATCTGGATTTTAAATAAATAATAGCATTCCACATTTTAACAAAGCAGAGCATTTCTTGCTGGGGATCAATGGAATTACAAAATTATACTTCAGTCACCTCAACTGAGTAAATGTACTTTTTCTACATGTACAATTATAATTAATTTATTATAATTCATTCCAGTTTTAAGTATTCTTGAATAGATTTTTGTCTAAAAGGTTTTTCCTATGTATATATGTATACCCCCCCCCCCTTTTATGGCTCTCATTGACCTAGTGTCAGAGGTTATAAATTGAACAAATTTTTATCTACATTTATTTATATTAAGTTTTCTCATCTCTGATTCAGTGGTTCTTGAGATGCAGCAGTACCTCATCTGTTACTTCTTTTTAATCATCTCCCATAGGAAAAGGGCTTACCAGGTAGACCTTTTCAAACATACAAACATGATTCAGCAAGGAGACTTGGAGACTTTTTGGCAATTATGTTTGAAAAAGAACTCCTGGTTCTGGAGAAGTATGACAGTGTGTAAAGATGTGCAGATCTTCATGTATTGACTGTGTATGAGGAGACAAAATGTAAAGATGGATAAAAATGGATACAAAAATCAAATTCATAAGCCAAAGACCCATAAAATATAGGTATGTTTAGAAATTGTTTTCTACTCTACAAGAAAAAGATCTTCAAAACTTTATCCTGGATTCAAAACTTTATTCTGGATACTTCACCACTACTTTTTTATGAGACTGACATTTAACTTTACTACTGCGGACAAGCATTCCCTTAATGAAAGCAATTAGGAAATGGTACTTATAATAATGACTGTCCATCGAATAGTGGCTGCATTCAGTCTTTGATTTTCTTGTTAAGGATTATAGTAAAATTCAAAAAGATCTGACATGTCTTATAGGGAAAATCTATATAATTAGTTTTTTTCTTGCTTTAATCAAAATACATCTCAAGATTCTGTGTAAATTTTGTAAACTGAAGGATTAATATATGATCAGATCTAGATTTTCTCATACAAAATAGATTAATTGTTGATCTTCAGGTGATAAATTATTATTGAATTCTATTCTGTTTCTTTTCTTTGCATTTTATGTTTTCTTGCAGACCAGTACTTATTAAAGAATAATGATGGTTTGATAGTGATAAAATCTGTCTGTGACTAGTACATGTATGTGTACAATATGAAAAATAAAAGACTAGTGATTAATTGGCTTATATCTTAAGCAATGTTTAACTTAATATATATGCTTAATTGGTTGGTGTAGATAAGTACTGTTATCAACCAATATCTGCAAATCTAAAACACTAAGACTGAAAACACTGTACATTGTGGAGCTAATCTGATATTCTTCAAAATACATGTATATGAATTACTTTACGGTCTGCAGTAACAGCTCTCTGCTGCTTTAATATGGACAGTTTCCTCTCATCCTGTACTGGGGTTCTACTTCTGTCTGGACTAATCCCCTGCCTATTGGTTGTCCCATCTTTGTTACTATATTTAGATTTTTTGGGACTCCTTAGAGGACTTGGTTGTCCTGCCCTGTTCCGTAATGTAACCTTGTTTTCCTGTACAAAGCTTCTTAGTTTCTTTCCTAGAATGAAAAGAAAATAACATTGTGTTCTATTTTTACATTTTGTTCACATTGTTTAACATTTTTCATTTTTAAATAATATAGTAATAACAGGGACCTATATACTAACCAGATAGGCAACTCTCGCAAGACTCACAATATCTTTTAAGTTGCAGGATTTTCTAAGTCAATTTTAATTAAATATATCTCTTTTGCTATCAGCCGTCACGGTAGCTCAGTCGGTAGAATGCTCGCTCCATGATCGGAAGGCCGCGACTGACCTAAGTCGATAAAAAATTAGTAGCAACTGTTCCTTCGCCAGGCGCTTGGCACTTTGAAGTGAAAGTTGCGGATCCTTTGGATGAGACCTTAAAAACTGAGGCCCCATGTCACGATAAAGATCCCTCATTGCTCAATGGCCCTGAGTGCCAAGTAAAGATCTAAATTTGAAGCCCTTCACCAGTATATGGTGACGTCTCTATATGAGTGAAAAATTCTCAAATGGGACGTAAAACAACATACAATCAATCAATCAATCTTTTGCTCTCAAATATTTCAGAAAAAACCTTAATTAATCTATCAAAAAATTATTCAAGATTTGTTGTCAGCACTGTTTTTACTCATCTTAGTAGTAATTACGTTTATTTCGAAATCAGTGCATGCCCCTGATTGGCTGTATTTCCGAGAATTTGCCAATTTTGGTGGTTGTATACTTAATATTTAAATTATTTTAATATGTCCTCTAAAATTAATTAAAAATCCATTTCGATACACAAAAAGAACAGATTACATTAATCAGAAAATAAGCTTTTTTACTGGGAAAAAACGTAGTTTGAAAAACTTGCAGTGTTGTGTTTGACATTTTGGGTTAATAAACATGGTGCTGAAGGAGATGCCTATCCCATTAGTATATAGGTCCCTAATTATATACAGTCATTTAAATCTCTCTATTACTACACAGAAAGGATTTCAGTATCAGCATTTTTCACAGCACATTTTTGAAAAAGAGAGGTGAGAAAAATTAACCATTAAAAATTATAATTCATCAATTTATCTTACTAATTAACACCAAGTTTAGGAGCTGTGCTTTATTGCTTTCTTACAAAATTATAAAAACAAAAAAACAAAAACAAAAAAACAGTACTACCCACATCCCACAGATTTAGTACATGTCTGGTACATATAGGTTTTATAATGATACCTATTACATGTATATAATATTTCATAGAGATCATCATACAGTATATAAGAGAGAGAGAGAGAGAGCTACAGTAGCATACCCCTTTATACTGTAATACCTTCAGCAATGAATATACACATAAAGAATAGATAGATTAGATGAATAAAGAAAGAAAGAAAGAAATAAGGTAACATATATATAATCACACAGCTTTTTCAGGAATATTTTTTAAAATTCTCCAGTATCATATAAATCTACTCAGTTACGATCAATTTCGAAATTCAACGTTCTTTTAAATTGTAAACATATAGTAGCTGAATTTCGATCATAACAATCACACAACCTCTTGTTTTCATGTCTTCCTCAGAATTTTAGCGCCTTCTTCATGTCAACAGTACACACGTGGTTGACCTTTCACCCACATCTTTCCATTCCGTCACAGAGCTAGTAGGATTTTTGCACAGATTTTTAAGTTAAGAATTTTACAATAAGCCGCATCAATTATCTGATAAAAACATCATTCTGTTACATTTTCAATATCTCACACAGTTTATTGATGAAATACAAGTTTTGAAGAGTTTAGGAAAATAATTTATGAGAACCTGATTCCCCTTCATGATGGAACCTTCTGCACATTGGAAAATGTTTGTGACGTCACTATGGGAATTGGCAATTTATCAATATTATGTCGCGTAGTGATATTTTGAAACACAGAACTGAGAACACCATGTACTTATATATTTATAATTATTAAACAAATAAGAAACTTTTGCTTATTTATTAGTTTTATTCTTTTTAATCTATACTTGAGCAAACTTCTTTATTTTACATGACGAACTATATTTAAAGGCGGAGCAATCCCATCTACTTATGTAGTGTGCGCTTAAGCGAGTATGAACAATCAGCGACTAAAGAGATTACACCGAATTTACCGTAATAGGTCAATTGACTGTTGATTGAGACTTGAATCACAGGTATAGTATGTGTATTATCCGTCCTTCTTTCTATCCGCGGCAAATTTGATGTTTACAATTTCCTTCCTTGGTTGTCCAGATCTATTGTCATATTGTGTCTCATTGTCAGTTCGTGCAGAACACGGGCACCTGTATAAAAGATGTTTTTAAGTTTTTATAAAAGTTTTACATGTGTATTTATTTATCTGTTTACTGATTAGTGAAAATTGTTGATGTATTGAAGCTTATTGTGAAAAAATGATTATTAGTCCATTTGCTTAGTTGACAGTTTATAATCCATCAGATATATCGATGTATACAAGGTTTAGCAGTCTAGTATTTGAATTAAGTTTTTACTTCCCTCAGTTTTAGAGATTTTGAAAAAAAAATATAATATTTCTTACTAGATATAGCATGTAACATGAGTGATATCCTTTAACAATTCCAATGTATAGCTCATGATGTGATTTTTTTTTTTTTTTTTTTTTGGCAGTTTCGTATATATATATTTATTGATACAACTTAATTTTGAGAAGTCTGGATATATATATATATATATATATATATATATATATATATATATATATATATATATATATATATATATATATATATATATAAAATCTTGTCATATAATGATGCAGACGTGTTCAGCTGCCCAGGCACTTGTTTTTGGTAATTTTTTAACCCATAGTATAATAATAACACAAGGTATGCATCTCCAAATGAATTTCAGAGAAATTAAATGTATCATTGGCAAACTGTTTATTACCATTGCCTTCTACGATAATTTATCTACACAACCATATATGGCAATTTTATTATTACCAAATTTATTACCAAAACAAGTGCCTGTCCCCCCCCCCCCCCCCCAAATGCAATTAACAACTGGCAATTAAAGATTTACTCAGCATACCTTTTCAATATCAAAGTTATGCATGTTATTCATGATGCTATTCATTGATTGAAAAAGAATAAGTATATCACAGCATAATTTTAAAGAAAACTAGGGTATTTTCCATGCAGGATACATACCAATTGTATATAATTTATAACTATTGTAAGAAGTATATATATCAAAGGACAGCAGTAACGCCTCTATTTTATCCATTTGTCATGATTACCATGTAACGGTACATCAGTAATTTAAATATTCCAAACTCTTTTTTTTGTTGTTGTCAGAATTTAATAGTTTATTCCAAATCTATAAATGAGCCCTCAACAATGAGGTCAGTGGGTTGCAGATAGAAAATTTTCCTTGCTTTTTTTTCCCATTATGCTTGGTTTGTCCTATTTATTTTAATCAAGAAACTTGTATATTAATTATTGATTTTGTTACAAAACTCTAAAATTTATTACATCCCTAGAATTTTAATTCTGCTAATGATTACTGTGCAATTTCTTACTATTTTTTTATATCCATGTATTTTAATCAATTTTTAATGCTTGTGTGGTTCTTATATCTAGCATGAGTTGAAAATTATTAAATGAACCATGACTTAATAACTGTATTTCAATGTTATTTTGTAGAATGTAAATTATCACAATGAAGCGTAAATTGGAGGGAGAAGATTCTTCCTCTCCACAAACTTCTGACACAGAAAACAGTTGTAGTTCTATAGTAACCAACAGCAGCTCAGATGTACCACTGGACAGAATCCAAGGTTTGTACTTCTTCTGTAGTTCTCAGATATATACATAAGTGGTGGCTAGTCCTCTCTTCTATCCTTATACCCCCTGCAAATAAAGTTTTGGAGTATATCATCTCGTGTATAGAAATCTGTTTGTCTGTGCAAATGTGTCCTGTTCAAATTTTGTCATGAAGAACCAATGGAAGCTGAAACTTGCCACAAAGATTGCTTATGATCTGAGAATGTGTCATGGTCTTCAATCAAGGTTATTTGGGCAAGTTCAAAGTCACTTGCCCAAAAAGTGTAGAATTTGTAGTCCAGTCCATAACTTTCTAATGGAAAAACATTGAATATAATACTTCACACAAAAATTACTTATCTTCTGACTCTGAGGATGTGTCAGGACCTAGACTCAAGATCATTTGGACAAATTCAAGGTTACTGGCAGAAAAAAAAAGTTATTAATTGTGTCAAGTCCATGTAACTCTTTAATGAAGAAATACCTGGTGGTTGATATTTGACACAAAGTTTGCTTATTACCTAAGGAACAGTGTGGCTTTGTCTTGATCTTGACCCAGGGTAATTAGGGTAAGTCTAATGTTGCTGGCAAAAAATGTATAAAATTCATGTCAGGTCCATAACTTTCTAATGGAGAAGAATTGGAAGTTTTTACTTCACAAAGAGTTTACTTATGACTAGAGAGTGTGGCATGACCTTTGACCAAGGTCATTTTTTGACAAGTTCAAGGTCACTTACTTGTTCTCCCCATGCCCAAGAGAAAGCATGAGGCCATTCAACAAATGATGCCGCTTAATGATGGTCACTGGCAACAACCTGTGCTCTCCTGTAACTGTTCCACCTCATTATTCTCTCTCTCACACACAGAAAGAAATGTATAATTTATGTCCTAGCTATTACTTGTTATAGAAGATCACTGGAAGCTCATTCTTGGCACAAAGATTTTCTGTGAGCTTAGGCTATAATATGTTAGGACTTGGATCAAGGACTATTTCGGTCAGTTCAAGGTCACTGGCAAAGAAAATTGTATAATCAAATCCATCCATAACTTGAAAATGATTAAAATTCTGTATATTTCACTAGACTGATTCCTGTAGTATTTCAAAGCCACATATCTATAGCATGTTCAGTCTGCTTATAGGAGCACTGCATGATATACATCATATTTTAGCACATGTTACTGCAGAGTGCAGAGATTGTGACAATTTACAAGAAATGAAGTCTTATGCAAGGTATATTTCTTCTTGTAAAAAAGTGAGTATATAAAAGTGTTGCCTCATCTTTAAGCATTCTTTTTTGTTGCAGATTTTCCCTCGAAGAGGAAGAAAGCAAAGAAGTCTGTCAAGTTCCAGGGAGTCACTGTGTTTTACTTCCCTAGAATTCAGGGCTTCACCTGCATCCCCAGTGAAGGGGGATCAACTCTTGGTAATTTGTGATTAAATAAAAGAAAATTTTGTACTGTAATGTTTTGTTTCATATGTGCAGTGCCTTGAGTAAGAGGTGATTAATCATTTTGTGAATTAATTAATTAAAAGTCACTTAAAGATACTGTAGATCACCAATTTTTTGAGACACCTTATTTTTGTGAGATAATTTGGTATTTTTAAGTGGCAAAAATGTACCACAACATTCTTAAGAGTTATCTCTCTTTGTCGGCATTCTCACTATATCCTTTGTAACTTACCTGTAAATATTTTAAACCTTCAAACATTTTCTGATTAGTTTCAACCGTTCCTGTATTGCCATGGTATGGGGCAACACAGACAACATAATGAACATATATATACAGATTTAATTTGTAAGACTCTGTCCCATAAATTTGGTAATATTATAGAGGGAAAACAGTGGGTTATGCTGATTGACCCCAGATTGACCCCACAAAGGGAAATAACTTTTGTAAATGTGAAAGTCGTCTATTTGGGTTATTGTTGCATGTAATATTTAAAAGTACAAATGTGCTCAGTACGCTCAAGTATGAAAATTTGGTGAGCAGATGGTTTGAGTAATGTTGTGTAAAAAAGTTCTCGCAAAGAAAAAGTAATAAATTTACAGAATAAGAAAGATCCCAAAACCCCCAGGCAAGAATTTTTATGCCCCCATATCGAAAGATCCCGGGGGTATATTGTTTTTGTCCTATCAGTCTGTTTGTCTGTCTGTCTGTCTGTTGTCAACTTTAACCTTGCCCATAATTTTTGATTGGTTGGAGCTATGACTTTCATATTTCACATGTGTATTCCTTGTGACAAGACCTTTCTTTGGGTACCATCATATTTGACCTTGACCATGGAGTGTGACCCTCTTTTGCAAAATTTTATGAGACTTTAACCTTGGCCATAACTTCTTTTGTGTTTGTGCTTGGGGTTTCAAACTTCACATGTGTAATCCTTGTGACAAGTCCTTCCTTTGGATACTAAAAACTTTTACCTTTTGACCTTGACCTTGGAGTTTGACCTACTTTTGAAAAACTTTAACCTTGGCCATAACTTTTGAATAATTGATGCTAGGGCTTTCTTACTTCACACATATGTAGTCCTTGTTTCAAGACCTTCCTTTGGATACCAACCACTTTGACCCTTTGACTTTGACATAGGAGTTTGACCTTGACCTTTGACCTTTAACCTTGGCCATAACTTTTGAATGGTTGGTGCTAGGGCTTTCATACTTCACATATGTAATCCTTGTGACAAGACCTTCTTTTGGATACCAACCACCTTGACATAGGAGTTTGACCTACTTTTGAAAAACTTTAACCTTGGCCATAACTTTTGAATGGTTTGTGCTAGGGCTTTCATACTTCACATATGTAATCCTTGTGACAAGACCTTCCTTTGGATACCAAAAACTTTGACCTTGACGTTTTACTTACTTTAAAAAACTTTAACCATGGCCATAACTTTTGAACAGTTGCAGCTAGGGCTTTCAAATTTCACAGGTATATTCCTCGAGACAAGACCTTTCTTTGGGTACCAACATTTTTTTATCTTTTGGCTTGGATTTTGACTTGCATTTGAGAAACTTTAACCTTCGCCATAAGCTGCCATACGGGGGCATCAGTGTTTCACAAACACATCTTGTTTTTTTTTAAATGTTCAAAATCTGTTTTATTTTTTCAGGGATGTCAGACAAACATCTTTATAAAAAGGACTTTTCTTTACAAGAACACTACTCTGAACAAAAGAGAATTCACAAGTTATACTTGGAGGACCAGAAGCGTCAGGGAAAGATAGTTCCCGACTTTCTGATGGAAGACGGGAGTAGTGAGGAAGAAGACTCCGACTATGAAGAATCTGATGACTATTATTTTCTCCAACCGCTGTCTATAAAGCAGCGCCGCGTTACGCTGAGGCAGTCAGGCGTTAAAAAAATTGACAGTACAGAGAAAGATTTCTGTAAGAAAGTGAGAATTTCTCGTGAATTTTGTGGTTGTGATTGCAATATTTTTTGTGATCCAGAGAGTTGTGCATGCAGTCTGGCTGGCATTAACTGTCAGGTAGACAGACAGTCATTTCCATGTGGATGTTCGAAGGAAGGCTGTGGAAATCCCGTAGGTCGTATAGAATTTAATCCACTAAGAGTAAAGACACATTTCATTCATACTAAAATGAGACTGGAACTTGAAAGGCAGGACACTGATATTCCAGTCACAGGAAAAGTGGAGAGTTCGAAAGAGGATGAAGAAAATCTTTCAGAGTCCGACATATCTAGTGAAAACAACTCTCAAAAGGTAATTGACTTGAGCGAGTTTAATAGCAATGAGCTCGGAAGTTGCCGTGATTGTCAGAATTGGGAAGTGTGCAATGTCATGATGCAGGAAGTGGAAAATGCAGAAGCAGAGCAACAGAGAGCTGTAATGAATATCTACAGCAATGCTTCGCAGCAGATGACGGAAATCTCCAACACTCTACCAACGAGTGTCTTAATGTTTAATGACAATGAAAATGATCTTTATCGTTCTGAGAATGGTCCACCATATTATCCATATAAACGAGATGGAAGCTACTCAGGAACTGAAGCCTGTTCCAATGAAAATACACCAAGCTATGATGAGAGAACAGAGTTTCCCAAAACTTATCAGACTCTATCATCATATGGGAATTCTGTTGGCTGCGGTAGTACTGGATATTGTGACAATGATGACAAGACCAAATCGTCGTATCAGCAGAATGGCCATTATTACCCAAAGTTCATCAATGCTGTGAATCCCACCAGCCTCGAATACAAAGTTGATTCATCTTACTCTGACATACAACATTTTGATTGGGAGCAACATAAATTGATGCAAATTCAGGTGCAACAGAATTCTTTAAACCAAAATGCTTGCAGTTACACAACCATGACAAACACCACTAGTGACAAAATTGCCGAGGCTTGTCCTGGCATCTCCTCGCATATCAGTAGCAACAACAATCTGGATCATTGTGCAACACCTGTTGATGAATATTCAGAGAGTTACAATTGTGAGACCAATATTGTCACTGGCAAGACGTATTTGAACCTTGACGGCAACATGACCCCCCAGGAACCGAAAATGGATACCATTGCAACTAGAACGCAGTCTCATTCGGGACTAATGGAAATCAATTGTCAGACAGGAGGAAGCTCCAATTTTGGTGAAATTATCAAGGAGTCCCTGGTGGAAACAGTGTCAGCATAAAGATTATATTTTCATCAAGAAATTTCTCCCCCAAATATTCTATGTGCTAATAAAATTTTAGTGTTTAATTTAAAAACCTACATTTGCCAGTTTAGTGCTTCTTGTGTATCATGTATTAGTAGTAGTATTATGAAACGTTGTTGGAAGTTTTTTTTGCAATGTGCAAAATTTGATTGATCTCTAGAAGTTGCTTTTATCATTTTCTTTTATCTACTTACATGAACACAGGCAAGCCATTTCATGCATACTCTTGTCATAAACATTTACGTCATATTTTGTATTCATATATATGTGTATATATAAACATGATAAATATATATATTGGTGTTTGTACAGTGTTTTAATGTATGACAAAAAAGAGTGGCAAGTTTCTAAGTCATGATCTGATATGCATTTACTTTTTATTTTTAAATAGATTTTACATATACTGTACTTTGTAGGTTGAAAATACAATCTGCAGTAAAATGGTTGTATTTTAGTGTGTTTTGATGAGATGAAGATACATATATTGAACAAATATTTCTGTATCCTTTATTTAAGTTTTTAAGAGTTAATTTTATGCATTTTTAGTAGTGTTACATGTAACAAATAGTGCACTTTAGTGGATTTTTATTTTATTGATATACAAAGACTGTATGAATTTTTAATGAACAATCTCCTTTTGCTTTAATAATTATGCTTTACTGTGTCTGAGTTAAAAGAAAAGATCGTGATATATTACAAATTAATGTGGTAATATTTTTAGCTCACCTGAGTTGAAAACTCAAGTAAGCTTTTCTTTTCACCCATTGTCCATCGTCCGTCATTATGTAAACTTCTCACATTTTCAACTTTTTCTCAAGAACCACTGTGCCAATTTTAACCAAAGTTGGTACAAAGCATCCCTAGATGAAGGGGAGTTTAAATTGTGAAAATGAAGGGCCAAGCCCCCTCTCAAGGGAAGATTATCAAGAAAAAAACAAAAATTTGGTGGGGTCATTCAAAAATCTTCTTCTCAGGAACCACAGGGCCAGAAAAGCTGAAACTTATGTGGAAGTTTCTTGAGTTATTGTAGTTTATAAATTGTTCAAATCATGCCCCCAGGGATTGGGTGGGGCCACAATAGGAAAACAGTTTTACATTGAAATATATAGGAAAAATCTTTAAAAATTTTCTACCCAATAACCACTGGACCAGAAAAGCTGAATTTTTTATGGAAGCTTCCTGAGGTAGTGTAGATTCTAAATTGTTCAAATTATGACCCCTGGAGGTAGGGTGGGGCCACAATAAATATTACAAGAGGGAAAATCTGGTGAAGAACAGCAGGGCCAAAGTTACTCAGGTGAGCGTTGTGGCCCATGGGCCTCTTGTTTTTCTCTTGCCTTGTATTTTTATTTTTTTTTCTTTGAAGCATTTAGTGAAGTCTCACACTTTCATTAAAGGTACTATCTTGACACACAGTTTTGAAAATGTCAGGTGCATGAAAGTTCTGTGAAAAAAGTTCTCCATTATATACCTGGTATATAGTTGCTATCAAGCAATGTGTTTAATTAATCAGTGGAATCTTTCAGCCTGGAACTTTTCTGCTACAGATACAAACAGTGTATTTCACAATTTAAAATTACAACCAAATGAAAAATTACAACTAAATGCAGACTGTTTTCCCAATTAAACTTTGGTCAGTTTTCTTTAAAAAATCCCGAAATTTTCTCCATTAAAGGTTAATTCAAATACTGGTAGTCGTTTTTTCCTAATTGAAAAAAACAAAAGTAGCTTTGAAAATCTTGTGTTAAAAGTCCTTGATGTATGTATGCCTAAATTAGTAATGAACAATGAAATGATTATGGAAGAGATGTGCAATTGAGATGATTTGAACAATTAAACTGTTATATATTTCATGCATTTATTTTCGGAGGTCATATACAGATCCTACGCAGTCGGTTCATGTATTTTTCTGAATTGAAATGTTCCGATATGATAATGTCCAATCATATACTTTTAGAAATTCATTTTTCTCATCACAAATTTTCTTATTTCATTTTTTAATAGGTTTATCCAGGAGTGCCATATCACATTGTTATTTAACTCACTGTTTGCTGGGGCTTTAAAAAAAGTTTTGAAAGTATTATCTACTGCAAAAAATATTAGAAAGTAAAAACTACAGTTTCAGTAATATTTTTCGTACATTAATCTGGTGCCAAAGATGCGGCAGCAGCAGTGATGTTGCTGTGTTGCTTCTACTTCATGTCACTGAAGCCACAAGAACAAAGTTGACTATTTTAATAAGATTGAGATTTTTCCCCATTTTGATTTTTTTCTCTTAGTTGGAGAACAATTTGTATCCTACACAATTCATTTTTTTTCTATAAGAGTATTGTTTTAAGTATGTACTTTTGGTATTTTCTTATTTAACTGAGGAAAAGTTATAATAATGTTTCGATGCAGAGGTTGGCCGAATAAATTAAATAACGTTTTGATGCAAAGATCTGAGTCATAAAAAATTGTAATTTTTTATAAATTATTTTCTGACTTTGCTGTGTGCTTGGATCTGCTGTATGTTTCTGCTGGAAGTAGTTTGAATATTCTATAGCCATTAATCATAAGTAATGTCCCTTGAGTAAAACATTTTCATTTTTCAAATTGTCATTAGAGGTTGAAGTACATACAACTTATCAGAAAATATGTATTTTGTTTATATAAGTAGTGGTTATTCTTATCAAATTTGTGAAACTGCTTCATACCGTATTTGTATATTTTTTTTTTTAACAAAAATTGGGCAATGCAATATTGTTTATGTATTTCTCTATAAATACAGAACTTTCATTTGTTACTTTCTCAATCTAAGCATTAGAGAAATGTTGACTTCTTGGTGCTCAGTTGAATTTAGTGTCTCTCTAACTAAATGGTCATTGTGGCAGATGCCATTATGATAAATACCAAATATCTTCATTTCTTGATAGTTTTTTAAGCATGTTTAGTAGATTAATATTTCATATGTATTGTAATGTGATGCCTCTTTATACAAATTATTTGCATTGTAATGTGTAAGTGTTATATGTACAAAAAGTGCATGTGCAATAAAGGTCTAAAAAAGCAGCTGTGTACTCTTTTAATTTCGAACAGTTATCTTGTTCACAGTTTTGCCCATGACAATTTATAAATCAACAGTCTATTAAATACTGAGTATATGATGATAGGAATTAGCAATGGATTGAGATTTCTTCCCTTACTTGGGCTGAAATTTTATAATACCTGAATTTTCAAAGTTTCGTAAGAGAACACATATTTGGGATTTTTTCCCAGTATACTATAGTCAATAACATGGAGTCTTGTTCCCATAGCCCACTTTTTAGTGCATCTTGAGTAAGCCCTTGAAATTTGAAGTAATTCCATATATGCACTCTGAAGTACTTAAATAAAAAGGACATGCAAACATGCACAATAATGAGAAATTCACTATTTTTAACTGGTATATACAGAAGTTGGTTTTAGAAGAGTGCTCAACTGAGCCATAAGTCATTGGTTAGATAGACCTGACAGAGTGCCAAAATATATTTTATAAAGTGGGACAGTAAGGATAGATAAAGCTCAGTAGAGCAACTGTATAGAATTGATTCACATGGCAGGGCTTGATTCCTGGTCGAGTTCTTCACATTTTCTCCCTTTCTGCAGTTTGGCCCAGGCCCTGCCCTAAAAGTGACATTTAAATAATGTAGAAGGAAGGAAACTACATGCACCTAACATGCACAACAAAGCAGAACTTGCAAGTCTATTGCACTGTAATGGTTTGGATTGAGCATATCGGCAAGGGTATAAAGCTCAGTGGTTAGCTATAGAACACCTGACTACTGATGCAGGGGTCCCAGGTTTGATTCCCAGTCCAGTCTTACATTTTCTCCTTTCCTGTTACATACAGGCCTATAATTTGGTGCCGTTGCCCACCTCAAGACCAGTAAATTGCAGGTGAAAGTCCTGCCTTGGGCTAAAGAATAAGGACTGTGTGTCTTCTAGGGTGAAGACAAATTTAGGAATATAGTGGTTTGGGTTGGGGATATTGACCTCGGTGGTTCAGTGGTTAGAGCACCTAACAGTCCAGTCATACATTTTCTCTTTTCCTGTTACATACACAGCACAATTTCAACTGAAGAATTTAAAGGAAATTTTGCTGTCTTGAGAGAAAGGATGCATAAGTTAAAACAAAAGGAACCTTTTAGTAGTGTTTCAGACAAAAACATCTATACCCTTATATCATATGGTTCAGAAGTTCCGGACCTAAAAAAATGTTGCATAAAATGACTAGAATGGGGATTGGTTTCGATATAAAATGACCCTTTGTTAAACTTTATTTTAGTACATTTTCAGTCTGAAATTAATTAAATAAATAACATTTTTATAAACCTTTGCATGTTTAATACATTTTAAAGGTGAATACGAAAGTGCGATGTAATCAGAAAGTCTACGAACTTCCGCTTGCGACTGCCCACTGAAAAATATTTGGAAAGACTATGGGGACCTAAATCAGTAAATGCTTTTGTTGTTAACTCAAATTCTAGTTCAGATTTGCGGCATTGAATAAGTTTAACACGGATATGTTCTTGTGCAACTCGATGTAAGTTGTCCACTTCTTTAAAGAGCAAATGTATGGAACTCTTCCCTGACACATGCACTGAAATGATGGCCGCTTTTATCCTTGGATATATGTAAACAATGTCAAATTATGTGTATTTTGCTGCACATTTAATTTATGAATTAGCAAATTTTAGTAAATAACTCATTTTCATTATATTTAGGTTGAATTCAAAACAGTTTTTTTTTGTAAATTTTAGTCAGATTTACCATTCCTTACCTTTTTGCTTGGATTCACATTAACAGGTTGGGACCAATCGCCCAGATGGGATATAATAGACCGCTTGGGATATAATATCCCAAATGGGATATAAAATTACAGTGCAAAAAATGAAAAATTTTATTTTGGCTGTAAATATCATAAATCTGCGTCAAGATACTTATAAAGGAATAACTTTTGGTTAACAAGTTTGTCTGTATGCCCACTGTTCAGGAGATTGATCCCTCGGAAGTTCCTAAACTTCTTGGGGATCAATCTAACAAACTGTAGGGTTGCAGAAAAACTTGCTTGCTAAAAGTTATTCCGTTTTAAGTATTTTGATGCAGATTTATGATATTTATAGCCAAAATAAAAATTTTCATTTTTTGCACTGTAAATTTATATCCCATTTGGGATATTATATCCCATATGGGTTATTATATCCCATTTGGGCGATTGGTCCCAACCTGATTAATAGATAGTTTTCAGTAGGCCCAAATTAGCAAGAGTTATTTCCCGTTGGCCGCCATGTTGGAGGTCAACATGATCATATTCCTTCATTATTCAACCAACTTTAACTTTTTATACTGGCCATTGTAGGGTAAGAAGCATTGTTTTTCTGAAAAATATACATTTGTTAAAACCTCCTTTATTTCATAATTTTTATTCTATAAAGATTTTTCCCCAAATATATCTGCTACACCCTCTTAGATTTGGTAAGACAAAGAGGAAAAATTATCAGGTTGACCACCAAGATGGCGGCCAAGGGAAATAACTCGGAGAAAAAATCTGTCATATGAAAACTATCTATACCTTAAGAAATGAATGCTTTGTGCAGTTAATGTTCTTTATGCAAAAAGTTATGAGGTGACCATACACAAAGAATATTAATTATGATGTCTTTTAATTTTATTTTTCTGTAAGGATCAATTTTCAGAGCTTTGTAAGTTGTCACTCGGTAATTAACAAAAAAGTATAAATGAAAATACTGACATGTACAGTTGAAGTCCCATATGTTGTAATTTTTATTTTCTGTAAAATGCACTGCATAATTTATGAAATTTGGTCTCTCTCAGTTCAAACTGTTTATCATGATGACGTTTACTCAGACTTATACCTTTCTAATACAGGTATCAGACTTTACTTAGTTAAGAAGAGCAATGTCGCTGTTCAAAGCTCGAGACTGGTGGTCCACCACTGTCGGAGAAGAAGAGGAGTTTGATCTGGGATGTCTATGTGTAGCCAATATTGACAATGCTAGTGATGAGCTAGGTAATCATGCACATTTTCTTTTACATGCTAAATCAATTTGTTGTCATATGAGTGCTTTAATTGAATGCGTAATATTAACATTGAGGTCATTAAAATAGAGTAAAACATGCTTAATATGTTGACGGTGCGACTGTTAGGGCGAGCTCAGATACCTATATTCAGTTTTATTTAGATTGGGCTCTTCAAATCGCACGTGACATTTAGTACGTCTAGACTCTGACGTCATATGACGTCGCTTGTAAGTTGCATTACCAAAACGAAGTCTGAACAGTGCTAATTTTAATAAAGAAGGTTTAATCTACTGTTTATCTGCTATACATCCATCAAATCAAGGTGAGTTTATTTTTTTCTTGGAACTTCTTGTTACCGCGAAAACGTTGTTTGTGGCGAGATGCAATTCGCAAAGCATTATGGGACCAGGTAACTGCGGAAAAAATTCGTTTGGATCAATGTGCAAAGTCCGAATTTTCTCTTTGCCCAGGCGTTGCTTTAAGAGCTCGCCGCTTGCTGCGCTCGCTATACAGAAGTGCAAGGGATGGACAGTTTTGCTTTATTATGAACGTAATTTGTTATAGTGTGAGTTCACCATGCACTGGACACATACCTTGCTTTCACCAATTTTAAGCGATAAACTTGCATCAAACCTGAATGTCTCTGTGTTTTAATTGACTTGTTTCTGTCTTACAATGTAAAGCCCAAGATTTAAACCTTTTAATATGCTAGTGATGCCAATTTTTATTATCATTTGGTGATAAAAATACAGGAGAATGGCCTTGAAGTCACATCATATTTGATATCATCAAAGGGGAGCATCCAGAATTTTATAATTTTGCAAATTTTTAGAGTTCTCATTCTTTCATAAGACTTCAAGTGAACAAGTATGTCTTGGGTGAATGTTGTCAATGATTGAGAATTTTACAGAAAATTTAATTCAAGAAATTTTATTTCAAAGTTTGTATTAATTTCCTTAGTCAAGAGTTGTTATTTCTAATTATAAAAGTATGTTCAATTTACCATGCATTAGACACAAAGTAACCATGCATCAGACATTTTCCAGTGCATGGGTAATCACTTCCCATTTCATGTCATACCAAACTGACAGCTGTTTTGTTTTTTTTTTTGTTTTTTTTTTTAGAAAAAAAATATATATTCATTCTAGAAGATGATAACCCCCAAGACCATGGCACAAGTTGCCATATTATGAGGGATTGCAAGGCCTGATGTGATCCACTAAAATCTCTCCACTTTTTTTTTTATCTATATAGTCAATCAAATTAAATTAGTTAATTTTTAAATGAAGCATAAAAGATATTTTCATGTCACTAATGCTTAATTTATAAGCATTTCAGGTGTTTTAAAGGTAACCGCAATAAAGATAGGATGTTTTTCAGTTCAGTATTATACCGTTTGTCTTATGCATGCATATGGTGAATATAATTGTCCATTCATGGTGAATTCTGGCTTATCCCCCAAAAATTGTTTTTAATAATATTTTCTCAATACATGTAGCATAAAATTGTATCACAAATTGATATTTTAATCACATAATACATGTTAAGCTCCATTTTGATAGTATTTGGTCTTTGGCAATTTTGCAAGAACTTGTTCAAATACAAGGGTGTCCAATGCATGGTGAACTCACCCTGTCTGTTAACATGGTTAAGTTTACAATTTATTTTAGAACCATGGGGAAGGAAAAAAATCACTATGCTGTAAGCCAGTGTTTGAAACTCACCGTAAAATTAGCTAGACATGCAGGGATGACTGCTATTCGAAGTTGTCAGTCCTGCCAAAAATTTACTAGCCTGAGAAAAGAATTGTCTTTTATAACTTTGTTTTTAGCGATAACGTGAATTGGGCCAGATCACCATAATTTTGATCCCAATTCTATAGGATGATGAATTCTACCTCATTTGCTTCTTACTCTTTACTACCAATACTATTGGTTGGTTTGAGAGAGATTTAACAAATGTATGAATTTTAATTTATGGGAAATTTTAACATGTCTAGCAGGGCGTTCATACATGCAGATCAGTTCGCCCGTGGCAATATTTGTGCATCTAAGGTGGTCGGGCACACGGTTATTTCAAACACTGCTGTAAGCATCCATTCATTAGAAGCGTTTTCTCTGTAAGCGTGTTTTACAATATAAATATATAATTATTTTCAGAGTAATATTACTACAAACAGTTAAATTTTGCCCCTTTAATGTTATTTTCATGCAACCTGTTACGTCTTATAAAAACTTTTGCTCCATTTGAGCTGTACTTTACAGTGTAAATGCCATTGTTTGAATCAACTCAGTCTGAAATTCATCGAATAAGAAGTGGCCATTAAATGTGAATGAAATGTTTCAAGAAACATTTATATCTTATTCATTAATATAGAATATTATGATGATTTTTTTTTTTTTTTTTTTTTTTTAAATTTTCTTAGACAAAATTATTATTGGAAGCTACCATGGCATATTAAGAATCTTCAATCCAAAGCCCACAAAGGCAGATGATGGAGTTTGGTCTGGTTATAAACCAGAGGATGTTTTGTTGGAGGCGTCTCTACCAGAACCCATACTCCAGCTGGAGGCAGGAAAATTTGTATCGTAAGTACATTGTTTACCAGTTCATCATCATTAAAGAATTTTTTTTTTTGCATCATGTACATGCATCAGTTTTGTGGAACACAACCTAAGATTTCTTTACAAGTGTCAAATACGTAATTATATGAGAATGTGAAGAAAAAGCTGAATCTGTTTTGCAAACCAAATGCTTGAGAACAGACATCATTTGCAGTGTAAAAATCATTTAAATGATGCTTTTGTGACACATGATTTGCAAAAATTCCAGAGGGACAGAGAATTTACATTTAGCAGTCCTGCATCCAAGAAAATTAGCAGTTTATAAAGTTGCAGGTAATATATAACTTTTGTTAAGTATCAGCTGACCTTGCAATAACCAGCTTTTTTTTGAAAATAACAGATATGAGTTTTCAATGAAATAATGACCTTGACATATATTTCAGTGACATCCGGTGCTGTGGAACACGGCAGACACTTTCAGTTGAACCTTGCATTTGAGCATAATCTTAAAAGAACAACATTCAACTTTTGTTATGGTCCATTTGGTGGTGTAAAAGGTAGTTTTCTTATTCATAAGTTAAAATTTCTGTTCTAGAATCTGTAATCAAAAGAAAGTCACAAAGAATTAATTTTTACTGTTCCACTTTTTAAAATCAGATCTGCAGTTAGCTTTGACGTATGATTTCTCTGTAACAGGAAGAGACTTTATCTGTGTGCAGTCAATGGATGGAACAGTCTCTATTTTTGAGCAGGAGAGTTTCTCCTTTAGTCGGTTTTTACCAGGTGCTCTTTTACCAGGCCCAATAAAATACATGCCAAAGTCAGATAGCTTTGTAACTGTCTCCTCCACATGGCAGCTAGAGTGCTACAAGTAAGTCTCAACATTGGACATATATTTCTTCTAAGCTATAGTGGTTGATAAGATATTCAGTTTGATTTATAGTAGCAACTAACTTTTTTGAAGTTGTATTAAAACATAGAGTTTATACAGTAGTGGTGGATAAGATGTGTAATTTGATTAGTAGAGTGTAACTCTTTTGAAATTGTATCAATGCACAAAACATATACCGTGTTCAGTGCATTATGAAAGTTACCCAACTTTGCAGGTACCAAGTACTAGCTGTAGCTACTGATGCCAAAACAAAGGAAGAATCTCAGAACATTAAATCTGGAAAAAGGGTCACAGTAAGACTGCTTTTGTTTCATGAATCTAAGTCTCATTAATGGGAAAAATACATTTAGTTGCTTCTGATTTTTAGATCTCTGACAATTTTAATACTGCAGATTAAAGTTATATTAGAAGCTGATTCATATTTTATTTAACAGTGGGATTGGTTCTACAATCTTGGAGAGCAGGCCTTAGATTTGGTGGTTGTAAACTATGAAAATTGTCCTCCCTCCATTATGGTCTTAGGTAAATGAAATGCTTTTTAAGTAACATACATGCAGCTAGTATCAGATAAATCTCTGATAAAAATCCTATCCAGAAGACATTTGTTATAATTAATACATGGCATGAGCTATTAGTACATCTAAGAAATTATGCAATCCATTTATTTTGTTGATGCCTTACTGTTTAGTTACATGTACATCAGTATTCAATTTACAGTTTACTAATCTTCATTGTCTGTTAACATTCACGATATATTTGAATTTTCACAGGAGAAAGAAATATATTTTGCTTAACGGAAATGGGAAAGTTAAGGTGGATGAAGAAATTAGAGTATGAACCTAGCTGCTTTTTGCCATATTGTTCAGGTACAGATCAAGCTCCTTTTTTTCCTATTCAAAGGATAATCAGACAGAAGTGTTTTGTTTATGAAGCTGATTTCTTGTGAACCTTGTTTAATTTATTTGAGATCTACAACTTACACCTGAATTTCTGTACGTAGTTGTAGAAAATACTGTGAACTGTTTGGTGGCCACTCACACCACAAATTCTCTCATGGTTTACCAAGACTTTACGCTGAAGTGGGCAGCCAAATTAGATTTTACACCAGTCCAAGTTAGACTGGGCACATTTCAGTAAGTAGATTGCAGTTCATTTTATTCATTTTGAAGCAATGTTTTGATGAATCTTATCCAGCATACACTGTACAATTTTTTTTTTAAATAGCTGGTATAAATAAACTTTAGTTTTGTAATGAGTAAGTTTTATCAGTAATTCTCACAAATACAAAGCAAAATACCAGTAGGTTAAGGGCTTGGGTTAGGGGTCTTTTTTTATCAATGGAATAGTCACTTATCAAACATCTGTTATTTGAAATAAGAATTGATTTTAAGTGATACCACACAAAAATCACATCAAGATCACAAATTTCATTAATTTCCTGTATGTCATCGATATTTAATCAATTTTAAAGCTTGTAATGCATCAGAAAATGCAGGTGAACTATTTGACAAGTGTACATATTTTATGCACTTAGTATCAGGTAGGTATATCCATTTTATAAAATGTACATGTATATACCAGTTTGAAAATTAAAGATAGGCTGATTTTCACTCTAAAATTTGATGAAAATACATGTACGTTGTACATTAAATATGAAAAAATCTTTGTATCCATTATTTCTCTTTGATCTCCATTTATGCTACACATCAAATCAATATTGATGCTTGCATATTAGATTCTTAAGTGCAGACTATCAGAATATTAACATTAACTTTGTGATTGTAAGCTTTTTAAATAGGTATTTATTATGCCCCTGCCATAAAATGGCTGGGGCATATAGTGTTACCCTGTTCCCTCATTCCTTCATCATTCACTTTCCGTTCATTATCTCTGCAATGGTTGCACACATTAAACTGAAATTTAAGATATGGATACGTCTTAGGAATACGCAGATCAAGTTAGAGTTTGGTCTTGGTCCGATGATTTTTTGACAGAGTTATCCTTCTTGAACTTGGGAAAAAATAAGAAATTTTTAGTTTCTGCTCTCTAACTTTTGTAGGGATGTATGTATAAGGTTGAAATTGCATATGCAGGTATTTTACCAGGAAATACAGGTCAAGTTTGATTTTGGTCATGGTCCGATGATTATGACAGAGTTATTCCTCTTGAACTTCGGAAAAAATTAGAAATTTTCAGTTTCCGCTCTGTAACTTTTGTAGTGATGTATGTTTAAGGTTGAAATTGCATGTGCATTTATTTTACCAGAAAATAGAGGTCAAATTTGAATTTGGTCATGATCTGATGATTTTTTGAAAGAGTTATCCCATTTGAACTTAGAAAAGATAAGAATTTTCAGTTTCTGCTCTCTAACTTTTGTAGGGATGTATGTAAAAGGTTGAAATTGCATATGCAGGTATTTTACCAGAAAATACGGGTCAAGTTTGAATACAAATTTAAAACTAAATATTGCATTTGAAATTTTGGCTGCTTGCGGGGGCATTTGTGGCAATAACGACACATTTAGTGATAAATATAATGCTTATTGTTAACAATTACAGAGATCTGAAGGGTGTTATAGTGACTTTGTCTGACAAAGGTCGTCTGGAGTGTTCCTACCTTGGTACAGATCCAGCTCTTTTTATACCTCCTGTTCCAGAATCCAGGGAGTTAAATTATGCTGAAATGGATCGAGAAATGGCACAGCTTCAGAAGAGAATCAAGCAGTCCTCACATAAAGCAGGTAAAACCTAGTTAATAGATCAAAGAAATCACTCAAGTGACATATTGATGTCTTTGTTTGTCGTTGTGTGATGTGTGTTAATCATAGAATATTTCAAGCTTTTATAAAACTGCCAACCCAGTTAAGCCAAGTTTTGTGTTCTTACATGTAGCATATATTGCTAAAGAGGAACTTTTTGGTTGTCTATCCTAAAGGGCCCAAAAGGGTGGACCCAAACTTATAAATTTATTGCAGTCTTCATCTAGCAGACAAACTTAAGGGATTGTAATAATGAGCAAGGAGTCCTCAAATGACATTGTAAAATTTCTAATTTCTCATAGTTCAAGCCTCAGGATGGAGTTAAAATAGTCATGTATTGAGATTTTGTGTTGGTCAAAAGAAAAAATTTGAGTGCATTGTACTTTGGTATAGCGATCACTTAAGTCATAAACAGGTTCTCTTAAACACCTGACAGCCCCCCTTCTTTGACTGAACCTTATAGTTTATAGCAGAGAAAATTGACAAATACAAGTACAGGCACTGTGATAATTAGGTATCAATTATAGCCAATGAAGCTTTTTGTAGGAATTGAAAAAATTCAAGTGAACATTTGCACTGAAACAAAGAACAAATAAACTTGATTTTGAAAAGAATGACTCTCTGGAATCAGTGAATGAGTTAATGACTCCAGCTGTCATTGATTTTGTGATTTAGTTCTGATGCCCAATCTGAAGAAGCAGGAAGATGACTTGCAGCTGATAGCCCAAGTAAATCCTAACCTGGATGATGTTTCAGTAAGTACTTCATTTTTTTTCTTTTTTCATAATGAAAGCTCAGTGAATTTACAGTAAAACATTTAATTTATCTTAACATGCTGGTGACTTTGGTTGTGACAAGTTTATCTTTCATAGATGAATATCAGCAAATAATGTACCTTTCAAAAATTTTAGCAAACTTTATTTCTATGATTTATTTGCTTGACAAATGGAGATGATTTTTTTAGATGGCTACAGAGGTTGAATTTGATGACCCTGACCCTGTGCCATCCATCACTGTCCGAGTTCAGGTTAAGGCCAGGTTGACCATTGAACATATCAAAATGCATGTCCATGCCAGTTGGCCACTCAAAGCTAATGTCACCTCATTTGAGATTTCTTCTGTTGGTAAGATATCAATTAAATTGATAAATTTTAATGTAAGTAAATTATAAAATTACCACTAAATGTCAACAAGCTTGCATAGCTTAACATATCAAAATTTTTGTGATAATTTTTTAGCTCACCTGAGCTGAAGGCTCAAGTGAGCTTTTCTGATCACATTTTGTCTGTAGTCCGTCTGTCTGTCTGTCCGTCCGTCTGTCTGTAAACTTTTCACATTTTCGACTTCTTCTCAAGAACCACTGGGCCAATTTCAACCAAACTTGCCACAAAGTATCCTTGGGTGAAGGGGATTCAAGTTTGTTCAAATGAAAGGCCACGCCCTCTTTCAAGGGGAGATAAAAAAGAATTAGTGAAAAATTAATAGCATCTTTTAAAAATCTTCTTCTCAAGAACCACAAAGCCAGGGAAGATGAAACTCATGTGGAAGCTACCTCAGGTAGTGTAGATTCAAGTTTGTTCAAATCATGACCCCCGGGGGTAGGGCGGGGCCACAATAGAGGATCAAAGTTTTACATAGAAATATATAGGAAAAATCTTTAAAATCTTCTTCTCAATAACAGCAAAGCCATGATGAGTCATATTTATATGGAAGCATCCTCAGGTAGTGTAGATTCAAGTTTGCTCAAATCATGACCCCCGGGGGTAGGGCGGGACCACAATAGAGGATCAAAGTTTTACATAGAAATATATAGGAAAAATCTTTAAAAATCTTCTTCTCAATAACAGCAAAGCCATGATGAGTCATATTTATATGGAAGCATCCTCAGGTAGTGTAGATTCAAGTTTGTTCAAATCATGACCCCCGGGGGTAGGGCGGGACCACAATGGAGGATCAAAGTTTTACATAGAAATATATAGGAAAAATCTTTAAAAAATCTTCTTCTCAATAACAGCAAAGCCCTAATTGGTCATATTTATCTGGAAGCATCCTCAGGTAGTGTAGATTCAAGTTTGTTCAAATCATGACCCCCGGGGGTAGGGTGGGGCCACAATGGAGGATCAAAGTTTTACATAGAAATATATAGGTAAAATCTTTAAAAATCTTCTTCTCAGGAACAGCAAAGCCCTGATTGATCATATTTATGTGGAAGTATCCTCAGGTAGTGTAGATTCAAGTTTGTTCAAATCATGACCCCCTGGGGTAGGGGGGACCACAATGGAGGATAAAACTCTGAAATAGAAATATATAGGAAGATGTCTTCTGATGAAGAACTGCAAAGCCATGATTAGTCATTTTGATATGGAAGCATCCTCAGGTAGTGTAGATTCAAGTTTGTTAATATGATGACCCCAGGGGATAGGGATGGGTCATACTGGGGGATCAAAAATTTTACATAGGAACATATAGGAAAATATCTTCTTCTCAAGAACTGAAAAACATGTTTAGTCATTTTGATATGGAAGCATCCTCAGGTAGTGTAAATTCAATTTTGTTCAAATGATGACCCCCGAGGGTAGGGTGGGGCCCAATAGAGGGATCAAAAGTTTTACATAAGAACATAAAAAAAAAATGTCTTCTCAAGAACAGAAAAGCTATGTTTGGTCATATTGATATGGAAGCATCCTCAGGTTGTGTAGATTCAAGTTTGTTCAAATGATGACCCCTGGGATAGGGAGGAGCCACTATGGGGGATCAAACTTTTACAGAAATGTATGGGAATTTTTTTTAAAAATCTTCTCAAGTACAACAAAGCCATTTCTTATATTGACATGGAAGCATCATCAGGTAGTTTAAAATTCAACCCCCCCCCCCCCCCACCCCTAATCTTTTCAATACTGAACTGATTTGTGCTTTTGCCATGCCAATGTGCTCAGGTGAGCGATGTGGCCCATGGGCCTCTTGTTTTAGAATTTATGTTCATCATGATGTAAATATATATATTTATTTTTTGGCAAATACATATAAACTCTTAAGGTTTTTCTGTAAGGATTTTCTGCTTTATAATTTGGCTTTCTTTATGCAGATCCCAGTAATCCGTCTGAATTTTTTGTGGCATTCTTCATGGTTGGGAAGGCACTGCCTGCTGATATGTCTATTTCCGTGTCGGCTAATTACATGAGTGCATCAGGTCTGACTTCTCTTTTCTGTCTTTAACCCTTCAAAGATTGTAACTTACTCAATTTTAGTTCTATGTGCATGATATGTGTCATATTTTAGTTCTATGTGTGTGATATGTGTCATTTTTTGGTTGTCCATTTTTTTTTTAATCCAATCTTTTGTCATTGATAGGTGCTCCAAGAGTTGCCACAGCAAGGGCAAAACTCCCTATAAAGCTTGTGATAAAACCCATCCCACCAGTGAAGAATGCTGAGTATAAACTAACATTGGACAGTAACAAGCCACCAGCTAACTTAAATGAAGTCTTTCCAGGTCTGTGAATATAAATAATTTTGGATTTTGATTTCCATGTATTGTAAATTATAAACTTAAATTAATAAGTGAGAGTATCATGTTGGAATTTTCTTTGCTGGAATGTGGTACATATGTACAGTCAAACTTGTCATAGCGGTCACCTTTATCCAGCGGTCACCTGTCCTATGCGGTCATTTTATTTCCTCCCAATGAATTTTCCTATATAATGTAACTCTATTAAGCGGTCACCTGCGTAACGCGGTCAGCGGTCATCAAATTTCATGTAAAATCGCTGTTTTACCTTGTATATAGCGGCCATTTTGTCACCAGACCTAAAGTCAGGTGACTCCCAATTTTTGTCACTAATATAAATAATTGGTCTTGTGTAGCGAGATCATGGAAAAAATAATTGGCCTTATTAAAACCATTTAAAATATTGGATAATTTATTATTTTTTTTTAACAAAATAAAATAAGATCGCTAGTGACCGAAAAGGTTATCAGGAAAACGGACTTACGAGAATATTAATCTTATTGAATTGGAATCTGGTTTAAAAAATTCTGAGTGATACACAAGGTACCCTTATTTATCTATTAATTAATGGAAATAATAATTAGGTGTTTCCTAATTATGAGTTCACGTTTGGCATGCCCAACTCCGATAGGAGTAATTGCGTAAACGCATGACAGGCCGTTTTTAACACATATGAAACATATTATCTGTAGAAACCCTAATTAATTGTGTTTGTTTACACAATGTGTCCTGATTATCTCGTGATTTTCAACTAGATAAGACGACCGTTAGGATTAGTCACGCTTCATTGCTCACAACACCTGTGAATTTCATAAATCAATTTGTATTATGCACTGCTTTGATAAACTGTGAATATTATGACTTGTCTGTTTATTACGCTACTATTTATGTATTAATAAACATACAATTATCAGGACTAACTAAACTTGATTTTTTAGAGACAGTTTAGATAAAAAATACAATTTATTTTATTCATGGCACAACATGATAATGTAATTTTATAATAAAAGAAAGTTTTGTTGTTGTTTGGAGGGAGGAAAATGCAATGCCCTTATTAGACTCAATATATTTTTTGTTGGAGTCATCAAATTTATCTTGAACTTAATCTTGAGACTATTTAAATTTTAAAAAATTCTAACTGAGACAATTGATGTCCAAAACACATCTTTCTTTAATATTCTATGATGTAGTATTTTTAAAACACAGAACTTGCATAACTTGGAAAAGAATTTTTCTTGAAAAAAAGATGAACCTCTTTTCAAAGGTCACCTCTCTATAAAGGTCACTTTTAATGGTTCCTGCAGGTGACTGCTTAATACAGGTTTGACTGTACTTAATATTATAATAAAAATTAAGTGGTTTTAAATTGTAGATCTACTTGGTGAGAATGCAGGGGGACCAGGTGCTGCATTGGGATTTCAGTATTATGGAAATGGTCCTATTGTGTCTGTTCTGGCATCCAAGACTTCTCGTAAGTGTGTGGTTTCAAATGGGAAATCCATTCTGAAGTTTTATGCCCTTCAGTAGATGAGGATTGGGCAAATAGTGTTTGTCATATCTGTCTCCTGTCCTTTGCTTCCATCTGTCTGTGTGTCCCACTTCACGTTTAGCACAGTTTCAAAAGAATTATTCAAAATATTTTCATCACACTTTTTCGAGATAAGATATTCTGACCTTGACCTTCCATATGACTTTGAGCTAACTTTTCCCAATCGTGCATTTACATATAGTTCAATTTTAAAGATTTTCATAAAACATCATGCATTGAAACTTATTGAGAAAAAATTCAACTGTTTCAAAAAGATTTAGAGGGTGATCTTACTTTTGATTTTATAATGTCATTTTTCCTCATCGTGAGTTTAACTCGGTTTCTTTGAAACTATTCAAAAATATTTTCATTAAATTAAATTCTCTAACATACATTGATGAGAGCAGATCAACTGTGTCAAAACAGGGTTCGACACTAACGTTAGTCCATTAGTCTCAGACTAATACATTTTCATTTGGACTAATAAAATATGTGGCTAATTAGTCCGAATGGACCAATAAAAATTTCTGAAAAAAATATGAATAAATTACCGATGACCGATTCTCGACAACTTTTACTAGAAAACCCCGCGTGTATTTTTAGATTTCCAGCTTTTGGCGGGTAGTTACGCAATGCCGGGTCAGTTCAGCGCTTAATTTTTCGACTGATCGAAGTATAAGGTTTTGGTGATCATGATTTAGTGTGACACTTTTAAGTAAGATGTTGGACATTATGGATGTAATGTAAAGACAAAAAACTGAGATCAGGAATACGATTGTACTTGCTGATTGCAAGATTTCAATGAATCTGTGGAATAATATATTTCACGTAAATACTTTGTTTATTTCAAAAAATAATACGTATATTAATTGTCACGTTAAATTAATGTTAAAAAACATTGATGTTTCTTTTTTATGACGGACTAATAAAATCGCGTGCGGACTAGTAAAAGTAATGAAGCACTAGTCAGGCTGGACTAAAGTCTTAAAAAGTTAGTGTCGAACCCTGCAAAATAATTTGACCTTGAAATTCTGGTTGAGCTTGATCTGTCTTTCCCTAACCTTGCATTTAACTCTGTCTCAAGGAAATTGTACATTATATTTTCATCAACCTGTATACCCTGGCCCATTTTAGTAAGAGCTATTCAAACTCTGTCAGTATTTTCTTACCTTTCTTACCTTGACTGCACTGTTTCGTATTTCTATAATTTATATTCAAAAAATCTTTTCATAATTTCTTTTCATGAAACAACAAGCACTGATGCACATTAGTGAGAGCAATTCAGTATGACCTTGATGTTCCCTTTGACCTTACTCTTCCCATTTCATTTAGCTCAATTTCCTGGAACATTTTTTTTTTGGAAGGTGATCACCATGGTCTTTTAAAACAACAAATAATAATACATGAATTGATTAATTTGTCATTGTAGAGAGATACCGACTTCAGTGTGACAGATTTGAAGCCATGTGGTTAATGGTGAAGGAACTGGCAGGGAGACTGAATAGCCACTTCAATCGAAGTAAAAATGATAATTTTACACTGTATTTCACTGGACAGCTACCATTACAAGAGTACTTTGATTTGATTGATGCTCACTTTGAGGTAAGTTCTAGAGAATGAAGACATTTTTTTTATGTGGATTTTAAAATTTGGAAGATTGACTATTTTACAGATACGTTAAGATCACTGTATCATATGCTCAATACTATGCTCTAGAACATTTATCAACTAGTATTTAAAAAAGATAATTAGCATAAATTATTTTCAGTAAGTTTGTCAGGTGAGAACTATAAATAAAATTCACAAAATATCTCTACAGCATCGACTGAATGCAGAGCGATGTAAAGACATGCTAAACCAGCGAGCCTCACAGTTCCGTGCAATACAGAGACGACTGTTGACACGATTCAAAGACAAAACTCCTGCTCCGTTGTCTAATTTAGATACACTCTTAGAGGGCACATATAGACAGGTAAGTGGTTTAATCCATCAAGAGTTTGTTTGTAGGAGAAAATAATTTCTTGACCACAGTAACATTTTCACTAAAATGTTTAATAAAATTTCTTAGAAATGGTTAGACATGTGAGGTAATGTAATTTGTTTGAGATGGTTTCAGAGTGATGGTTTTTTTTTTTTTGTTCAGATCTTACATTTAGCTGAAACGATAGAAGAGAATAACCGGTCACAGGAAGTGGCAGCCCTGAATCTATCAAGTGGAACCTTTCTCTTTAATTACCTGGTCAAGTTGTGGACAACTATGTCAGATGAAGAATACAAAGTTCTACAGAACTGTATCTCACCTGTGGTCTCCAGCTCCACAGAACAGGTAAATACACTGTTATACAGTACATTTTATCATGAAACAAGGAGCAAAATACTATAGTGATTTGAGATGATGCTGAAGTGTCTTGCTGTCTGAATCAGACATTATAAGAACTGATGTATCACATACAAAATGTTCATTAGTTTGGAACTGTTCATTTGTGATTTACTAAAAGTTACTATGCTTCATGTTTACTATTGCCTCTGTGCATATACCTGTACTTATTATGAGGCCCAGATCTGAAGGTTCCTGCAAACAGTCCACACCTCACATTTTCTGTTGTTGTTTATCAGGGCTGGCAGGAGTCTGTGGATGCAGCAGTGACACACCTACTGAGGACCACCTTAGCCAAGTCCTCAAAGGACCAGACTCTCAACCCTCAACCTCTACAAATACCAGAGGACACAACCAAAGTCAAGAAACACATTGCCCTGATGTGTGATAAACTGGGCAAAGGAGCCAGACTACTAGAGGGACTACCTCAGAACTCTATGGGTAAGAAAAATTCAAAGGGGTCTATGAAGTAATGTACAGTGTAAATCTGGAAATTTACATGAAGTAGTTTAATCAAAGTGTTCAAGAAGAAATTTTTATTTGAAAATATCCTATATACTAGTGCCGTATAAACATGAATTTTACTTAGCATTAACATTGCATGTTGCTGGTACATGTATTGCAGAATTAACCTATTCACATATGGTTTTTGCTACTGATTCTAGAAAATCAACAACCTACTGAAGTATTGTTGTGTAGATTTATAGTAAATGTAGTGAAATGGATTAAAGACTGTCAATATCAAAAGATTTCTATTAAAAACCATGCCTACTTTCTTTTTTTAGTAAACATGAGTCCTTCACCAAGAAAGGAGAAGAAAGCCAAAGTTTCTGCTACAAGTAAAACTGTGATGGAGAATGGACATATAGACAATAGTGATGACACAGAGACTCTTATAGGAAGTCAGTTTGGACAACATAAGAGCAAACGTAACAAAGAGCCAGATTATGGATCAGATTTAAATGGACTTTCTGATTTATCAATGCTGGGATTACCAGCAGAAAATGTGACTTTAGAAAATGGTAAGAAATGTTGGGGAAAATTCAGCATAAATAGTGTCTGAAAAGCAGTAGAATAAATATGACCCTTTCCAGCATTTTGATGTGCTTGATGATGTGTCTCAGGTACTTGTAAAACTAGCATTTAAATTCAATGAAAGATCCAATACCTTATATTCTACAAAATACAATCATTGTGATAGATAAATACAGTTGAACTTCGGTATCTCGAACACTGATATCTCGAATACCATGGAAATGTCAAAGTGATTTGGAAGTCCCAATTGCTTATTCCTTGAGTATTTTACTCTGGATATCTCAAAGTATTTTCTCGGTCCCATTGGTTTCGAGATAACAAGGTTTGACTGTACTCTTGTATGATGGGGATGTCAAGTTGAATTTGGATGAAATCTAAAACATGGAGATGAATGTGCATGTTGGACTCTCATGTTCTAAGAGTTCTTTTTCCCTAAGAGGGGATCCATAAGGAAATTATCTCATATCATGAGGAAATAAAGAATGAATGAATGAGTTTATATTGTTTTGTTACAGAAATGTCAGAAAAGAGGAAGAAAAAGCACATAGAGGCGATGGTACCAGATTTAGATGATATGGAGGATGAACCAGTGATGCTGGAGAATTAAGTATGTATAGATAAATCATTGTACATTATTGTCAGTTTGAATGTCAGAGTTAACATGTGTAAACTGCAGATTTCCTTGTCAGCAGAACCATGCCTTTAATGCCATTTCTTTCATTAAGTTGTACAGTTTAATACAAGTACATGTACAATAATGAAGTAAAAGCATAGTTGATTTTAGACAATGTCACTCAAACTATGTTAATGACTATGAGATGTAGTGACTATGAAATGTTTATTAAATACGTGTACCTTATGCCCTTTTTTTTGCAGCACTCCTTGTTATACGTAAATTTGTGATACCCTGAACCATTGTGAAATCTCCAGTATTGATCTGAATGAAACATTCCGTCCATCAAGGAAGCAGCAGTCCTGTTTCTTTGGCTGTTATAAACTTTTCCACACCTGTGATATCTACATCCAGTCAGGTGAACTGTGTACTTAATTCTTTTACACCTGTGATATCTACGTCAGGTGATGTACTTACTTTTTCCACACCTTGATTTTGTGATAAGCTGAAGTGTTACAGACGAAAGGTGTACTCATACATCAGGTTGTGGTAAATAATTTTCATATGCTAGAGAGGGACATCTCTATCATTTATTTATAACTTATTGTCTACCTGTACCTGGGATTAGTAAATATATTCTTGCTGATCTCAAACTTGTAAAATTATCTTTATCTATTCTTTGTCCAGACATGTTATTTATTGATACATATTACTCGAATGTGTGCAAATTCATCTTTGTGATGTTTTGAAAATTCATAAACTACATGTGTAATGTATTTACTAAATTTACGAATCATTGAAATGTAGCAAATGCTGATTAGAGTTTTTTTGTTTTATGTTTTCCCCTTTATTTTTTTTTTGGTCTTCTTCCTTGTTTGAATAAATATATTAAGTGCTACATTTCTCTAAAGTTTACTTGCTTATTTCAATCATCTGAAATTTCATTTGTAATTTTATATTTGATTTGGACTTTTACTATTTCTTATATGTGTATTTACACCATTTTTAATCATAGAGCTGTCCTCATACCTAAGGATATAAATTAGCACCAGAACATTTTATATTTTGTTTCAGTCAGCTTTTTTAATATGTAATTTCTCATGAATCAAATTGAAAATGTATTTGTGTTTTACCAGTTTATGAAGTGGAGAGCAAACAAACTTTGTCACTGTTGTTTAGTTTGTGCACTGTCAGTGTGTAGTGTAAAATCTGTCCACCCTGTTTCTATAATTGTGATGATTTCTCTATTTTCAGTGCTCTTTTGTGTTCAGTTGACAATTTCAGTAACAAGATGTATATTAAGGTAACTGAAACAAATTACCTTTCAGGTTACATGTACTTTCTTTTGTGATTTTATCGTAAACTCAACAGTTTTTATCACAAAATAACTGTCCCAAGAAGTCATGATTTACGGGTACATATATGTACCCCTTCATAATGAAAAATTGGTCTATAAAAGACAGTTTATAAACAGTATTGCTAGTTGGGGAGAGGGGGGGTCTAATGAGCAAAAACAGAAAGATTATAAGGTACAGGATTTTGTATACCTTATTGTGGTGTATGCTGTTTTATGTAAGAAGAAAAAAGTGTAAATAATAGTGCTTGCTATAGAAGACAAAAGAGGTTTGCCTGAGGTATAAAATGACTAGACATTGTAATTTGTGATATAACATTAGACAACATTTCTGAAAGATATTTCATAAAGATATAAATTGCTAAATAATTTTTGAATAAGAAAATAACCTAAAACTTAAGTTCTCAATTGTTTCAATTGTAAAAGTTGTGAGAAATGTGGCAGCCAAAATGTACTGTCAGAAAGGATTGGTTTCAGATTTGGATTATAATAATACTTCTTACAAATGTGAAGTAATAGACTGGGATATGAAAATTCTTATTGACTTTATTTACAATGTTCTATGATGATTTGTGGATGCATTGTTTGTTTTTATTTCATGGTTATTACCTGAAAGAACACTGCAGAAATAAATTCTTACCAAATATGAATGTTGTGTTACGTTTATGTACAATTAGGATCCTAGTGTGCCCTGCAATTCTCTACAGAACAAAATTGATTTAATGATACCTATTAGATTGTCAGATTAAAAGAAAATCTTATTCAAGACACTTATTTTATTATCTCATTTGTATGGAGTCAACCATTTTCAAACCAGTAATTGTTTAAATGAAAAAAAAAACTTGATTGGACCGTTAAAAAGGACTTGAAGTGTATGATTTTGGCTCTATTTGAAAATAAGAGAAAATTTGCTCAATTATATGAAATATGGAGAAAACGAACAGTATTCAAGCTTGTAGTCCATTTAAACAATACAAATCGGTAGCAGAGCAAACACGGACCTGCAAAAACAGAGGCGGGATCAGGTGCCATGGAGGAGTAAGCATACCCTGTGGACCAGTCACGTGAATGTGTGCTCCTTGTCATGATCGGGTAAACGAAAAAATCTGTAGAAATTTCAGTGTGTAAATTAGTATGAAAAACGTCAGTAAGCATTTGACCTAATGATAGATTGTATTGGCTGACAAGGTCATTGTATCGACCATAGAACTTATGAAATGATGACTTTAAACGAGACTATTGATATCCGTGTTTCATCAACTTTTTGATTAATTTCTTGCCTCATGTTAAAAAAAAATATGATCGTACGTAGAGCATGCTCTTGCGTATCGAATCAACTGGGAGACACACCCAATATGCAAGTGATAAGAATATATTGCTACATAAGTAAGGGAAGTTGACATCAGAAAATTTAAAGTCATCACGTTTATCATATAAAGTTTTGTTACATGTATTAAGTTACCAATAACGCCTTTTTCTAGTAAAATATCCAAGTAGGAAACAGATGTGTCAGACTTCGTGGTGTCTTTTATATCAAGTTCACTGGGATATATATCGAATCGACATATATATGAATGGAAGTAACTATTGTTGATTGATTATACGTCGTCGATATATCGAAATGTCGAGTTGAAGACCACAGCAAGCGTTTTCTTCTCATGTAGATGTTTTTGAATAATTCTGCTTCATATAAATACAAAAATAGGTCTTCTAATAACAGGGAGCAATTGGTACCCATGTGAATTCCAACAGATTGTAGAAAACATATAAAACCTAAGTCAACGTTTTTATGTTGTACTAAAATGTTGTAGAAGTCAAGCAGACCAAACTTGAACTAATTTTCAATATTACTTTACAAAAGTTGTTATTTGCAAATTTAGAGATTAATTCAATAATTATTTAACATTTTAAAGGCAATAGAAAATTTGACTTAAGTCTATTTCATGATCCTGGGGCCTGATCTCCAAAAACCACATAGATGTTCTCAATCAGAAAAGCATCTTTTCAATATCAACTTCATAGTTACTGTGGTTAAAATCAGAATGTTTTTAACAAAATAATTTTGCAAATGACCAATGACAAGGTAAGTATATTTACGAGCTCCATTGTTATTAAAGAAGCAGCTGTCTATGATGTCAAAAAGCCTGGACTTTAATTTATCGTGGGGAATAGTTGTATAAAGTATTGAAAAGTCGTACGTTTTGATGTTATTGATTTTGATTTCAACATCCATCTGATACTTTCAATCCACTCTGACGAAGTGTAGAGTTCTTTTTTATATTTGGCCCATCGTCTTGCATAATCTTCCAAGAATTCATAATATTTATGAAATTATGACACAAGTTGAAAGATAGGGGCCCTTAGCTAAATTTTGGCCCTTTTATAATAAGTAATTTTAAAGTTCTATATTAACGTCACCAGTAATGACGTGTCCAGCAGGTCTATAGTTGTACGGTGAAGAAGAACATGAATACGTTGGAGGATTTTGTTCCAGATGTTCGATATTTAGGCACTGTTTTTGTAATTAAACAACGTGGAAGCAATTATGCAAATATGGTGGAATACAAGACTGGACCCTTTTGTGATTAGCAATATTACTTATAATAACTGCGTAAATTTCTTTGTTGGCGGGGTTGTTTGAGCAGTATTTTTCTTCCGCGAAACTTGGCGGTTTATAGAGCCTTTGATTTGCAATATCCGTAATAACAGATGAGCTTGTAACTGTTCTACCTAATTCTCACAGTCGTGTGTTCACAGTAGCCTCTGGGTTTTCATAAACACTTAAGTATCAAAAGGCAATTTTCTGAGCCACTCTGATTATCCCGGGGGGGGGGGGGGGCAATTTTTGTATTTAAAGAAAAAAAAGCAACTCGGTCTGTTCTAGACTACATGATTAAGCTAGTTTTAATTTACTATGTTATTTAATCTCGGTTGAGATTGGGATTAAATATTCCACAAAACAATATAAAGTACATGTACATTAAATGTCACATATAACAGAAGAATCTATTATCATCATAAAGTCATATCTAATATTATTTTATTGACAATGGCCGTAGAGTTACTTCTCTTGATATATGAAATTTACAGTATTCGCATGCTTACTGTGAAAATGAAATGAGCATACCAAGTTCAGTGATTTACTTATTATAATTAATTTACATGTAGTTTGTCTGGGTATGAATGATATACATAAATACATACACATATATGCCCTATATATCCCTTGTGTTGTAAAATACATTAATTTATTACAAAGTTTAAATTAGAGTTATTTATCAGCTTTGACAAACTTAAATTTATATGTACATCTACTGAGTACGAAACTCTGTCTTCTTGGACCACTATGTTTCGTTAACTTGAGCAGCGCTGGTGGTTAAAAGCAAATTAAAATTAAAACTGTATATACAAGAAAGTTGAAAGAATAGTTTCATTGAAAAGAAAATAAGAATATCAAACTTGCTTTCTGTCCTTCCAATTAGACTTGTCCGGCTACCGCAGCGGCCTCTGGGCATACCTCCAGTCTTCACAAGAACTTAAAAGTTTGGTCCGAACATTTTTAGAAAGAGAGTGTTGAGTCGATAACCCCCGCTTGAAGGATACCAAGTCGGGGGCCTCAGCAATGGATGCTGGGAGATGGTTCCAAACAGGTTTGGTCCTCGGTATGAGACTGAATTTGAATGTGTCCGTTCTGGTGTGGTACTGTAGCATCTTCGTGGTGTGTGCTGCTCCTGTCCTGGTCCTTGATGATGCAAGGTAAGTGGTGGATGGAATGTCTACCACAGGTTGTTAATGATCTTAAATAACATGGTGAGCGGGATCATTGTTCGTCTGGACTGTAGCGGTTCCCAGTTGAGGTTCTCATATCTGTTACGCTGCTGGTATGGCAGTATCTTTGGTGGTATATCTCGCTGCTGGTATGGCAGTATCTTTGGTGGTATATCTCGCTGCTAGTATGGCAGTATCTTTGGTGGTATATCTCGCTGCTAGTATGGCAGTATCTTTGGTGGTATATCTCGCTGCTGGTATGGCAGTATCTTTGGTGGTATATCTCGCTGCTGGTATGGCAGTATCTTTGGTGGTATATCTCGCTGCTGGTATGGCAGTATCTTTGGTGGTATATCTCGCTGCTGGTATGGCAGTGTCTTTGGTGGTATATCTCGCTGCTGGTCTTTGGACCATCTCGAGCTTCTGAACTAATTGATTTGATGTGGATTCCAAACTAACGCACAGTACTTCAGGTTTGGTATAACTAGTGGATAATATGCAGTTGTCTTGATTTCCTGACTGGAAATCTCTAGATTTCTCTTTAAAAACTTGACATGCTGTTTGCCTTTTTTACAATCCTATCTAAATAATGTTTCCACTGAAGATTTCCACACAGGTCGACTCCTACGTACTTGGTGGTATCAGCTGCCTGTGTCCATTAAAAAGGTACTGGAATACGATGGATTTCTCTGATCTTGTTACACGCATGATGTTACATTTGCCGGATGGAATAACATACCAAATGTTTTCTTCCCACTTACCTAGCTCTACAAGGTTTTTCTGCAGCAGTTCTGCATCTGTATGTCCTTAACCTCTCTACATACCACAGCATCATCTGCAAACAATCGGCCTCGATGTTTCACACTCCGGCAAATCATTTATAAAAATGTGAAATAACAGTGGCCCAAGTACTGTCCCCTGGGGCACACCGCTCACTACATTCACCCTCTCTGATGTTGCACCATCTACTATGACTCGCTGTGATCGATCAGGTAAGAAAGCCTTTATCCATCCATGAGTCCTCGGATGCCATAAAAATTCAAATTTGTTTATAAACTTTGGTGCAGAACCTTATCGAAGGCTTTCGAAAAGTCTAGGGTGATCAGATCTTGTTGTCTCCCTTTACCCATGGATTGTGCAAGTTCCAAAGTTACTAGTTATCTTTCACAGCTCCTTCTAGCTCTAGCTCGGAATCCATGTTGGCAGTCATGTTAAGATGCTAGCGCTGTGACTGTCCAGATGTTTTAAGATGTTGCTGGATAAAATATGTTCTTTCAATTAACAACACAAGCATGTCAATGACACCGGTCTATAATGGCCTTAAAAAGGTCTCCATTCTGAAACAAGGCTGTAACATTTGCATATATCCAATCTTCTGGTATTGCGCCACCATCTATTGTCTTCTGGTATATCGCTGTTAGGAATGGTGCTATGTCACTAGCCAGGTCTTTCAATATATTCTTGCAGTAATGAGATCAGGTGCTCATGCCCTGTTTGGATTAACCTTATGCAATAACTTCCCAACCCCTTCTTTCTTCTATGTTGATGTTAGGCATAGAAGGATATGGTGTTCCTGGTAGTCTAGGTATTGGGGCAAATGTATTTTCCTTAGTTAAAACTGATTCGTACTACCCGTTTAGAATGTCCGCTTTGTCCTTCATTTCATCGTGCATTTTCCCATTCTTTAATGGTGCTACACCGCTTGTGTCCTTGCAAAGTGCCTTGATATCATTGCAGAATCTCTTCTGCTTTCCGAGTTTTTTCCTCAATGTCTGGGTTACCTATTTTAATCAGTCCCAGTTAGCTTTTCCTCTGTAACCTCTGTGCCCTTGCTTTGGCCGCCTTATACTTTCTGGTGTCGTGCCTTTACGTGACTTTTTCT